CCCCTGTTCGCTAGTGTACCACAATTGCTAACGTTATATAGACTCTCACCGGTGACTTGGGCGGCAAGGCCAAGACCCACGAGTACGCTGAGGCCATCATGAAGCGTCTGTAAGGGATTCGGTTCGCACCATGTACTATTTCCCTTGATTATCTCCTTTTAGCCTGTGAATGACTAGAACAAATGTAGTGACCTATTTATACGTACAATGTATTTATTTAGATGCCATTTACCTTGCAAGATGCCTCAGTCTCTTCATCGTAATCTTGACCCCATCAATTGGCACAAACACTTAAGTGACCGAAACATGTTTTATGAAGAGAGCATCGCGTTCCGTTGACTGTCCGCCAACCGAAACCGATTCCAATGAAATTTTCAAGTAGACCGAATGTGATGATAAATTTACTATATGTGAATGTAAAAGAAACGCCTGCCCTGAGTCCTCCAAAGGTATCAAAGTTCAAATCATCATGAAATAAAAGTACACATTAAATCTACCGTCGTCGACCGCCTCGTCTAGTTCCTGTGCCACTACTTCTCTTCTCCTTTTGTTTTGTTCGTGTTGTCTGGGCTCGTGTGCTTCGTGCTGTTGGAGAGCCTCCCGTATCCTCTTCGGCTTCTTCGTCACCTTCGCTGTCGTCTTTCGCCGCGTCCGAACCTTCTTCGTCCGCTTCTTCGTTCGCTGCAGCATCCTCAGAGTCACCTTCTTCTTCCCCCGTGCCCGAACTCCTCCTCGGGGCCTCGATTTCTACCTGTAGCCGGGAAGATCGAGCGCCTCGTGCCGATTGGCGACCTCCACGACCAGACTTCCTACCTCTTGACGGCGCCGGAGAGGATCGAGGTTCTAAATGCGTACAGGAGTCAGAAACTAGGCAGAACTCGGAAAGAAACCAAGAATCAGTAAGACGCACCATCTGTGTCCGCTACAGTGCTACCTCGCCTAGATTCGGCGTGGGCACTATGAACGGGCGAAGCGGAACCTTCCATTGCTAATCTCCTCTCGAACATCAACTCGCCGTATTCATCTTCAGGAAGCTCAAATGGACAGTAAAGCTCTTTCAAGCCATCTACATCATCAGAAGTATCTGTTATTAAGGAATCCTCCTACATGGCAAAGTGCAAATGTTAGCAATCCATGACTAACATAAACAGCCGTCATTACCTACCCGCTCATCGAGTGCTGGAAGGTTATACAAGGTCCCCAATTTTTTCCAGATCCCAGGTATCCGTGTATGTTCCGCGTGGACAGGTGCATAGCCTTGACTTTTCATGAACTCGGAGATAGCGATCATACGGAAGTGTTTGTGCATTCCTTCGACGGGACAAACTGGTTAGCAGAAGTTGGCTTGTTGGAGTGGCACTAGGAGTAGCTACGAACCAACCGGCTTCCATTTGATTATACCCTTCAGTAGCGCCGTCTCCTGTTCATCCGTCCATGGGTCCGTCACCGGGTCGTAATCCGTGTTAGGCTGAGCTGCGCTATCACTGGCGGGGGTGTTCACGGATGGTTGCGCGGCTTCGGATTGAGCGGTAAGCTTAGGCTTCTTCCTGGGAGGCATATTGACCGTTGTGCATAACAATCTCCTATTCTGTAATATTCGATGACGTTCAGGATCCTCTGTATTAGAGCGCGACACACGTGGGGAGCTGGTGTAGACTGCGTCACGACAAATTCATTCTGCTTCGGATTCCCAAACAAGCGGTGGTCCAAGCGTGACCTGGGGGGACGCTAGTACACTTTAAGGCTAGCGAGGCGTGATTTCGCGCCGCCAACGCGTCGTCAGCTGATAAGGATTTGTTTCTATGGCGTCAGTCTTTGGCGCTGACCGTGTCATACGATGGAGCAAGAAGATTATGATACGGACCCATTCTCTAGTGAGGATCTGTGGAGGCTATCGAAGTTTACTCTACAGTCACTGCAACCACTAGAAACTCTACCCTGGAACGAAGAGTTGCCAGGTGCGTATCATTGTTGGGACGTTTATCCGTCCTTTCATGAATACTAACCATACGGTTTTACCAGATTTGACGGGGGGTTTCTTCAGAAGCCCTTTGGAATTAATCAATGATGATTGTTTTGGATCACGCCAGTTGAATCTTTTCGAAACCGATGTATTCGATTCAGACTTGGTACCGGAATCAACAACCGATGCATCAAGCGAAACTTATGCCGAACCAAGCATTGCACGCTCGGAAACCGGAGATGGGTCAGAGAATATCTGGGCGTTGGATAGCTTGGATGTCAATGTTGATGGCAAGGGATTATTGAAGACGTGGGAGAATTGTCAAAACCGATTGTACCATGAGCCCGCATCCGCATATTTTAGTGAATCGGGGGCTAGAGGATTCGATGCAGCGTTGGCAAATCAGGCTGCAGTGAACGGGCTCGGGAAACCAGGCCGTGTGACTCGAAATGCTGTCTTTTTCCGGTCCCTGTTCCGGCTTGGTCTTGGTTGGAGCTCATTGTTTTTCCGATATAACAGGGAACACCAAATGTTCGAGCGAGCATTTGATGGCATTCGCCTCTCGGGTGTTAGTGTCGCTGCGCTTAATGGTTTGACTGATGAGATGATCCGATGCGGCACGGATATGCAGCGGGTGCGAAACTTCGTTGGCAAAGCTCCATCGAAGTCAACTAAACTCTCGGCCCTTTCTACACTTTCGAGCGCCGTTGCCGTCGTCATTTACACCGCTGAAAAGAGGCTTCTCAGGTATGCTGACAATATAGTGTCCCTCATCCAGGTTAGAGCCCTGTTTCAACGATGCGGTGAATTAGCTAGTGTTTTGGCAGACCTGGTCGAAGCTGTTGAGGGGGCCGTGTCTGATGCCCAGATATTCTCCGTCGTGCTTGAAAAGGCCGCCCATTTCTCCCAAACCTTTGGCCATATGGAGGATCTCTTCCGCGAGATTGTTATCCGGACAGTGTATCCGTTTCTTGAGCATGTGGAGACTTGGGTTGGCCTCCGCTTGGAGGCGTCGACATTGAAGGAGCTGGCGGCAAACGGCAGAAGCTTTGTGGCTTTAGAGCACTCAGAAGATAATCCGAGGAAAACATCCTCTCAATCAATAAGGTTTGACTACAGATATAACCCCGCCGAGATGCCAACATTCATTCCTGCAGATCAAGCAGAGTTAATCTTCGAAAGTGGGCGAAGCCTGCGCCTGCTTAAACGATTCCATCCGCAACATCCAATTGCGAGTGACGGAATTTGCAACGGCGATGTCCCCAGGCTCAGCTGTGCTAGCACATGGACAGATATTGAAAGGATACAACAAAAAGCAAAGACCTACGAAAACAGGCTTCGGTCTGAAATTCTCAGATATAACCGTGGTGGTCCCTCTGAAATGAGAAATTTGATACTCAATTCCCAACCTCCTGCTCATATTGAGGCAAGTAGTACACTTAAAGATACTTTCGATTTATTTGACATTGATGACGCGCAAAACATGACTGGATTACTCGCAACCCAATCCTCTATAGAGAAAGACGAGCTCTCCCGATTGATCGACCAAGGGAACGACAAGGATCTTGGAGTGCCTGAGGATCATAAGTGTAACTTCGGCCCAGAATTAGCCTCTGCTCTCTATCTGTCTCTTGCACCACTTCTTTCGTCCCAGGCATTGTTGATTGATTTCTCTTGTCTTCACCTGCTGTTCAAGGAGCACAAGGTCCGGTATCACCTATCTCTGCAATGGCGGTTCCAGCTTCTTGGGGATGGTTTCTTCACCTCGCGCTTGTCGCACGCTCTCTTTGACCCGGACATGCAGAGCGGCGAGCGAAAGTCCGGTGTTGTCCGTAGTAGCGTCCACACTGGTTTACGGTTAGGGAGCCGTGACACTTGGCCTCCTGCAAGCTCGGAGTTGCGATTGGTGCTCATTGGGCTCCTGAGTGAGTGTCACGGCTTCGATGATCGCTCAGATAGCTCAACGGGTAATGAGTCCCGCAAGGAGAGGGAGCTTCCTGGCGGCCTCAGTTTCTCAATTCGAGAGTTGACTGATGAAGAGACTGCCAAATGCAAGGATCCTAACGCAATCGAGGCTTTGGATTTTCTACGTCTCCAGTACAAACCATCAGACGTCCTGGAAGCTATCATTACGTCGCGATCGCTTAACAAATATGACCGTCTTTTCAAGCATCTGCTTCGACTCCTCCGAATGGTTTCGGTCGTCAAAGGTCTCATTCGTGATTCTACGGGGAGAGACTCCCTATCTGGAGACCCTCGAAACATGTACCAGAAATTTCGCATTGATTGCCAACATTTCGTACTTGCATTGAGTGACTATTGCTTTCATGTCGGCATTGGCTCGACTTGGCAGCAGTTCCAAGATAGCCTGGCTAAGATTGAACTTTGCCTCGACCGCGGTGATGTCGATGGCACGATAGAAGCAGCACATTCTGTCCCTAGACTTAGAGATTATCATGAAGATGTTCTCGATCAAATGCTTTTTGCGCTTTTCCTGAGCAAAAGACATGCTGATGCAGCGAAGTTGCTGGAAAGTATCTTTGGTACGATTTTAACATTTGCTCCATTGTCGAGGATGGATGGAGCAAGCGGCGTGCGACACGAAAGTGAGGCTATTGCCTATCAGCTCTATGCCACTTTCCGGAAACAAACATCCCATTTTGTGAACTATCTGCGCAACTTAGATGGCGTGAAGGCATCTTCAAAGTCTTTCGGCAGGTCCGGCACGACTTTTGCATCGAGAGAAGCGCCTACAAGTGTATTTGACCACCTCCTCGCGCGCTTGGATATGAGAAAATATTACTGAGAATGAAAAACAAGCTCCACCACACTAGCTCTTCTTGGAGTTTTATATTAAACAGTATTTCCGGCTCGTTGTAATATTGTTTGTCTACCGTGCTAATATATTAAAGACGTTGGTACCTATTAACGTGACTATTCGTGTGCTATTCCCAAAGATAACCCTGTATATATTTCCAACGCCGTTATGACCCATGTCTTAAATACTCATCAAATCATTCAAATGGATGATACCAATTCAAAAAAAGTGAAGGTCTGATTCCTTCCATCCTTGCGCCAATAGTATCCTCTGAGCAGATTCTTCCATGGCTGGTGGACCACAAATCAGTACCATACTCTCATCTTCTGGAGCCGCATATTCCTTTAGGAGCTCTTCGGATATGCGTCCTCGTCTGCCTGTCCACGAGTCCGGCGCTTTGGATAGAGTGTGTATTATGTTGCACCTTCTGCTGTCGGATGCCATGAAGCCGTCGAGCTCAGCCCGGCAAAGTATATCTTCTTCCTGCCTATTACCGTTGAGAACAACACAAGATGTGGGATCGTGCTGGTCCTGAACCACGGCACGCAAGACCTGGAAAATCGGTGTGATACCGGTTCCTCCACAAATCATCTTAAACGAACGAACATGGCGTTCCTTGCCGCTTATGAGAACTCGTCCATTTCCAAGGTATTCGAATCTGCCTGTCGGACCCTTGCACTCGACTACGGAGCCCAACGGCAGTCTATCCAGGGCCATCGTCATCTTGCCGCCTGCCGAGGTGGCTGTTGCAAAGTATACTTTGACCAGCAAGTCCACAGTCCCCTTTTGGCTGGTTTCAGAAATTGGTGTGTATGAGCGGATGATGGCTTCATTGTTAGACGTTGTGTCGAGGACTTTGATCATAAGATGCTGGCCAACCGGTAAGCCCAATGTTTGGCCTTCGTGTTCCAATTGGAAACTAAATATCCGTGTATCCCATGATATGTCTTTCCTTTCTTTCAGCGTTGCCTTTGTCCAAGATCGTGCTTGGAGGAACACTGGGCGAATTTCATCGGACGAGGATGTTGTATCATCCTTGAGCGCTTTCAGACCTTCCGGATCCATCGTTCCAATATGATACTCAGGCATCATCGCCTTTGCCGTCTCGCTATCTGTGGATGAGTGTCAATGAATGGTATGTTTGCAGTGTTATATAGTTGGGACTCACGAATAGCAAGAAATTCCTCGGAGACATCCAGACCAGCAGAGGAGACAATACTCTGCGCTCCACCAGGGTGGCCTTCAAGAAATGCATGGCCATCATACACTTCTCCATTCACGATGAACCATGGCTTCTTATCGCTGGAATTCTCCTTGAACTCGTCAAAACCGATCGTTCGGTTTAGCCCGTCTTTCTTCATATTTATTTCTTGCACGGGTTCCGGCGATGTCGGCTCCTCTCCTTCGTGTCTTTCTCCCCAGTTACCATTCGTTAGGTCACCCCCAGCCTTCTTCACGCGCTCCATCCATCCTGTAGGCATACTAGGGTGGGTAGGATGCTCAAACTTCAAGTTCCCGTTTTCTTTCGTAATCGTGACTCGGAACCAAGGATTGTTCATCATCCCGAGAACGGACCAGTACATATCGCGAGGCTGCACGCCCAATGCCTCATCCATGGCTCTTACGAGGATGGCGTCACTGCTCTCAAGCTCTGGGATGGTGATGCTTAGAGACCAAAAACACCAGCAGAAGCAAGTTTCGCGCCAGTTCATATCTACCTTGCCTCCGAAAAGCTCGCCTTCAAAATCACGATATTTGTCTTCTGCATATTCGACATCCGCCAATCTCCAAGCTAAAAGTCCGTTAGCTTTGATAAGGATTGTCACATATCGAGCGCACGAGGTTGCGTACATTTGCCTTTGTCTAGGGATATTTCCACCCTAGTAACCCTGCGACCCCCACCAGAGTACGCGTATCCCCTGACAGTATATGACGGCCCTGCCGACAGGATATTCAAGACCTCATTGTTCTGGGGATATGCAACGGCGGAGTTGGTGTTTAGGTCATAAATCGCATATCGCTCATCGTGCCACCAGTTTCGGTTAATTGATGCCATCTCAGGTGAGACCATTGTCCTGTGGTACGGTTAGATAAATGATGAACAGGGGAGATATAATGCATCTTGGACGTACGGTAAGACACGGTTGTCATTAATATGGTACCAGTTGTCGCTTGGTGCATCGGTCAGGATCAGCCTCTTCAGCCACTTCACACTTCGGCCCCCTATTTGGCCGGGCACGACAGCCCTCAACGGACGACCATGATCTGGGCGAAGAGACTCCCCGTTCATTTTATGGGCAAGCATGATGCCCCTGTTGGAGTCCAGGGCCCAGTTCAACTTGATAGATGTGCCGTAGTGACCATTGGGCTGCAGCGAACTTAGCAATCATCATCATAAGTTAGAGGTGCAGCATACCAGCTTATCCGCCCCTTCCATACAGACGTACTTCGCTTTACGCAGGGGTTTCGCACTGCGGAGGATATCCGACAGTAATGGGCCAGTGAAGAGGGCAGTGGATAGTCCCGCCGATCCCCAGGAAAAGCCTTTTGTTTTGCGCACAATGTTTTGCTCTTTGCGCCGATTGCCTGCACATACGAGGGTGATGGGCGCCGTTATTTGGTCGTACTGCTGCAAAACTTGTCGGAAGTTCAAAACCAAAGGCTTCTCCACCAGCCTAGACTTTGGTCAGCGGGTGTTGCGCAAAGAACTCAACACTATACTCACCCTTCGATACTAATTTCCCAGTGAGGGATATCTTCATCCTTAACATGGGGTACTGGGCCATGATTCCGAACATAGAAAAGCTCCGGCGATGTTAAAAATCCTTTCAACGTGTGAGAATTTAACGGCTCAAGGGTCCAGTGTGAGAACCAGTACAAGTAACCTGGTGAGGATAGGAGGTGGAGCAGTTATAACTCATACCTTCTTTATACAGATCTGTGAGGGGTGGCTCAACGTTAAATGGATGAACACCCGTTAATCTGATGAGCCGAGGATCACGAGGAACATGGCTATCTGGGGTTCCTTTATCTACGCTCAGCACTTCTGTCGGACATTTTGATGGTGGTGGCAGAGGGATATCGGACAGGTCTTTTGTCGAGATCTCTTCGCTTTCGATTTTGATCTGACCTGTCTTAATGATGAGATCAGTTGGGACGAGTGCATCCGTCCGAACCTCCGTGATGGTTGCCATAATACCGGTAGGGACGGCCAATGAACAAAAGACTACGAGGGAGGGAGCATGAACAAGGGTACTGAGTTTGAATAAGTCGAACAATCTGCCGATGCATTGACTCCAACTAAAGGGGAATCCACCGCAGTAAATGACTCTTGCCTATCGTATGATGGCACCAGTACGTGTTACCCACGCGCGGGCAGTGGATATTCATATTAGGTCACGGCAGTAACTCCTTGATACCGCATGACGCCTCGGAGAAAGATCACAATAAGCTAAAAGCTCCTACCCACCAGTGATTTCCGCGGAGTCCCAAAAACTGCTCATTCTGGGAGGTGGGACGCTCGAAATTAGGGCAAGCCTCCAGGCAGGACCGCGTCCCACCGCATAACCAAGCGTTGAGCCAAATAAATCGTGTCGACCCACTCAAAACACACAAGGCTCCAGCCATCTATCCACCCAATCTTGCAGGATTTCTTTTTCGTCATATTAATTGGTTCTCTGAAGAGTCATGGAGGCGATACCATGAAGCCATGTGCAACTTCCAATGAGAAGTGTCGTTGCTTATCGGAATGAGCCTGGTTCGCGTGGAGAATGGGCGAGATGGGGCTCATGGCTGTCAGAGCGGAGACACTTTTCAAAGGAATTTTTGGTAGGTCGGTTAGAGGAATATTGCTCAGTTTTAATTGGCAGTCCGAGATTCTTTAAATCCAGGTAAATATCACTCAATCTTGTTTATTATTTATTATTTATTTTTTACAATTGTGAATCTATCCTGGAAGTTCGGTTACACCCTTGAGACTTATCACATGACAAGAACAAGAATCCTATCATTCTATAACAATCCACCTGAGTCTTTGAAGACACTATGGCTTTGCTGCTTGAAGAATTCCGGATGTATCGGCATCCAAGGTAGGATTTGTCTTACGTACATTATTTATGATCTGTGGTGAAACCTGAGGCAATAAAGGGGGCGTGATTTATCAGGCTGGCATACCGATTTCAACTCCAACTGCTAGCGCTTAATTATATGTATAATACGTCGAATGGGATGAACTTTCCCTTTCATCTATTCTTAGGAGAGCAGGGATGGTACACACCACACCTAGCAGAGCTCGTGATGTAATTGACCTACGATTTGTACTATGCGGGTTTTATTGATATGCGGTTATGCGAACTTGTAGTCAAGATAATAACAGATGCTATTAATTGAATTTTGGGCCCGTTAAGCTTTTCGTCCGACCACCATTGACGTCCTTCCGATAAGCCGGGTAACGATCGATAAGGAGGCTTTCCGTCGATCCCGTCCTGACTAACCTCTTTCCAGTATCAGCGGATTTCCAATAAGCGGAACTTAAAGTACCATCTCCGCGGAGGAATCCCTGACCCAATCTTATGCAAGAGGTGCTATCGTCCTTATCAATCCCTGTCATGATTGCCGATAACCCGTTCAACGTCCGATTATGGAGATTGCCATTGGGTATGTCGCGGCATCTTCTGCGAAACCGCTTTGATGACTATCAATCATGAGGTGATTCGATAGTCAAACATCTCGCCACGCTCTCATGGTGTCCCCGGAGATGAGAGGCCCGATCCTGGATCTTGGCACCAGTAGGGTCTTGACATATCGGGTGGTAGATTATGGGGGACATACTACTTGATAAATAAAAACGCACGCCAACGCCGTGCGCTGGGCCTTGAATTCTCTCCACAGTGCTATCCATCCCGGACACCATGCCTCCTCTCCTTGAAGCGCCCAGGAATGGGGGCGCAGTCAACAATGGCGTTCTTAGCGGGGTATCGCATGCTCAGAGCGTTGGCATTGACACAGAAAGTCACCTGGATGACCCTAACAGACGCCAACGGATAGTGGTGGTGGGACTGGGGATGGTGGCGATTTCCTTCCTGTAGGTGCACCGAAGGGGGACGAGTTGATGGCCGACAATGCAGTTTGGAGTACTGACGATACATCCCCTCTGCGTATAGTGAGAAATTGGTCAAGCAAGATTCAGAGAGGAGAAAATACGATATCGTTGTTATCGGGGAAGAACCTCACGTTGCTTACAACCGAGTCGGTCTTTCCTCGTTTTTCGAACATCGCAATATCGAAGACCTCTACCTCAACCCGAAAGAGTGGGTAAGTATACCGCAGCCTCCCCGCGAACTCAGTGCAACATCCGTTCTGACGTCGATGTATGAATGTAATAGTACGGATCATTCAAAGACCGATCGTTCGATTATCATCTCAACACCAGAGTGACCGATATCTTTCCTGACCACAAGACGGTGAAAACCTCGACTGGTGACATAATTGCTTACGATCTTCTTGTTCTCGCTACCGGCTCTGATGCGGTACTTCCCACACACACTCCCGGCCATGATGCCACCGGCGTTTTTGTCTACAGAACGATATCGGACCTCGAGCGCCTTATCGAATTTGCCTCTAAACACAAGGGCGAGACGGCGACTACTGTCGGAGGTGGCCTGCTAGGGCTAGAAGCTGCCAAAGCAATGACAGATCTAGAAGATTTCGGCAAGGTCACGCTCATTGATCGCAATAAGTGGGTGCTGGCAAGGCAACTAGACAGCGATGCCGGTACCCTAGTGACGCGGAAAATCAGAGAATTGGGCTTGGATGTGAAGCACCAGAAGCGAGTAGCCAAGATTAAGACGGATAACAACAACAATGTCACGGGTATCGTCTTTGAAGATGGTGAAGAAATAGATTGCTGCTGTGTCTGTTTTGCTGTATGCTGTCTACTCTCATCTCATGCACTTTCAATTTGCTGACATTACGTATAGATCGGAGTACGACCAAGAGATGAATTAGGGACATCTGCTGGTATTCAGTGCGCTTCGCGGGGTGGGTTTGTTATCAATGAAAGGTAAGAATCGTCGTTGTTGTTTCGAGGCTGCTATCATCTAATCTAAATCTATAGCCTACAAACTTCTATTCCCGAAATTTACGCTATCGGAGAGTGTGCAAGCTGGGAAAACCAGACGTTTGGTATTATTGCACCGGGCATTGAAATGGCAGATGTGCTAGCGTTCAATTTGACGAATCCCGACAAGGAACCAAAGAGCTTCAGAAGACCAGATTTAAGTACTAAGCTGAAGCTCTTGGGGGTGGATGTCGCCAGCTTTGGTGACTTCTTTGCGGATCGTGATGGGCCCAAGTTCTTGCCTGGCCGTCGACCATCAGTCGCAACCATCCCGCGGGTCAAAGACACGACGGAAAAGGAGTCACCAGTGAAGGCTCTTACGTACAAAGACCCTTTTGGTGGTGTCTACAAGAAGTATTTATTCACTATGGACGGGAAATACCTACTTGGAGGAATGATGATCGGTGATACAAAGGATTATATCAAATTGAACCAAATGGTAAAGAGCCAGAAAGAGCTCGAAGTACCCCCGAGCCAGTTCATCTTGGGAGCCCAGAATGGTGGGGAAGAAAACGGTGATGACTTGTGAGTTTTCTCTCAAATGTCTAGATTTAATGGATCTTCTGACCATCGTTTGTACAGAGCCGACGATACCCAAGTGTGCTCATGTCACAATGTTACCAAAGGTGACGTCGTCGAAAGTGTCAAGAGTGGCACATGCAAATCAATTGGCGAGGTCAAATCGTGCACAAAAGCAGGCACTGGTTGTGGAGGCTGCATGCCGTTGGTGCAATCTATTTTCAATAAGACCATGCTTGATATGGGCCAGGAAGTTTCGAACAACTGTAGGTATTCTTGTCCGTCTGCTGTGGTCTTACTCTAAACTCTATACAGTATGCGTGCATATTCCACATTCACGTGCTGATCTCTACAATATCGTCGCAATCAAACAACTGAAAACATTTGAAGACATCATGAAGGCAGTCGGAAGAAACCCCGATTCTCTTGGATGCGAGTTGTGCAAGCCTGCTATAGCGTCAATTCTTTCAAGTCTCTTCAATGGGCACATCATGGACCACGAATATCATGAATTACAAGAAACGAATGACAGATTCCTCGCTAACATCCAACGCAACGGAACTTTCTCTGTGGTCCCTCGAGTTCCTGGTGGCGAAATCACTGCAGACAAGCTGATCGCTATCGGCCAGGTGGCCAAGAAATATAACCTTTACTGCAAGATCACGGGTGGCCAGCGTATAGACATGTTTGGAGCCAAGAAACAGGATTTGCTTGACATATGGACAGAATTAGTCAATGCAGGCATGGAAAGTGGTCACGCTTATGCCAAATCGCTGCGGACAATCAAGGTACGTGGACATCAACTGATTTGATGTATATGGAGCTAACTGGAGCCTCTAGAGCTGTGTCGGCACTACCTGGTGTCGTTTTGGTATTGGAGACAGTGTTGGGATGGCCATCAGACTCGAGGAACGCTACAAAAGTGTCCGATCTCCTCATAAGCTCAAGGGTGCCGTATCCGGTTGCGTGAGGGAATGCGCTGAGGCGCAAAACAAAGAGTATGCCTGCTTCTTTCGAAATACATCGCCCCGAAACTAACGCATTTTAGCTTTGGCTTGATCTCTACAGAAAAAGGGTTCAATATCTTCGTAGGCGGAAATGGGGGCGCGAAGCCTAGACATTCAGAATTACTCGCCAAGGATGTGCCACCAGATATGGTCATTCCAATTATTGATCGCTATCTCATCTTCTATATTCGAACAGCAGATAAACTGCAACGAACTGCTCGGTGGATCGAGAACCTCCCAGGTGGAATCAATTACCTCCGGGAAGTCGTCATTGACGACAAACTGGGAATCTGCGCTGAGATGGAGCAGCAAATGCAGGAGTTGGTAGACAGCTACTTCTGCGAGTGGACCGAGACTATCCGCAATCCGAAGCGCCGCAAGTACTTCCAGCAGTTTGCCAACACCGATGAGACGGTTGACACAGTGGAACTTGTGAAAGAACGTGAGCAGGAGCGGCCTACCTACTGGCCAAGCGAGGGTGCAAAGGAGGACTTTAAGGGGCACCAGTGGTCGGCTCTCTCATGGCAGCCAATCATTAAAGCTGATCACTTTTCGGATGGACCACCTGCGATCTCTTCGGCCAATGTCAAGCGGGGCGATACCCAGCTGGCAATCTTCAAGGTCAAGGGCAAGTACTACGCAACGCAACAGATGTGCCCTCACAAGCGTGCCTTTGTCCTATCTGATGGCCTGATTGGCGACGATGACGCCGGTAAATACTGGGTATCCTGCCCATACCACAAGCGGAATTTCGAACTTAATGGCGAACAAGCCGGCCGTTGTTCAAACGATGAGGCTATGAATATCGCAACTTTCCCGGTTGAACAACGGGACGATGGCTGGATCTACTTGAAGCTACCTCCTGTCGAGGAGCTGGACTCTGTGCTAGGAACTGAACGATGGAAGGTAAAGAAAGGAGAAGCACCCGATCCATTCCAGAAGTGTGATAAGAAATATAAGGGGACTAGAGGCAAGAAGGCGGGTGATAGACCTAGTCCAACCAAACAATCTAGGACGATTGACTGGTAATGGAACCGATGTGATACGCGTTACGAGCCTTGATATTTGGCGTTGTGGATCTTTCTGGGAGGGCCTTCATCTGGTTTTCTTTCTTTACTGTATATAAACTCCACTAGCTAGTAGCTAATTCCTGAACTATGAGCTGCCAATTACCTCTTTCAAATCTCAATGAGACAGTCTTACTAGATCTGATTCTGACCAAGAATGTATAACCATCATCACAACTGTTCATCTGAACTATCCTGCCAATACTAAAATACCTACTAGTAGTAGTAGTCTATAGACGATTCCTTTGGAGGTATAGCCAAGAAAGGCATCAAAGGATCCCTACCTTAGGGCAGGCAGCGTCACGTTACCGACCAACTTTCTGGCCGACTCTCCGTCCAATCCCATTTGACGGATTTCATTCTTGACGCTTATCTCCCAGACGTGAGATAGCGGTGGACCCGACCCAAATCTCTCATTATCTATACTCATGATAGTATTCGGGACCCATAGACGATCCTTCACAGCCCCATCGAATGCTTTAAGAAGTGGGCTCTTCCCTTGACATCTCCGCGGACCTCGATCGAGTATTTCTCGCTATTCTCGTGCTCTTCGTTGCCTTGATCCGGGAAGATTAGGGACATGAACGTTAACCCAAACTTCATGTGGCGCCTATTCTGAGTCCCAGCGTCCATCGGTATCCAATGAGAAACGCTTGGTTTATCAATTGAAAGGGAATCTCGCCCGGTGTCGATCTTGGTCCACGCTCCTTCGCCTTCTGGGTCCCATGGTCTGCGTCCGAGGGTGATACATGGCACCAAGACCTGAGGGCCGCGGAGTTGTTGCAGGACAGAGAGGGTCTTATCGGCCTGGTGCTGTTAGTCAAGAGCTGAATGCCGGCAGATATCCCCCGGATGGCCTTATCTACGCTGACCAAACATGGTTTCTCGATTAGCCACACCCGTTAGAGCTGGGAAGCCCAGTTCCATCCAACCCTTTCTCTTGTCCACATCGAGGCCCTGGACAGAGCCATGAGAATCGTCCAATCAAAACTCTAGGATATACTTACTTGTGTGACTCCATGATATCCTATCTATCAACCCTACGATTAATGACCAGGCAATGTCATCTTACAATAATATCTAATCTAGTGTTTCTATGTTGTCAGTGGCATGCCATGCAACAGAGCCTATGCCTTCAGAAAGTTAATTATTCCTAGAAATCCAAGATTTACCGAAATCAAATATTATATGTTATTCTTGCTTTTGTTTACACTCGCCAATATCTGTCAAAGAGTCTATATATATAGGATCCAATTCTCTGTCTAGAGCTTTCCAAATCACATCTCCACTTGCTAAAACACTCTGGTGGTTACATTGATACACTACACTTATAGTTATTGATATTCAAGTACAATCATTCTACCTCTTGTCCTTTAGTTACATTCCACTAGGGCTGCTAGCTCGGAGATGGATTCCATCAAACTACTCTTCCTCTCTCCGGAGGTCAACCCAAGTAACCGAAAGGCCAGGTCGATCCCGATACTCAACCCATTCGACAAATATGGACGTGTCTACTTCTTCTCATGGCTTGGTTTTATGGTGGCATTCCTATCGTGGTATGCGTTTCCGCCTCTGGTAAGTTCTGCCTATCTTCGATGCCAAACAATGAAAGAGATAGGACTCTAACGATCTGTAGTTGACTGTCACGATCCGACAAGACTTGAAGATGACGCAGACCGAAGTTGCCAACTCGAACATTGTTGCCCTTTTAGCGACGTAAGATATCCACCTAAATGGACCCCACACTCTAGCTGACCCTTTCAGGTTACTCGTTCGATTCGTCGCAGGGCCGCTCTGCGACCGGTTTGGTCCTCGTCTAGTATTCATTGGCCTCCTGCTGTGCGGGTCCATTCCAACTGTGATGGCTGGGCTTGTCACCAATGCTCAGGGACTGATCGCCTTACGCTTCTTTGTCGGCATCCTGGGAGGCACATTCGTCCCTTGCCAGGTCTGGTGTACTGGGTTCTTTGACAAGAAGATCGTCGGAACCGCCAACTCCCTGGCTGCAGGATGGGGAAATGCCGGCGGCGGCATCACATAGTTTGTACTCCTTCTCGCATACGAAGCCCACTAAGAACCGACTAACAAGCTTTCTTACTCACCAGCTTCATCATGCCCGCCGTCTTCGACTCACTCATCCACAACCAAGGCCTCCCAGCTCACAAAGCCTGGCGAGTAGCTTACATTGTGCCTTTCATTATCATTGTCGTCATAGCCGTCGCAATGCTCTTCACCTGCGAAGACACCCCAACAGGGAAATGGTCCGAACGCCACCTCTGGGCCGAAGAAACCAGCAGATTCGACGGCAACACCGTCAACATCGACTCTGGCATCTCATCCAGCCAGCCATCCAGCCCACCCTCCATTACCAACATCGTCGCCGACATCGAAAAGAAAGGCAACCCCTCCCCACCCGAGTCCATAGCTCCCATGCCGGGCCAACTCGAATCCCTCCGCACCGACACCGTCGTAGCCCCAACCTTCAAAGAAGCCATGAACGTCCTCCTCAGCCTCTCCACCCTCGCCGTCGCAATCCCCTACGCCTGCTCCTTCGGCGCAGAGCTCGCCATCAACTCCATCCTCGGTGACTTCTACGCCGAAAACTTCCCCTACATGGGCCAAACCCAGACAGGCCAGTGGGCCGCCATGTTCGGCCTTCTCAACGTGGTCTGCCGCCCCGCCGGCGGCTTCATCGCAGATCTCCTCTACCAGCACACGCAGTCCGTCTGGTCCAAGAAGATCCTCCTCTCCTTCCTCGGCGTCGCAATGGGCGCCTTCCAGCTCGCGCTCGGATTATCCGATCCAAAAAGCGAAGCTACCATGTTCGGACTCACAGCTGGTCTCGCTTTCTTCCTAGAGGCGTGTAACGGTGCCAACTTCGCCGTTGTACCGCACGTTCATCCCTTCGCTAACGGTATGCTTTCCCCGTTAGCCTCCACCAAATAGAACCAAAAACTAACAATGAAAAAAAGGCATCGTCTCTGGCGCTGTAGGTGGAATGGGCAACCTCGGAGGGATCATTTTCGCTATCATATTCCGGTACAATGGCGCGCACTACGCGCGCTCGCTTTGGATAATCGGGATCATTGCCATCGCGGCCAACCTGGCTGTTGCTTGGATTCGACCGGTACCAAGACGTCAGATGGTATGATTCTATTTTCAAGCCTCTTTCTAGATATGAGTTATGAAGATATATATGGCAGTAATTGTTTTTTCGGGGAATATCTGGTGTCCTGTATGTATCTATGGGTTGGATAATGGCGTTATACAAGATTGATATTGATATAATACTAGTTATATAAATTAAGTTTTATGGAATTATATACTATACATAATTCTGATACAATTCTCTAGTTCCACTGGTATGGATGTAGTATAGTGTACTTTCGTGTGGTATGGTAGAAGTACTATAAGTGTATAAATGTGGTCTACAAAGCTCGGGGTAAAACCCCCCGAGAGTGGATTCCAATGCATCAATCAAAAACATGCATATTGTATCAATAAACCGAGGGTCCGGGGTTTATGACACTTATAATATAATATCATCTTCTCCCTTCACTTGCATCCAATTACCACAATTCAAACACACTCCTACTAGTACACATCGAACTCGTAACCAAAGTAAGTCACTCACTCTTTCACCACCATCACCCAATAACACCAATCCACACTGACCCATATAAAACCAGACACACACATACCAACTATAACTTGGGTTGAAGAATCTACACTACACCACACCCACATCATCACTTTTATAAAATAGAACAATGCCCGTCCGTCGAATCGCCCAAATAGTCCACCTCAAGCCATCCGCCCTGGCGGCCTACAAAGAATGCCACGCGAATGTGTGGCCCGAAGTACTCCAGCAGATTAAGGAGTGCAATATCCGGGATTGTATGCAACTGCAGTAGTCTCTTTTTGACTGAGCTTTTTTTTTTTTTTTTTTTTTTTTTTAAAAAGGTGTTTTTGTTTTTTTTTTTTTTTTTTTTTTAATTAAAAAGGTGATTGTGGCTAATGGGTTTTCTTGTGTAGATTCTATCTTCTATGATAATGATCGGACTTTGTTTGCGACGTTCAAATATGTCGGGGATGATTTTGAGGGTGATATGGAGAAGATGAAGGCTAATCCTAAGGTGAGGGAGTGGTGGGCAATGACGGATGATATGCAAGACAGTCCGACTCCTGGGGCTTACGGGAGTGCTGAGGGACCTTCGTGGTGGAAGCCGTTGGAGGAGGTTTTCTATACGGAGTAAAGTAATTTAAATGCTACTACGATGCATGGCACGAAATGAATATATGATAAAAAAAGTTATTTGTTTCCATCGGCGGGACAAAAGTCGACCGCTTCGAGAGCCGAAATTAATTAAGCCAACGCCAGACGCACAAGATTCGTAGCGAGATATTTCCAAAGATTCCCAGATAATGACCAGCAAATCCGAACACCCCAAGAAATTATCTATACAGACTCCGTACCCTTGCCGGCATATGCTCCAAATGCTATGATACAGGAACGAGTAAGAAGGATATGAAGGGTATCAGCACTAGGAAATTCCGTCGCCGCCCAAGAGCCGCTCCAAAACGCCCTGGCAAGAGAACAAAAGGATATGGAAAGGAAATTGTCGTAGCTCGTTAAGGAGAAACCGGAACGTAACTGACCAGATAGTCAGCTACTCCCCAGGGGCAGGGCCGCCGGGCACATCCTTCAGGATCTCCCATCCGTACTCCTCCTCTGGTCTCTCCGGCTCCATACCAAGAGCGTTGCGGTAGGCACGGACTTCGTTCTGGAGCCCAGCCACGACGCGGACTGGCACATTCTCTTCTTCGCAACGAATACGATAGGCATTGCGAATCATCTCCGCACATTTCATGGTTTGATTATGCCAATGATCACGCTCCAGGCGGCTCTGGAGATGCGCATCCCGTTCGTTTTGGAGGAGATTGTTGTAGTGCCGCTTCTGCGCCAGATACTGCAAGTTGTTGTTCTGGCAGTAGTTACGGATCTGTTCGACCATTGTACCAAGTGCCTGTTCGTAATCCCCGATAAGCTTTGTGTTTTCCACTTGTTCGTTTCGCAAGACCTCGTTCAGGCGCTTTTCTCTGGCCAGGGCGCGCTCCAGTTCGGTTATACGGGCAGCTGCAGGTTTCGTCAGTGGCTGAGACGCGCATTGGAGATGGGGACTCAAGATCCTTACCAGAGATCTCACCATTGACTTGTTGTAAGTTTGGAGAGGTGCCGTCAGAAGCAGAGCGTCGCTAGAAGATCGTTAGCTGAGTGCCACGTAAATTACAACGCAACCAAGGTTGGCGCTAGACATACCATGACCTCCTCGGCGCTGGAGACGATACTCTGTGTCATCTGGCGATTGTTCTTCAAAACCTCGCTCAACTCCAGAACCATGTCGTACAAATGATGGAGATCCATCTGGTGGCCCGCATTCAGAGGAATCCCCGCATTCATGCCGGTGATCCCAGCACCATTGACCTGACTAGGAGTGTGAGACATAGCGGGAGACATTGACTGACGAGGTACGTTGGTCATATTGGATTGGTTACCCGCGTTGTCGACGCCACTCGAGAAGGAACCAGAGTCGGAGGTAGTGCCACTATTCATGGACCGAGCAACAGCTTCAAAGTCGCGGTTTAGACTCTCCAACTGAGGGTCAATAGAGGGGTCAACCGCGGGCAAGGAAGCTTCGTCGTCAAATCCAAAGCCAGGAGTGTCGATGCCTAAAACGTCCTTCCGGAAGCGCTCCAAGTCCAGACGAGTTACGTGAGTGGAACGCCGACGGTGGCCAGGCACGAAAGGTCGCCTAGCGGAAGTCCCCGAGGTAGTTTCGCCAATGATGATGGGCTGGTCAGGGGCAACAATAGACTCAGGAGCAATAGCAGGAGAATGTGTCACAGAGATGGGAAGAAGAAATCGTACTGTACGAGAAAGAGTGGTGGTGGTGGTAGTATTATTAGTTGTTGTTGTTGTTGTAGCGGTAGTTTGTTCAGCATGTTCAGCAGTGTCACCTCCGCTATCACTGAATTGGTCAAGCACCAAACTTTCGGAAGCAGAATTCCGATCTTCCGGATCTCCAACCAAGGCGGTCAGCATTCTGCTATCCTGCATCTTGGAAACCCGTGATCCCAATCGATGATCCATCAAAATCTTAAGAACAAGGGGGAGGAATGAAGGTCAGTTGTAATCGCAGTGTGAATGTGTTGGGAGGTAGTGAATATGAACAAAAATATTTGAAGCAGTGCAGCCGAGCTGGTAGGGAGTCCCTTTGCTTTTCTTCCTCGGTGTTTGACCTTCACTGGCACCTTCTGTGACTGGTGCAGCTGCAGTGATTTTCTGACAATGACCTTCCATCCCTTGCACTACTTTCAAGAAAGCAATGGGCCCTGTTAAATTTAGGATCGCGCTTTCTCATTTGGAGGATGAGGAAGCTTATGACTACTCAATAAGATTGAGATCAACTGATGATGTCGGCATTCCACACATTTACATTTACAAAGTTTATACTTACATCTACATAAATCTCGAGTCATCATTATAGCCTCGACGGCTTTTGCCCCATAAATTTCATTATTATTCTTTCTCTCTTTAAATTATTTCGACTTTTTTAATTTGCTTTTCTTTTCTTTTTCTTCTTTTCCCTCGTTTCCTTTCAGCCTTTGATGACATTGTATTTTCCTCCTTCCTTTTGTTTTATCATGTTCAATCACATTCCTTATCCAGTCATATCAAGGAGGGCTTCCAGCCTTTGGTCCGAGTCCAATCGGTACGAAGCCGGATCTTCTTGACTATCACCGCGCTTCTTGCTATGCTGGATGCGACCTCCCACCCTCGCAACGAGCATCCTCATCTTCTCTAATTCCTGCACTAACTCACCATCCCGAGTAATAAGGTTCGGCTGAATATTTTGCTGCGGTTCCTGAAACGGTTTTAACAGGTGTTGTAACCGGCGTAGCTGTTCCAGACGCCGTCGTCGCTGCTGTCGCTGGTTGTCGAGAGTGACCAGGCGTTCTCGTAACCTCTGATACCTGTAACCAGCTCCTGTCAGCCGGATGAAACCCAGATCACCATATTGTAGACCCAACCTGAGACGTTCTTCCTCGGTTGCGGACTGGTCCTCGAGTTCCACGGGGAGCTGTGTAAGGTTCCTGATACGCATCAATTGATAAGCAGGGGTTCTTGCGGCCGTAAGGGAGGGGGTTTCAAACGAGTCGTGACTCACAAGTGGTTAGACAAATCAACCGTCTTCTCGATGCCTCTCTCGAATGAATTCTGGTCACGTATCGCATCGTTCACGGACGTCCAATAGAGGCTGGCAACTTGCTGTGCGACATGTTGGATTGCTTGGGAGGAGTATACTATGCGATTATGCTGCTTCAATGCGCTATTTACTACAGTCCAGTCAGCGAGGAATAAAGACGGCTAGATGAGTGGAAAGCCCCGAATGTAGTCAACCAGATAGGACCACGACCGTAGCCAAGTAGATATTCCACGAACCGTACATTTCTGTAGGACATCGCTGACCACCTTATCGCTCAGGTCATCCTCCTCCGAGGCAGCGGCATAGCTTCTCCAATCCTCGGGTGCATCAAGGCTTTCGGACAGGATACGCACCTGCGCCCGGATGAAGGAGGACTTCAGTTCGGAAATGGTACGCGTTGAGTCCATTTCCCCATCGCGCTGACTTTCATTGTCCGTCGCAGTCGCGATCGCTTGACGCTAACAATGTGCTATCTATCGATAACAGGTCACGTGCCATAGTACTAGTACTATGGAGGAGGTAAGGGGGGTTGCAGTGCAGTCGTAACATCAATACCGTTACTATTCTTATACACGGGATATTTCCCCCTTGCTTTCAAGAACGACTGTAATGTACCTCAATGGCTGAGACAAAGGAATTGAGCAATTAAACTTCAAGACATGTTGTCAAAGCATACCCTAAACAATAGCGCCTTCTCCAAGAAGAATTGGCCGTGATGGGTGGTTTATATCATAAATGAAAACAGCACGGTCTGGGCATTCTACAAAATACTTTCTAGTAGGATTGGTAAAAGCAACAATGAAAAAAGATGGTAATGGCTTATTTTCTCTCACAATTTTTTTTTTAAAAGTCCTATCTATACAGAGTAGATTTCAACACGACCCAAAGGTATAAAAAAATACCTTTTGAAAAAAATAAAAATTACATACAACAGGAGGGATTCGCTGGTGGTCACCCACCCAACTACTAACCTCCCGGCGTGTGGCTTAAGTACGGCTGAGCGGACGGGAAGCCCTGTTCTCCACACCCTATGGTCGTATGTACCAGAAATAATGGGTCACTGGATTATGTGGACTAAATGTCCATCTATGCAATATTCTCAGCGAGAGACTCCTCTCTTCCCACTTCAATTGAAGATTAAATGTTTCATTGAAGTGACAAGATATTGAAAGTAGACTGCAAAGATCATATTTCGGAACCGATCTTTCTTGAGCCCCATTCTCGATCTTGAAATTGAGGCAAACTACCGCAGTTCTTTGCATTCTAGTCTATCATCCCATCCCACCAATGATAGGATGTTGAATTGATCGACACAATCGGCCAAAAATGACGTCACCACCGGACCATCTTCGGTGTGATTATTTGAGTCCAGTGACACATGTGACCAAATATTTGGAACATACCCCACGGGGCTGCTCTGTCAGTGGTCTCTTGGATTTCGATTGTACAGATTGTCAACTGGTCGTTGGGGCGGTGGGCTGCGACGCGAATAAGCACCTATTATCCCTTGTCAAAGACATAATACATAATACTCCTTTCGCACTTCAATTCCTTGTCGATATCGCCAGATGTCATGTGAATGTGGGCACAGCCTAGAAAGCCTCCCGCAAGAATGTCGTTATCTAGTTTAGCCTGTCAATCATGTCGCAAGTAAGTGTTACTCCATGTTCTCAAGACTATAGGAGAACGGGGCTCATGTGCTGATAACTAGGCGTAAGGTTAAGTGGTATGTGAAAACTTGAACCAAGTCTTTCCAAGGTGCGTGCGAGGTAACAGCTGTCAGTGACCGGTCATTGCCGCGGTGTATAGTCTGTGATCAAACAGGCCAGACATGCAATTATCCGCTTCGCTCAATGAAACCCGGGCCTAAAATCGGTATGGAATGCCCACATTTTGCCATAAGCCGCGACAAGGTGGAGGCACATTGACAAGATCTAGGGTCTTCGCAGAAGCAGAGAAAACGCCTACGCCAGAATGGGACAGCCCAGAGACGACAGACTAACCCGCATTCTAGACCGCCACCCGGTCCTGACAATGGCCGATGGAATAGATATTTCGACGCATTGAACGATCGGGTGGAGAAAGAGGAGTTGGTCCTCGCCGTCCCCACCGGTCTTACTGGGACAACTGGGATTGAGGCGCGGGGAAGCTCGCAACATCGAACCTCTCAGTTGAATACGCTTGATCTCGCTTTCATTTTACATCCATCACACGAGGTTACAACTCCCTCCCAAAAGCAGAGCCGGAGCTCTCAGGACGGTCAACAGACAGATCTTTGCCGTCAAGCCTGCGCAGAGCTAGGCGTCTCGCAAGCTTCCATGAATAAACTGTAACGACCTCGGCTACCTAAAGAGTTGTCGAACTGGAACATAGACAAGCTAATGCACCAACAGCATTCGAGTTTTTTTCGATCACATGGTCGCTATCAATATCTTTCATGAGCCTTCGTTTGCAGAAAAGCTTTCGAATATCTCTTCGTTTTCTCAGTTGACTGCCCTTCTGGCGGCCATAGCTGGCTATGCCTCACGCTTTGGTGCCCTAAGAACCAACGACGTAGCTAGCGACACAGTTCAGCTCGTGGCAAAGAGTCACCGACAGCCTGCATACTTCATTAACCTTGCTTTCAAGTTCATAAACGAGGCGCTCGCAGAATGTGACGATGAGATGCCGCCACTTTGTGTTATACAGGCTCTCATTATTGCAACGCATTGTCGACTGACCCAGGGGGTCCGCGGAAAGGCGTGGAGATCTCTGGGATTGTGCGTCAGTTTGATATACGAAACAAACCTGCATCTTCTTGATTCCAGGAAGGTTATAAAAGCAGAGGATCCCCACCACTGGCAAGAAGACGAAGAAAAGCGTCGTGCCTTTTGGGCCATCTGGGAAATGGATGTTTTTGCCAGTACTATCCGTCGGATGCCAACTACCATTAACTGGAACCAAATGGAAATATTGCTTCCAGTTGACAACGCTCACTGGTTCTCAGGCCACCCTACTTCGAGCTGCTTTATGGAGGCGGATATAAACAAACGTTGGAAGGCGTTGCAGGACAGTGGTAACCAATCATCGAAAGCGTGGTTCCTCGTTATCAATTCTCTCATGAAGAATGCCCAGATCGCCTGTGACCCACAAGGAGCGTCTGCCATAGGTAGTCAGGGCTATCACCAGCAAATGCCAAATAGCCAGATTTCAACCCTCGAGTCGGCCATGGAGACTCGTCGAAAATTGGAAACCTTGGCAAACGCCGTACGCTGCTTTACTTTGGCTTTGCCCAGCCATCTCCAGTATCGCGATCAATATCTGGCCTTTTGGGGGCCGGTACAAGGGCAGACAGAATCTCAACGACTGCAGCATTGCTCTATCTATAATATCTTCGTTATGACCCAATTAGCTCGTTTGATGATCTACAGATATGACGCATTCAGATCTCAAAATCATCCAACTGAAACCAGTGGCCGTCATCCTTCCGGAAATTCGGCTGGTCGGAGTACTTTTAGTCTGCTCGATACTGAAAATGGAGCGCTTCGACAGTACTACGAGGCAGCTGATCGCATTCTAGGAATAGTGAATCGGAGTTGCGAGGATCATGTTCAGCATATTAATCCATTTCTACCTAGTACCATATGGCTTGCCTCGGCGGTACAACTGGTCCGCAAACATTTTGCTCGAACACAGTCCAATCGAGATCTAGTAAAGTCGCGCTTTGACGTTCTTTATCTGACCTACAAGCGATGCGTTCAATTTTGGGATATTCAGACCGCTCTCCAGAAGAACCTAGAGTTGATCGAGGAGCAACTGGAAGCCAGGACCAAGAAACCGGAGGTTCAAGCTTGTCCATCCTCTCAAGAAGCGTCAAATCGAGCATCGGAAGACACCGATATGATCAACCAGTCAGCCTCGGACCAAGAAGGTCACAACGTAGAGCGCAGCCTGAGTTTTGACCGGTCAGCCCGACAAGCTTCTCAATACCTACCCGAAACACCCAGTGTCCTGCTCACCAGTTCAGCCCCTATGGATGCCAGATTAGAGAATACAGCCCAAAACCATGCGCGAAAGCACCCATACGTCGCAGATAGCATGGCAATGCTCGACTATATGACTCCTCCACAACTGAGTAGGAGCCAGGTTCCAGAGGACTACATGGTGCCCCCGAACTCTCATTTCCTTGATACAATATATCAGCTCGACCAGGCTTTTGATTGGCCCACTTTTGATTTTCCTGGTGGAATCTATGATTTACTCTCAGGGTGAACTACATCCCCGTGCACTCTTGCCATTGTTGGATCGATTTATCCTCCCACCATTTTTCCACAATTGGCCACTCCATCCCTCCTGACAAAGTAGCTGTCCTAGCCAGCTTGTGATGCGGTATTGCAATCCTCTCCTTCTTCTCCGACATCCATGTATTGCTTTTGCTAGAGACACAGCCCTCTGTAATCTACCTGGGTACCCTATGGGGCTTGGACATAGCGCGGATTTACCGTCTCTGGATTTTCTGTAGACTCCGCTCCACTTAAGGCATGTAATGTCTCAAATACCGCCTAGATGCGAATTGGAATGGAGATCCGTAGTCTACAGCAAAATACGGAGGGACGTATCCCACCCCAGCCAGGGAAGACAAAGCATGATCTGTCTCTAGTTTGTATTCCACTGTCCCAAAACCAAAAGTACAGTGAGAAACTGTTTCCCTATAAAGTATTTAAAGTCCCTGCTTGCTCCTTCCTCTTTTGCTCTAAGCAACTGACCGAAGATAGTCCGTGCGGGATCGGGATAATTTCGCTCGAGTCCGTGAACCCTGTTACACCACTACCAAACCGCTAAAAGCAAGATCACCCCAGACCCCCTGGGCTTTTTTTGCGGGGAGGGCCAGGGTATTTAGAAAAGGGAAATATCACTTGAAGAGTTTCTATCTGGAACAACAATCTACCGCTCAGTCGTGTTCTAATATTGGCTGAAGACAAGTCGCGAAAATGGCAGCCTCAAGCAATGAATCTCGAATTAACCTCACTCGCATTGCACATGTCTTCTACACCCATAAAGAAATCGACAAAGCCCATCAATTCCTACTGGATTTCGGATTCCAGGAAGTCAAGCGTGTGGGCAATGACATCTATTACCGTGGCACCAGTTCAGAGCCATTTGTGTACTGTGCGCGACGAGGCGAAAACGACGAGTTTGGAGGCGCAGCCTTTGTCGTGGAATCCGAATCTGATCTTTTTGCTGCGACAAAATTACCTGGGGCGACAGGCATCTACGACTTTAACGATGCGTTAGGTGGTGGTCGCTGCGTCACTTTCCATGACCCCATCGACAAGTTCCCATTTCATCTTGTTCATGGACAAAAGGCCCATGCCGATGAGAAGGTGCTTCCACAACTTGACTACAATTTCGTCAGTTATTCTCCTTGTTTATATAACTCGCTCCTCGGAAACATTCTGACCTTCCCCCAGCCAACAGACAAACACCGGCCAGGGAACAAAACACAACGATTCACAAAGGGTAAGCGACAGAACCTAGTAACCCAATCTCTAGCAACCTCTATTGAACCTTTGAAACCCAAAAGGCCCTGCACCTGTGCACAAATTAGGTCATTTCGGAATGTGCGTCACCAATTTTGCGAAGGCGTTTGAATTCTATACTACACGATTCAACTTCAAACCAAGCGATGTTAGTTTCTCCGCGGGTTGGCTCTTCACGAGGCTCGGCGTATACTGACCAAGATCCTTTACCACATGGGTCCAGCTGATTCACGATTCTACCGGAAGAGATATATCCACCTTTCTTCATCTGGACCGCGGTTCGGAGTTGGTCGATCACCATTGCTTTTTCTTTTTCGAGGGACCTAGGTCGCACGTTCACCACTCATCATTTGAGACGCATGATTTTGACACACAAGTGCTGGGTCACGACTGGCTCCGCAGCAAGGGGTATGAGAACTGCTGGGGCGTTGGACGTCATATCATGGGCAGTCAGATCTTCGATTATTGGTACGCCTCATGATACCATCCTCTCCCAGGTAATTTCTAATACATATTTGGCCAAAAAAGGTTTGACCCCTCTCGTTTCATCATCGAGCATTACGTGGATGGTGATTTGGTAAATGACCAACACCCAACGAATCGATCCCTTGCCACACCGGATAATTTGCACGTTTGGGGTAGGCCTTTGACCATGATGCAATCTAGTTCCATTCATCTAATGTATCGCTAGGTCCTGACCTTCCTCCCACCTTCCTGCAGTAGCAACAATTTTTAGATCCTTCTTGTCGTCTTATATCCGACACCACCAGGAAGGTGGAGATTGGTACGTCGCTTAATGTCTTACTCTTACTATAGTAAGGGAGTAGCATGCTCTTCGTGCATATTTATATGATATGTTGGTTAGACAGCTACGCTTCGACTTCGTTGGAGCCTTTGTCACCATGAATATTCAAAGAGAAATTCTTGCGCAAATGACTCTAATTTGTAACTTACTATTGCATTGCGCGGTTTGGCTTTTGTAATTAGATTATCGGAAGGCATGTTGCATGTTGCACCTTAATATAGGCCAACATTGGACAAAGATTGGGGTAGAAGCGTTCGCAGCATTAATCCATAAAGAAGCCATCTAGCCCGTCTAGTTTAGGGAACGTGTTACTGAAGAAAGTGAATTTGGCTTGTTAAGGTTCATCCGGATTGGCAAGAGATGGGAGCATAGCAGTGTTTTTTGCAATCCGTGTTAGTTAGAGCCCTCCCAGCGATAGTGCCAATTTCCCTTTATTCACACTAAGAAGATCCGGGCAACCGGTCTGGATACATTGCGATGACTGAAGATCCCCCAAACCCGAGTGTTATTCATGCCGAATCAGTTTATAGCGGGTCTTAATCGTAATGGTTAACTTTGTTTACCCCCCTCAAGCTGGGATGGTGCCATTCGTATTCCACGCCGTCAGTCTTGATTTCTATTCCTCGTTCGACTGAAAATTGCGCCGAAGAGAGTCCGCCCGAATGCATTTGCAGTCGGCCCCTCGGCCAACCCAAACTGGTCTCATGGTTGATAAACTTCCGAGCGCAAATAGACCGAAATCGTTCCATGTGTCTTTGTAAGGAATTACATCTTGCAGCGGGGGGACCGTCGGCATCGATTAGTCCCACTCAAGGTCTGACGTGGGAAGTTCAAAAGGCCGCCACGGCTCACGGTTGGCAATCGCAGAGGAAGAATACTTGACTACTGCCTAGCTTTGCGGATAATATCTGACCCAAAAAGAATTTGCAAAAATGGGTCCTAATTGGACACACCTCGTGAGATTCATCAGCGAAGAGGATGGCCAAATTCACCTTGGCGAAGTCGATCCAAGCAAGCATCCAGATGTTGGGATCGCAACATTTAACGGCGAGAGAGTTGCGGCCAAGTTGGTCAAAGGGTCGATCTTCGATGGCACAGTAACAGACACAACTGTGCACATTGCCAGAGTATGTATTCCGCAATCCTGAACACCTGGAATCCAATATTCGAAAACTGACTACCCCGTTCGAAACAGCTTCTGGCTCCCATTGGAATTGAAGAAGTGCCCATTATCCGGTGCATGGGGCTCAACTATCGCGACCATGCCAAAGAGGCGGACATGCCCATTCCAGATGTGCCGGTCGTCTTTATCAAACCGCGCACGGCACTCAACGGACCCTATCCTGCAAAGATAAACGTGCCCAAAATTGCACAGGATGGCTCCAGCGACTACGAGGCAGAGCTATCGATTATTCTGTCTAAGACTGGTCGAGATATTCCCGAGTCAGAGGCCATGGAGTATGTGTTGGGATATACCTGCAGCAATGATGTTAGTGCTCGAACACAGCAGTTCAAGAACAGCCAGTGGTCCTTCTCAAAAGGTGAGACAGACCAGTTGCCTCATTATCTCCCAGGCCCATTAGTTGTGTCATTTACCCAGAGCTGACTTGATTGAATGGAAAGGTCTTGACGGATCTTGTCCACTGGGCCCGGTCCTTGTGTCCCCATCCGCCATCGGCAACCCGCATAATCTGCAAATTAGAGCCATCCATAATGGCAATGTGGTGCAAGACTCAAACACTAGGTTAGTCTATTTCAAGGATCGATGGTTGCCATCATCTAAACTCTCCAAGGTAGCTGACATTTTTACTTTTAAGCGAAATGATCTTCGATATTGCAAAAACGATTGCATTCCTCTCTCAGGGAACCACTCTAGAAAAGGGCACCATTATCATGACCGGAACGGGTCCTGGAATTGGCGCTATGCGTAACCCCAAGATCGTCCTGGAGCACGGCGATGATATGAGAGTGGAAATTGAGAAAATCGGGACTTTGATCAACGAAGTCTACTATGAGTAAAGAGTAACAAATGGTGAGAAATGTTGTTCGTGATTATCCAAACAAAATAAGAGCATTTGCCTTCGCCTACCTAGACGCGCAAAAGTAATAGCAATAGCAGCCTTCGTAGATAGCCAAGCACCCCCAAATGGAGTTGTTTGTCAAAAAGCCTCTGCCGTTTCACATAATTATACATGAGTGATATCTTTCAGCTCGAGGAATATCTCTTGCGCAAATTCATCTTGCGCAAACCTGCCCAGGAAGAATATAATGTGGAACAATATCCAGTTTCTGACGAGAGAAGCGCATGGAATACTTGGTGAATATACATAGAGGTATATCATGTCTGGTTGATAGCTTAGTTAATGAATATCTCAATCAGATGCTGCAACACAATCTTTTGTACGCAGCATAATATACTCAACTTTTATTCATTTTTACGGCTCAGACTGCCATTGATATCCCCTTGTCAGTATATTCTTTGTTTATAAGATTTTTAAACAGGAGCCGAAGAGTTGGTCAGTATAACTGCTATGACTTCGCCTATCCATCATATTTCAGCCGGACCAGGACCGGCAGAAACGGAACATTGTGAGTACTATACATCAAGGTATCCTAGAATGGTCCTCATAACTGTAAGGAGCTTCGATGCGCATGCTTCAGTATCCTTGAGAACTGCCGGTGCTCTCCACGCTACGAACCGATCGGGTCGCACCAACACGGCTCCAGATTCCTCCACGCCTCGCAGGTTTTCCCACTCAAAGTAAACGTCCTCCCAATCTTGTCTGAACCCAATATAATGCACCTGTATTGGAACCTTCAGCTTTTCGGCAACATTTTCAGCTGCTTTCTTCCATCGCCCACCTCCGATTCCACTCAAGAGGACAAAAGAGCCATGGCCAGCAATGTCGACTGTCGAAATAGGCTCTCCCGGGATTGCTGTGTTGAGCCACACATGAGGCAATCGAGATCCGGGATAAGTGCTTGGTTCATGAAACAAGATGCTATCTTCAGCCGCCCGTCTGGATGGCGCATAGGGATTGGGCTCATCATCTGTGTAGACACCTTGGCCGTCGTAATGTTGATTCATTTCAACTCCCAATCCATGGAATTCATGAGAAGTATGCTTGATTGCCGCATGCAGGGCACGGCGGCGGTTTGATCCTTCTGGCGTCGCACTCTTTAACTCCTCTAAACTCTTCTTCCGCGCGGACAAGTCCGGGGGCAACATGCCTAGTGCCTTCCACACGAGAAAGTGGTCGCGGTATGCCTGATTCGCTCTGGTGATAATCGAATAACCCACAGGCTGTCTCTCGATGGAGTATGTGGATAGAAGAGACGGTGACGCCAGCCCCTTGTGAACATATGCGACCTTCCAGGCGAGATTGAAAGCATCCTGGATGCAGGTGTTCGACCCAAGCCCGTTTAATGGAGGGTGACGGTGCACGGCATCACCAAGACAGAAGCTAGGAATAAAACGTCGTTGTCAGAGACATTACGATTATCGGATCGACGGAGCCAACACTCACATGTTACCCTCTGAATATTTCTCTGCGACGATCTCATTGATATACCACGTGGAGATATCCAAGATCTCTGCAGGTGTATCATCGCCAATAAACTCCTGGACTCTCCTCTGATACGCCTTTTTAGACGGCTTGCCTTGAGAACGGTCATAGTTACGATCTGGGAATAGAATGAACATCCACTCATTCCATGGCTTCACCATCCGAACGATTCCCATCCAGCCAAAATCTGGGTGCTCTCGATCTGGCTGCATAACCCAATGAAGATTGCCCGTTCGGTTTTTAACTAGATGGGAGAGGTCGGCTTTGACCAGCACGTTGATTGCAATACCTTGACCAGGCTGAACCACCAGAGGCAAGTTAAGTTGTTTCACCACCTGGCTCCTGGCACCGTCAGCTCCGAAAAGATACCGTGTTTGGATCTGGTATTCCTTGCTTGTCATCTTATCGTGAATATTGGCCGTGATCAAGCCGGTCTTCGAGTCGCTAAAGAAAGAAACGAGCGTGGAATCAAAACGACACTTGAAGCCTTTCAAAGCGGCATGCCGAACCAGAACTGGTTCCAAGATCGTCTGCGGCAGATCAAATGGTTCACATGGGCTAGCTAGTTCATAATCTCCCTATGTCCTACGTCAATCTACCTCCCTGACAGAATAAGAGAGGACCAACTGATCTCACCTTTCTTCTAGGGTCATTCCCCCAGGAGTGGATGCGTGCGTACTCCTCGCCTGCCATACTATGACACCATCGTGTGTGTTGCATATGATCTGACCCTGTGGATCCCAGCTTCTTCAGTTCGTCATATAAATCAATATCGCGTAGACACTCTGAATGGACAAGTCAATGTGTCAATAACAAAGCAATATTTGCTACCTTGGCAGATGACTGACCCAGTGCCGCCATATTAGTAATATGTGCGCGAGGTGTATTCGCTGTTCCTGGAGCGTTGCTGATCATGATGCCCTTCAGCCCTTCATAGTGTTAGTACCAAGTAGCGACTGCCATGCCAATGCAATAAAACATACCATGAGAACCAAGAAAGCAAGCCAAGGCTGCCCCGGCAGGACCTGCCCCGACAATGAGGAATTCCGTATCGACTACATGACCCGGCGCTGGAGCTGAACAGTTGCGCTGGGCGGTGGTTGCTATTCCGCTTATTACTGGAGTCTCTTTTGCTCCCTCGGATCGGGTCATGCCACTGTCGTTCGTATTGTAAGGCGCCATTTTCTCTCGCGATGTTTGCGTCAGTAAGAGACGTGTTTCCAAATTGATGCCGTGTTTTATATAACGAATCTATGCAAATTTATGAAAATAGCGTGGAATAAATCAATTTCCATTATAAATAGGCCATTCGTAGTAGAGTTGACTGTTTCAGCTGATAGGAAGCCCAAGAGTTAGTGAAGAGGGTGTTTGCGTATAACTAAATCGTGCCGAAGATAGTCCGCCTCCCAAGCGGCATCACTTTCCTATGCTCTCGGGAAAACCTCGTGCAGATTGCGTAAAACCACTCTTCCCACTATTGAGATTTGCTTGTGTATCGGGTCCACGGAATTATGAATAAGATGATCAAAAGCTTCGTGCTGATGATAGTTGGGTCAGAACAGCTCACCTGTCATTCGACAACTTTGATAAGGATTTGTGGAGTCAAAGCCTCGTCCGACCAGCCTCAGGGAAGCCAATTATTTTACTAATTATACCTATAGTTCGACTCTAAGTTTCCCTAGAAAAAGAATAGATGGAAGGTAGAGATGCCGGGCCCTAGCATTCCGTGCCAATTTCGCGCAGAGTTCGCAATATATCGCACCTTGTTACATTCTGGAAGAGGGTGGGAGGTATGACGCTCAGTTCGATTCATGCTTTCTAGCACTCACTGTCCGCACGTATTGCCTCCCGCTTCTAGCATCATTTGTAACTTTTGTGGTTCGTATTTGCCTCCGATCTAGATAGGTCGCGTTGATCGTTGATCCCTGATACGCCATCAAGTTCGATAACTCCCCTCCCCGAAACTAGTAATTCCGCCTAGACCTGTGCCCTTTCCACCAATAGCAAGCATGTGAAAATATTGATATCATCCCACTCGCTGGAGTTATCTGAAGACCGCACTCCGAAGTCCACGCTACCGCAAACAAAGAATGAATCTTTTTGGGGGGACAGGTGATGTTGAACGGTAGGGAGAGATTTTTCAATAGGAAAAAGAGCAGACAATCCAAATAGTAAGAGCTTTTCTGCTCTTTAACCTACTGAACGTGTTCTCTTCATGTCAGAATATTCTATGGATTTAATATTACCTAATCCCGGAAGTGGAACGCTAATTTGACTAGTCCCGTCTAGCAGCCACACCTAGCTAGTTTAGACTTCAAAGCATCAATAGCACTGCCTACTCCCGACTCCCGGAGAGCCAGATCATAAAGTAGAGAAATGTCAACCTGATAAGGACACCGTCAGCTGTACTGGGTTCTAGAATAAAAATTTGCGTTCCAAAGGTCACGCTTAAATTACAGCGCTAGTGATCTCAAAGTTCATACTATTGTTTCATGTTAGTTCCCTCTTACTCATATTCAATTCAGCTAACTGCTATCATATAATTTAATCAGGTGGCTATTTAGCTAGGAAATGAGAATTCTTGAATTGTTGTAGCCGACGTATTCGGATTACACCTCACCTCCAAGATGACCACCCAGAAAGCAATTGTCGTTATTTCTCCGCAACAGGAGAGCCTGGTAGTAGATATTCCTTAACATAGTTGTTTAATATATCTTTTTTTCTTTTTCCAAGTGGCCAGGTGAATAAACCGAAGTTTATTTATTTATATTTCCTATAAGAGATTATTATTGGGTATCTGGCCAAGAGAAGAGCTACAGAGAGATGCTGAAAATAAATAACCGAAATTACTAGGACTGGAGATATATTTAAGGATTCTATTCTATAGATCGGGGAGCTGAAACTGAGTGGATTGGTCTATATAGGAGGAGCTATATATTATTATTTTAGATTGGTAAACAGTACTGATTATTCTAGCGTTAGTTTATATTAATATCAGCCTGATATATCGATATTCAATGTACATATGTGACTGTGCAGTTTAATGTGTATTATATGGTCAAAATAGAAACATTATAATATTTGGCCAAGGCGCATAGACATCTCACATAGCGCTATAGTACAAGTTTCAGTCAATTCGTTGCTGGCCACCAGACCTGTTGTAGGTATTAACTCTTGCATAAAAGTGATTCTCATAATATTGAATTATGAATTTTCTCGAAGTTCTGTTATATCAAAAGTGATCTACGTTCCCCTCCCCGAAACCACCTACATCATTTTCAACGAACCATTTGACTCCTGATTCAAGATAGCACACTTCTTCCGCCCATCTTCAGTCAATATACTTCTGATCTTCACCTCCAGATGACTAGATCTCATTTCTGGATCACTCCATTCGTACCATTTCTTTCTGAGCTCCCCATAACCGCTCGTGGGGAGAAAAGGGATGCCTCACCCATTTCTAGACAGACTACCCGGTCAAACAATGACTTCTTGTACAAGTCTGTCTATTTTTTTTCTCTCTACATGCACTGGATTGATCGTCATATGTTATCTATACAAAAAATGCGTCAAAACTCCGGGTCTTTCCGACCCTCCATGATGTACAAGAGCTCCATAGTGAAGACCAACGTTGCTGTCCCGGAAGTTCGGTTCTTCAGTGAGAGAAAATGCAGAATTTGGTAGACCCATTAATCAATTCAACACAGAAAGTTCCTCATCAGAGTCCGGCATTAAAGATTATATCAGTCATAAAAATTTCGGAAATAGTAAAAAGGAAACATACAACAGGAGGGATTCGCTGGTGGTCACCCACCCAACTACTAACCTCCCGGCGTGTGGCTTGAGTACGGCTGAGCGGACGGGAAGCCCTATTTTCCACACCCTGTGGTCGTATGTATTGGTTTGTTACTTGAAGCAACATACATCGTCCCGAAAGGTTTCAATGGGACTAATAATGGAAGGTTTCCTTTTCTTGTGTTATCTGTTTTGCTTTCACAAGACAAGTGTTCCCTGCCACAAGACTTTGATGCAAACTTGATATCCTACTCTGTTGATATAGACTTTCCTGGCCCTTCCCGTATTGTCACAATGACATATATGCCCAAGCTTTGGGCCGTATCAGAGCTAATCATGCCTATTAATACAACTTCCGAAACCTGGATATCCCCATGTATGTGAATGATGTGGGCTTTGCAAGCACTGTCTGTGTGGGTCAAAGCCCATATGACAGTATACACTGCGACATGATGTGTGCTCCCTCTAACAACACATAGCATACATTCTAGCTGCTCATACTTTAGTAGCCAGTTTAGCAGTCGTGAGCCATGGCTTGCTATAGGCTCAAGATTAACGCTACAGGTTGAAGCTGACAGTCCTTCCAAGACAGGTTGATCATATGTAAAATGGTATACTTCCAAACTGGATTTAGTGATGCTCTAGGTACTGCTCAGGAAGTCTAGCAACATCGCGTGGGCTCGACCGGGCAGCGCTAAGCATTTTCCAAATATCAGCTCTTCCATAGGAATAAACAGGTTCATCGTCCTCAAAACGTATCCTCGCTCAAAAAAAAAATCGTTGTCAGCCCTATAGTGGTGGCAGATCTGACAGTTGCCATTTGACTGCCGTATGCAGTCCGAGTTGGTGTAACAGCCCAAATCGTAGCAGAACTCAGCCCCGCTTCGTAAAGATATTGTCCAGGTCGTAGGTCACCAACCAATCGCTAGCGGGCTCATGCTCAGGCAGTTTGAGCTCCGGGTTGCGCCTCTTCATTCCCTTTGCAAACAGCACCCTGGCATAGGGAGGGTCAAACACGAATGTCGTTTCACCGGTCACAGAGCTTTTCAATTCCGCCGTAGCTGTAACCTCGTCTATGGCGACGTACTCCTCCGGGTTCGGCACTGTTGCCTTCTCGATTTGTTCCTTCACGTGCTTTGCAGTCAGTCTCAGCATCGAACCGGGTGTCGGTGAAATATAACTTGTCTGGGCCAGCCGCTGCCACATATGGAGTATTCGGAGCCACAACCTGGAGGCCATATTCTGTTTTGATAATCTCTGGTACGTAGCTGCCACGATATTCTTCTTGGAAGGCTGGTGAGCCCTCGCATGGTTGGAATGGGTTCAGAAGCATGGTGATGAATAGTATAAAGAGCATTAAATTATAGGGACAAATTGACTATGTAACTGTCAAAAAAGGCTTACCAATGCTTCACAAGGCTTGAGAAGTCCTATGGATATTCTGGATAGGCTCGGGAGAAGACGAAGGTACAGTAATACTGGAGGGTAGGCTTCTTTATACATTGTGAACAAGACAGAGTGGAACTAAATCAGGTACAGAAAGTTCATAGTTTTCATAACCGTAGTCCAGCATGTTCCAATATCCCTGTTCAATCTGCCCGACATGTCTCAATACCCTTGTTCGACCTGCCCAGGTCGGGCCATCATTTTTCCTTCGTGTCATATATACACTCGGGCTTAGCCAGGGTATTGGTCAGTGTAATCCAGTTCTCTGATAGCACGCAGAGCCTTACAGGCTGACCCCGTGATTGGTCACTGCATACCACCACAATGCTACCATTGTAGACTCATGCATATATGCCTTGATATTCGGGAATCCGCCGGACTAGGTGTGCGAGATAACGATGGACAGAATTGTGGCGATGTAACTGAGACATGCAAACCTGTGCCTCTAGTGGATCGTTCTCGTGGCGATCGATGATTCGTGAGCTCCTTGAATGCATAATGCTGCTTATCCATATTCCAGTCATCTTGCACAGAGAACCGGTGATCCGTGTGTACCGAGTGATCTGTTACCCGGCAGCTGGGCTGGACCGCTCCGATCCGATATATCCGTCCCACCTAGCTACCTGAGGAGAGATTTCAGTCCAAATGCGTCGCATGGTTGAGGTGAGACATGCCCCTGGGTAAATCAGCTAGCATGGGGATCTGGCTGGACTTATCCGAGGCAGCGGAATGGAACATTAATAACAGATTGCTGGTGGGACAGAGGCTTATCGGGAGCATCGAACCCTACCGGGTAGAATAGATACGATGCTGCCGCTACCGACAGTTCGGCCACCCAGCTTGGTCATACAAAGAATGAGTGAAGTGCGGATATCCGGGGATCAGGCCTAGATATGCCGACTGCAATGGGCTATATCCGATAAGTAATCGGACATGCTAGGCACCCCGGAAGCCCTCAGTCATCTCAATGACATCAAACATCCGAATCCCACAGTTGAACATCATGAAATCCACACCTGCAGTCCCTAAGTCCCTAACAGACGGCAGGAAGGCACCTAATAACAAAAGTCTTTATATTTGGATGTTAAAACTAGTAAGATAGTTTTTATAAACTAGTTAGCTTCTTATACACGATTTGTATAGTTAGGAGATCAACATACCTTCATAGTAGAGATATTTTATTAATGTGTCTCTATATAAACTTGATCCAATAATAGCTCCAGTTCTAACCCCAGAAAGTGACAAGGTGAAAGTATCTTGAAATCGAGCCTGTTTATGAGTGTAGTCATGACTATCATCCTGAAACAAGCATCTAAGAAAAAGATTAAGATCTGTTGTGGTAATATAGAATTCTTCTCTATATCTTGTTTCGAGTCCATATATTGGTGTTTATCCATTGCATATATACTCTCGTGAAAGAAGAGTAAGCATGTATATATTAGAAAAGGAGTAAAAGGTGTATAGTATATAAGCATGCTGTATTTAGAAGGTATATCTCCTTCACGTAAAAAGATGAAACTCTCCAAAAAGAGCTTCTAGATCTGGCTGGGAGGATCAGGTTCTGGATTTGAGAAATATCTCTCTTCAGGTTTATTTTGTGTTAGCATCGACCTAATTTGGAATCAGAAACGTTTCTTGAATTTACTAGAAGAATAATTTAAACACTTATATTTTTTCGCTTTTTAAAAGCTCTGTCGTACCTTTCATCAGTAGCTGGAGCTCACGTTTAGTGGTACATCTCTCACTCTCTTTCTTTTCTGTATCTTACTGGTACTCTGTGGTAAAACCATGTACTCTTGTTGCTCTTATGTTACAGCAATGACTTCCGAATCATGATAAAAATATAATATGACCATAACATTACTCTCTGATTAGAAGTTCACTGCAGCTATGTTTCAGGGTGGATCAGAGTCTGCCTCGATTGACTTGCAGCAGCAGGCAATGTGGATACCACTTCTAGTCTGCTTTATGGTACGCCTGGAAATCTGGAGTATGGAATGGACCAGGCTTTGTGTTCGAAATCTGAACATTGGGAGTGGAAGCAGCCTCAGTCATACTACACCAATCATCTCAGTAGTCTGCCATGCTGCATGCTGACATCTCGTTTGGCTTCTTACTTTGTGTGTGTGGCGCTGTCTGTATATAGATACCGCATACAGCCATACCACTGCCAATGACCTGTTTTGTATAACCACATTATATCCAAAATTGGGATACTGTCAGTGCGCCTCGTCTGCCATGCAACACAAGCAATGTCTGATGACCCTGGCAAAGGTCTCGGAGTTTTACCCCTGGCCAAGACATTTAATTCTCCGCGATGTTAGATTCAACTACCGTCCAGACCCACGAAAAGGAATACATATACGAACGTTTGTCGTACGACAGGCCTGGGCATCTTATCATATGACATGTAATCACCAATCTAAGACGCGATATATCGTCGCGTCCGAAGGTAGTATCCACCATCAACTCGCACGGAGCAAAGGTTCGGAGTGAGCCCCCTGAACACCGCAGGTGCAGACAAGAGAAACGGTGACTTTCGCCCGGGTACAAGAAGGATTCGCTGGCATGACAAGGCGATCGCTTGCAGAAACATCAGACAAAAACTCTGTTGCAATCCCAAAGACTCGTTCACCTCCGGAAAGTGCAACCGGCTGCAAGTCCGCCAATTCTCACGTTATCTGACTAAGAATGGAAGTGAATATAGTGGGAAAAGAGTGGCGTCCACCCATGGAAACAGCTTCATATAGGGGAGTTGAAGTTGCGTGGTCATTCCTGGGGTCTGTCAAAAGTGTCCAAGGCTCGATATCAGATGCTACTTATCCTTCATCGACTGTGGAACCTGATGCCCTTCGGATCAGTGATACATGGTTCAATGCCAATGGGTCCATGGCTTGGACAGATAGACAGACACTTTGGATCTTGTGGAGTGATGAACTAGGTGATGAGATTGTCCCGGCAACTTTGCTGCATATGAAGTGCTATAGATCTAGATGCCGTTTGTCCTAACTGATACCCGTCAGAGTCTCTCTAGAAAGGTATATGATGTTGAGGCGGGGAAGCTCTGTGACACGCGATGTCACTTGTATTATCATCTCATGTTGACGGAGATATCGTGATTGGAGGCTACCAGGAGGACAGGCTGCACAAGGACGGCCATAGACAGCTTAGGCTATCTGGAGAGTAGTATTGTCTCTTACCAACAAATTGATACAGACGTTCGCGGGCACTGGGCTGCATTTGACGTGCCACAATGTCAGCTTATACGTTACATTCAGATGTTTACTTCCCCGCGTTTCCTTCTGTCTGCGCATGGGAAGTTTTCAGAGCTCGACTATAACTATGTGGGTTCATGCCTCCTTTAGGGATTTCTTGTATCCTCTAACGATCGAGACTTCAAAACCAGATCTACCTGCCATTGGAACAATTCATTGACTCCGTTTTCTCTCCTCAGAATGAAGTTCTACATACCCTTGACCCTTCTATTTGCAGCCTTGGCTATTGCTGCTCCAACAGAGGCGGCGACAGATGATTCTGTTTCAACGGATGCTGAAGCTGCCCCAGCATATTGCCGCGACGTCACTCGATACAATAAGTGTCTCAGGGTACAGAATCCTCCCATAACTTTGTGGGCAGGATCTTTACTAACGGTAAATTGATAGTCTTGTGGAAGTCATAACCAAAAATGCCGTCGGGTGAGTCGAATAGATTTTAGATCTTTGGAGCACAAACAACTGACTAGGTGCCTTTTCTCGAACAGGCATGCTACACACACTGGTGCTAGCTAACCAGCTTTTATGCGCCGCTTCCTCGAATGGATATGTTGGGTTAGGTTGGGCTGGATGCTTTTCCGGACCCAATTGCTATCAAGTGGCTCTCCATTTTCAACAATCAGAGAGTCATTGCGAGATGTGTTCTTTTTTAGGGAATGACTGGTGGCAAGGTACCATTCGACATGATTGTCTGCTTGATTGTGTGGTGTTTTGATTCCACGAAAGCCTATCCTCTCATTTAGTGTTTACTGCAGTGATCAATGAAATTATTATCGCGATAACATCGATGATCAGCAGTAGGGCCCCGGCCATCAAAAATCGAGGGCAGAATATAGCAAAGAGCATTAGGTGGCGTCGTAGGACACTAGCCCATATTGCCGTTGACAACGCCCATACCGAGTATATCAATATATGGATTGCGAATGAGTTGGTTACACTATGAACTTCCTGAGGCTGTACATCCCGTGATATGATTAGAGGGATCGAAAATGCAGCGACAATTGGGCCAGCAAAGGTATTGAGGGTCACAAGCAACGAGGACCAAGGATAGTGAAGGTCCTGGGACAGGATATAAGCAGCTTCCCATTGGATGCTGGAGAGGGTTGCGTTATGGCCGGTGCCAAAGAAGTGGAGGGTTCCTAAAAGCGCAGCAATTGTAGGCCCTATACTACCGTTCTGAGAGTGATTGAGCAATTTGCGTAGGCTCAGGATCTGGAAATATAGTATGGACAAGGAACCACCTCCCATCGGACCACTCACCAAAATGCTAATCACTAAGATGGATGTAGTGATGATCATATTATATCGGACAGGAGTCATGGTCGTAGTCCGCTCTGTGATGAGGGCCATTCCACTGCCAGCAATTGTAGTGACTAGAGTGGCCTGTGAAAAGAATATGCGAGGCCCCTTAGATAACATGTTGAAAGGACTACCTTCAAGCCAACCATTTCTATTGGCAGAATCAAGAGTCCAATACACAGCATTGAAGAAAAGTGCTATGGGTATGCCAATGTGACACCATGTCCAGACCCCAAGGTTTCTAGATATCAAATCTGAACCAAAGGCTATTTGAGTGACCAATGGAATGAGTATGACTGTCACATACGGGATAAGCAACTCCCAGCTCATGGCGTTACCCAGGCGATGGTAAGTCGTTACGCAAAATGGAAGTTGCTCTTCCCGACAATAACGACTTATTGACACCACCCTGGCCAGTGCCATGAATGATACAGAGAGAAGAGCCCCTAGTATATTCTGTCTTCTGTCCCAGGTCCTATATGACATTGAAATGGTATATATGCCAAATGTTGCAAGGAAGGTGAGTACAATCTGATCTTCCCATATAGTGTACGAATTGGACGCAAACCCGATAGAGAGTAGAATAGTAAATGCAATCGCTATTGCGTCCAAGAAGGTCGGCATTTGAAATTTCGTGGGTGCCTGAATCATCCCAAACAGATGAAATCGACAGGTGAACAGCATAAGACTACTCATAGTAGCCCCCAGGATCAGAGCATCAGTCGCGCGAGGTTCCTCTGGCTCAAATATAACGATATGAATCAAATAAGTGGCTATGGATGTTGCGGCCCCTATTTTGATTGCCCTAGAAGAAGCACTGGGACGGAGATTGCATTGGCCCCACACGCAAACACGGAGTAACAGTGCGACGGCTCCAAATGACAGGATTGTCAGCCCCTCTATCATGTATGCTATGTTGAACTGCGCCCATATGCGTTTGTAGTGCTTCAATATATTTCCTTGGTAGTCGCATAATTGGTGGTATAATGTCTTCAGAGACTCTTTGTCCTGAAAATCAAATTCTTGCAACGAGACCCGCCGAGGTGAATTCGTATGGTTGTGCTCTAGAGAGTGCCGGGCATTTTTCATTCTTATCGAGTATTCTCGGTGGAAACGTTCAATTTGTGCAATGGATAGCATGTATGCACGCACCAGTTGCCCCCAGTTATCCCCGGCTGCTCCAAGGAAAGCCTCTTTCATAGGACTCCCTAGGCTATTGAATGGAATGGGAACTCCCAGAAGGAGCGACAATGTCGAGACAAAATCTATTTGATAGACGGCTGATTTGTTAAGATACGAGGCCGGCTCCTGTGGATGCACCAATAAATGACCAAAATGCTTGCGCCGAGTATACATCCACAACGCCGCCTGTACCTCATTCTCGGTTTCGCCGCCATGGTTTCCATGTTCATCCATTCCATGATCACCTAGAACGACAAGTAACGTATTTTCGTCGATAGAGTTGACAATCTCTCCTATGACGCAGTTCATTTCCTTCAGTTTATTGCACATTTCAGGGTGTGCGGGGCCGAATCGATGACCAACGTGATCGACGCCTAAAAGATGGCCAAAGATCACATCCCATTCATCTTGGCGATGTTTAATAAGTGGTATAAGGTGTTCCCTCACGCCCTGGTCGACCGTGTGGAGGTCGGCAACGAGGAAGGAATCGTACGCTCGAGATAGATTGGGTAGGAAATGATTTGGAAACAGCTTTGTCCATGTATCATCCCCGAGATGCACCAGCCTCTTTCCTGCTTTCTGAAGTTGTGTCACGAAATTATCCTCTGAAAGGGCGGAACCGGCAAAATTGCTACCAGCCTCGATGAATGTTGGCAGTGTTCCTGTCATCAATCCCTTCAACCGCTGCAAGGTTGTTGTAGGGGGATCCGCAATGAATGGGAAGAGAACTGCATTTTGGGGTTCTTGCGTTGCTTTCTCGTGTAGTATGGTAAGAGCATTATGAAAAGGCTGATAAGCATCGTTTCCAGATGACTGTGGTGCATGTGGCACCGCAAAGTCGTATCGTAACGCATCGATAACCAAAATCACGGCTTTGTCGAAGGATCTGGGCATCCAGCATCCACTCTGAGTAGATTGGAGATAGGAGGATTCATATCTTGGGAATGCTGGCAGTAGGGGACGGGTACAGGTGCTGGAGTTCTCCAGCACCCTTCGCGACGACAGGAAGCCCTTGGTGAAAAAATAGAGCCCCACTGCATGAACAACCCTACAATGAAGTAATGAGCAATCAGTTAAATGTCGAGTCGCTCCAAAGTCCAAGAGCTATCAAAATTCTTACAGAATCCAAACAAAGAATCCAGGAGAGGCCCATCGGATACCCCTGGTCACCATTCTGCTTGCTTCCATGATGCTGAGCAGTGATTTGGGTACTTGGACAGAGGTAAAGTATGATGATGTACCGTGAGTCTTCTTGAGTGCTCATCATAGAAATCAGTTGTGTGTGAAGAGCCCAGCAAATATGAAGCTGACACTCGCGTCGCCTGTCATTCTGCCCACTTCAGCCGCCTGCCTGACAGCCAGCAAGGTGACACAAAACACGTGGATCATAAATATCTTGGTAGCGTGGAAACTATATAGTATACAAAACAGACGAAGAGATTATGGAGATCTGGCGGGTTCTCTGGCATGGTTAGACCTTGTAAAGGACTGCAACTTTTCTGGTTTGATATGACTCGGAATGCTACTATCAATGATCTGGGCAGGTTACTCAATGCAGCCAATCTTGATATACTTCTGGTATTCATAAAGATTTGTGACATTAACACTACTCCAATGCTGCGCCATCCCAATAAAGTGTCTGTTACCATGGTAAATAACCTACATTGACACGAAAGTCCGAAAATGTACAATGGCAATAAATATGACAAAGACTTAGTCAAATGCAGGCGCGAAAAAGAGCGCCCGGTGCCCACCGAACGTCCGTTTCCGATTTCGAACCTCCATCCCGCATACCTCCTGTGCTGGGTTAGTGAGCAGGTCTCGGCGCTTGAGATGGAACTGGGATTCATGGTCCCAGGGCAAAGCGCGAGAGCAGCATTTCCAATATCAACTTCTAGCATTAGCTTAATTGCAAAACCCTCGAGGAACAAACCCCTGTGTCTACCACGCGGTACGAAGTAGACTGCCCCCAAGGTACCCCTTACGTCGACTAGGCATCGACATTCTTGGTCTCCACAGCCAAGCAACCCTACAGAGTTTTACACTTTCACACCGACCTCTACCCATGCACAACGTCTGTCTTCCAACTCAGCAACAAACGACAGATTTAAATATGCAATACGCCTGATTCGTGCACTGCTTCGTACGGAGTACATCGTATATTCCACTTGGCTCTGGTTCATCCATTCCCTTCTGTACTGTATGCACTCAGCCCTATAAGGCAGATGACCCACTTGGTTCCCTCAAATGGGGGCAACCAGACGGAGTCTTCCCGAATGTCACGTCGCTTTGCTATATTAAATTTTTTATGCCGGGATCCTTCATAGGCACCCACAATGTAACGAACGTTCTGACCTGGTGAAGTGAGGACTCGACCTATAATGTTTCATGCTAAAATTTGATATCCTGGAGGACGGAAAGGAACGAGCAATTTCTACATCCATTTCCTGTAGGCAATCAGCGATGTGGCAGTGTACCCGAGCAAACAAAATCAACCGCAACCGAGGATGCCATGAATGCCATGAAAAATCAAGACGGAAGTTCGGATTCATGCATGTAACCACACTTCATACGGCTGCCTCCGACGGTTCCATTTTTCTTCTCCTTGGCTTTTAGTGCCGTTTGATTCCCACTCAATTCCCCAACATTTATTTCCCTTCTCCCACCCCTCTTCTCTCAGTGTAGGAATCTGCCAGTGTCAGACATACACATCAGCCTTAATGATATTGTCGGGTATCCAGCATTCCTTAATGAAAATCTCCGTTGTATCCTCTCTGGTTCCACCTCAAACCTATTCGATGTCTATCGTTCTTCGATGGGTTAACTTTGCTGCACCTTCGCTGTTGTCCCCAGCTGTACCGGGTCCGACAGATATTTCCTAGATGATTATCGAAGTATGATCAACACGTTATCAAGAGAGCATCGCTTTGAGTTTTGAAAATGTATTCCGACGAGGCTCCACGGTTCAGCTATTTCTCCTCGCGGACTCAACAAGTCATTTCGTCTTCCAACTGGGAGGAGATCTTCTCCGACCAGTTCATCGAGCACTTGCAGGAGAGTGAAAGGACTAAAGGGAATGTCTGGTGGCTGGACATTCGCGATGCCACCGAGCAGGATGTCGACATCATATCTCAGGCGCTGTCTATCCATCCTTTGACGGCGGAAGATATCACCATGCGTGAGCCGAGAGAGAAGGTCGAGGTCTTTCGGAACTACTATCTAATCTCGTTTCAGACTTTGGTGAATTTTGCCGATGAAAGTGAAGAGAAAGGTAGAGCCAGGTCTCCGGCAAGCATTTTCTCGTCCACACCTTCCTCTGCAGGATGTTATATCCTCGTCTTCAAGAATGGGGCGGTGACCTTCTCTCCTAGTGGAAATGGACACATAAGTCGGGTTAGGGATCGGATTCGTCGTCTCCCTGATCCATCCATCTTGTCAGGCGATTGGGTCTGTTATGCCCTGATGTATGTCTCGTGTCTTCCATAAACTCTATAAATCTCTAACACTATTGCCCAGAGACGATATCATCGACAGCTTTGAACCGTACATGCAAGCCGTGGAACGTGAGTCTGAATCCATCGAGGATCAAGTCTTTATTGCCCGTGTAGACGACGTTAGATCCCTCATCCCTCGTGCCGAAAATCTCCGCAAAAAGATCACGTATCTTATCCGTGCTCTGAGCGGTAAAGTGGACGTCCTGAATGGCTTCGTCAAGCGGTGCCAGGCCAAAGACAAACCCCTCTTTCCCGAAGGTGATCTAATCATGTATCTGGGTGACGTACAAGACCATCTGGTAACCACCATGTCAAGTCTGTCGCACTTTGATGAGATCGTCGGTCGATCGCAGTCAAATTGCCTCGCGCAGATCAGTGCCAATAACCTACGCTTGAGTCTGAGCATCAACGAAGTCCTCAGCAAGGTGACCGTGCTGGCCACAATCTTCGTTCCACTGCATATGGTGACAGGTCTTTTTGGAATGAACGTTACAGTCCCTGGTCAGGATGTGCCTGGACTGGCCTGGTTTTTTGGGATTGTGGGTTGTTTTATTGCGTTCATAGTCGTATGTTGCACTATTGCTACTAGATATAAACTGCTGTGAATACAATTATAATCTGTTTGATGAACAAAAGCATTATGCTCTATTCTCTTGTTATGGTAGTTAGGAAATGTCGGATAGTGAAGAAAATTAATACTCCATACTCTGTACTTGACAAGGCAATCCCTCTCCACGTGATGCCATACAAAAGCCGAAATCACAAATCCAGTCTCTCCAAATGGATTTACCCCACGGGATAGGACTATCAAATATACTTTTACCTAACATTTGAAGAAATGCGGATCATTAACTTTGATATAAAGTCAACAAACAGACAAAAGAGATACTTTTGAGTAATGTCAGCTGTTGCCATACTGCAACATGATAAACAATGTTTCTTAATGTTAGTTAACATCCGATTTTCTTATCCAGCTCTTTCATTTCGGAAATCGTTGCCAACTTCGAGTATTATTATGAGATTCGGTTAATTAACCTGATGATGAACTCCTCTATGTCTCTTTTGGCAACGGCTTCTACAACACGGTATCTGGGGCCCCAGCTGCCACACCTGACACGAGCCTATCGCAAACAAGCATTTATTTAGGCGAGGCATGGTGGGTGGCGAGAGATGGACGAAAATTGCTTCACCTACCACCTAATTACCATAAAGGTTTCTTGAATACCCTCACTTGGAGCAATACGTTTATCATTACAGATGATGGAGGTCAAGTCGTATTCTTCGAAATTTGCCGAATGATGAATCTATGGGTGAGTTCACGAAAAGGTTGCACGGAAACAATGGGCGGGAGTCGGGGGACTCGACAGGATTTACTCTTATACGGTGTACAGTCAAGAAAAGAAAACGTCGTTTTGGTCGCAGGTGGGATCTAAGGGAATGGCTTGAACACACGCCGAACATAGTGATGGATGGAATTCTGGAATATTACTCATCAATTGTACGATTACTTTGATTTCTATGATAAAAGCATTAACCTTACGCAGTAGATTAATAGAGAACTTATGTTTTAACTAGAAGCTATGCTATACGGGGTAGACAATTTCAGACTTTTTTTTTAAACAATACTCACTCCTTATCATTATTTTATTTTCTTTCCCCCTTTCTTTCCTAACAGTATCAAAGTACACGGGAATTAAATTTGTTGTGTCAGTGGATATAGTCCTTCACTAACTTCGTACTCCTTTCTTCCTCGGTCTTTGATCCTTGGCTGATAAGGACTCTATCTAACCTCGGCAATCTAATCAGCGCATCAGCCAAACCCAATTATTCTCCGCATACACGGTACGAATCTCATCCCTAGCAATTGAATTCTACTCTTATAACAAAAGGTCTTCGGGAAAGAAAACCAGTCACACAAAGTTACCAGCCACAAGCCCCTTTCAATCAGTGAACCACCATGGCCGAAACCACACGGCCCGTAGGCCTACTTTTCGACATTGGTGGAGTCTGCGTACGCCTCTATGCCAACCCCGAAAGAACGAACGAGCTCATCACTAACCAAGAAAACCAGGTCCTCTCCCCGTTTCAAGCTATTCTCGACTACGAAATCGCCAACAAAATCCCCCCAGGATGGGTAAACTTCAGTATCTCCCGATCTGCCCCCAGCGGCAGCTGGCACCGCCTAGAACGCGGCGAAATCAAACTAGACGCCGACTTCTTCAAAGCATTCAATAAAGATCTCAGCAACCCGGATCTATGGAAGAAATTTCATGAAACACTTCAGAAAAAGCAGTCTACTACTGGTGCTCCATCATCGTCATCACCATTACCCCCCCTCCCCCGACTGGACGCGGAGTTCCTTTTCTGGGAAATGATGCGGATATCCCGGACGCCGGACCCTTACATGGCGCCTGCGCTCAAGAAATTAAAGGCCTCGGGGAAGTTTGTCTTGGGGGCGCTGTCGAATACGGTCGTTTTTCCCGATGGGCATCCCTACAATGTGGATGAGAGTGGAGTGAAGGGGCAGTTTGATTTCTTCATTTCGTCGGCGCATACGGGGCTTAGAAAACCGCAACCGCAGATCTATGAATTTGCGATTCGGGAGATGAACCGGTTGGCGCAGGAGAAGGGGTTAAGGGAGGTTGGGGCCTCGGACATTGTTTTCTTCGATGATATTGGGGAGAATTTGAAGGGCGCTAAGAAAGCGGGAATGAGGACGGTTAAGGTGAATTTGGGACGGACCCAAGACGCTGTCAAGGAATTGGAGAAGATTACGGGGCTTTCATTGTTGGAGGGATCCGATCGGGCGAGATTGTAGAGTATCGCAAGAGGCATTTCTTTCCCTGCTTTCCAATATTTATAGAGATTTAATCAGAATGAAGTCACTAAATGAAAGAAAAGTCATCCTAACAATTTTAAGCAGTAAAAAATAAATATAGATATAAAAATAGATTTAATATTCGCTACGGAGTAAGCTGCCCGCCTCGTCAGGCTGACTCCACTTTGAATGGCATGTTAACTAACAGCAAGCGGAGGCTCAACTGTCAACAGCGATTATATAAATCCTTGTAAGAAAACTTCTGAGATGATATTATATTTTGAGAATATGACGGTTACTTATACATGCCTAGATGCTGCAAGGTTGCTATATTTACTTCTGTCACTGCTGTTTCTGGATGTGATTTAACTTAGGAGCAAACAAGTATAGCTAAAGTTACTATAGCTATAGGAACTGTATGTCTTTCGGTGAAGATGAAACAAGGCTTGGATGAAGGGTAAAATTAGATATATACATTGGCATATAGATTAAGAACTGTACGGAAGACGCCTGAATGAGAACTCTACCTCGGCCATATCGCTATACCACCGAAACTGTCCTCAGCTTATCCCGTGGTTTGTTCAGACTTGGTGCACCGACCATCGGGACCAAGATCAGGGCCACACCACGTCACCAAGCCACATTTATTGTCGACGAATGCTTCAAGGTCTATTATACGATTGTGAGACTGAGCATCACAGTAGAAATTTTTTCTTTAATATCAACTTGAAGTGACGCGGTTGGAATCTACTGACTCCTATCTCATCTCTAAAGGATTTCGAATCATACATAGCACAATGTATACATATATTTATATCACTTATTGTATAGTTGTCACTTGAACCAATCTTTTCTCTCATTTTCTCTCCCCTCACATTCACACTACGCGGCTATCCAACATACTACATACATGCATGATGGGAATGTTATACATATATCTTATGTATAACATTCTCATCATGACTTTATCTTAATACTGGAAATGTCGATATTTTAGATCATAATGCTCTCAGTTGAATCCCACCAATGGTTTTACAATTTGAAGATCATTTGGGCCCACTGCCAAGCCACTAAATCCCGAAGATGGGTGCAAAAATAGTCAGTTCAGTCTTAAAGAACTTTTGTTTCCCGGGCTCGTGGCCAACCTCAGTTCTGCGGCGGGATGCAGAACGGCGCTAAGCGAGAGTCTTCCACAAAAGTCATCCCACCAATTTCCCTTTTCTTTTTTTCTTCAGCCAACATCGACAACTCGGTTCTCAACGGCAAACAGTCAAAATGGTGAGTTTTGCTGTTATCTCAGATGGATGATCACTTTTATTGTGTTATCCAGTATCGCCCTTGACTAGTCTCAATTTTGTCCCGCCGTGGACAAGATTTGTGGGACTGGGAAAACGGGTCTTTGCAAGATGCTTCGGATACACTTTCTCTGAAGCGCAAATTGCTGACTCGGGTGTCTTTCTTGTAGCCCTTCCACAAGCTCGTCAAGAACAGCGCTTACTACAGGTGAGTCTTTCCTACTGATAGATTTTCAAAGAAAAAAAAACCATTATGGACCGAAATGCTAATGCCCTCACAGCCGCTACCAGACCAAGTACCGCCGTCGCAGAGAGGGCAAGACTGATTACTATGCCCGTAAGCGCCTGATCACCCAGGCCAAGAACAAGTACAACGCCCCCAAGTACCGCCTCGTTGTCCGCTTCACCAACCGCGACATCATCACCCAGATCGTCTACTCTGAGATCTCTGGTGACAAGGTCTTCGCCAGCGCTTACGCCCACGAGCTCAAGCGCTATGGCATCACCAACGGTCTGACCAACTGGGCTGCCGCTTACGCCACCGGTCTCCTCCTTGCCCGCCGTACCCTCAAGAAGCTGGGCATTGACGAGCAGTTCACCGGTGTTGAGGAGGCTGATGGTGAGTACGCTCTCACCGAGGCCGTTGAGACCGATGACGGTGAGCGCCGTCCCTTCAAGGCCTTCCTTGATGTCGGTCTTGCCCGTACTTCCACCGGTGCCCGTGTCTTCGCTGCCATGAAGGGTGCCTCCGACGGTGGTATCCTCGTCCCCCACTCCGAGAACCGCTTCCCCGGTTTCGACATTGAGACCGAGGAGCTCGATGCCGAGACCCTCCGCAACTACATCTTCGGTGGTCACGTCGCTGAGTACATGGAGGGTCTTGCCGACGATGATGAGGAGCGTTACCGCGGCCAGTTCCACAAGTACCTTGAGAACGAGGTTGAGGCCGGTGACATCGAGGACCTCTACACTGAGGCCCACAAGGCCATCCGTGAGGACCCCTTCAAGAAGGATGAGGATGAGGGCTCCAAGAAGACCAAGGAGGAGTGGAAGGCCGAGAGCAAGAAGTTCCAGAAGAAGAAGCTCACCCACGCCGAGCGCAAGGCTCGCGTTGAGCAGAAGATCCGTGAGCTTGCTGCTTAAGTGTCATGCTTAAAGCGATAGTCCACCAAAAAGTTTACTTCTCAGACAAATAATAGGGGGAATTAGGTTCTTTCTTGCCAAACCGGCGTTTCTGGGTTTTCTGTAGTTTTCATGATTGTCACGACCTCCTTTGTTATTTCAGGGTTCTTCGGAGCAATAATCGGGTTGATTCCCAGGGAATTTGATTGATCGTTCAATATGCTCCGATGGACCGCGTTCGTAGACGTAGTATTTGTCCTGTACAATGGCCCCAGTAGCCACCATCCCTCATCCCTTCCCTTTTGCCCTTATATATCCTTATCAACCTCCAGTCTTTTCGCTGCTGAACCACTCGATATGAACAGAATTAGAGTTACCAGCCCATAGTATATCAACAGACACAGGGTTAAACCGTCAAGGATGCTTTGGGGACTGCATGGCAGACACGTTGACGAGGCTTGTTCGTCTCGACCAGGATCATGTGTACCAGACTATACATAGTTATGACCTGAAGTCCAGTACCATCAGCATGCCCCTGCTCAATTGGTGGTGATTGGTTTAGTCTGGTACTATAATATTTCCAACACACCAAAAGCACAGGGACGTAAATAATGCATATCGATGACGAAGTCTGACAGCAAACGACTCTATGAAGGCAAAATATATATTTATTTTCGTATAGCATTGAGCGAGCTTCAGAAAAGGGACAATCGCTTGTATCTATATACCCTGACCGAATCATCTATCTAATAGCAATAAGTCGGGAAATTAAGGTCTCTTATAGACAAACCCTTAAGAAAGGCCCCAGAGATCCAAAAGCTCTTCACCAAACAAGAACTCGAGGGGTATAGAAATGATGGGGAAGCTAAACGGCTTGCCAAAATCGAAATCGCTCACAATGTTTAAGGCAACATGTATAAATGTGCAGTTTGAAGGATCATATCTCAGGACTACTAGGACGCCGAGAGTAGATCCACCGTTCGACAAGTAAAATCGTCTCATATGGCTTCTGAACAAGATCTTGCGCCTTGATACCGATACAATTGAGTGTCTGGACCGAGCTAGGGCAGAGCATCAACCCATTAGCTGGTGTCACGCCCGTGACAAGCTGACTGTTTGGCTGAACCTGTATGCTGGACGTGCACAGTTTGACTTGCCGACAAACGTCGTTCAGCGTGCTGACGGCTGCCTCAACCGGTCTGAGTTCCTCGCGCTCGGCTGTCCACTCGACTAACATGGCTCCGAGCCACACCGCGAGGGACATGTCATGAGCGATGGCGGCAGGCTCATTTGTTTCTAGAATATTAGCGAATATGGTAAGGATAGTGATGACCGAGTAGAAAGATAAATAGCTAGTAAGAGATAGAAGGGCCGTCAGCCAAGACAACCTCCGCTCGACTCTTTGCAAAACGACAACGTACCATATCGGCCAGTAAGAGCCTGTCGAGTCAATGTTCATTGCTCGCTTCATGGTTTCAATTGCTCTTCTTGCCGCCTCAAGCGACTGATTCTTGGATGTCTGACTGTTTGATACTGATCTTTTACGATTGAGTAGAATGATGGTGGTGCAAGCGTTTTGGATTAATTCGTCGTAGAACCAGGCACTGTGGCTATGCTTTGCTGCTGCGAGGCTTTCATCCTGAACCATATGAATGTGAGAGTGATATCAACTTCACTAGGCTGTTGCGTCAACTTACTATTTTCCAGTCTGTAAGGGCTGTTTGACTCTCCTTGATCAAGTCCTCTATTAGGTGGTCACATGGCTGTGATCCATTTTGCCGTGCATCATCCATCATATCGAAGAATCGTAGTTTCGCAAAGGCTAGGCGCGTGGCCACCAAGAAATTAATTTGGGCTGATCGATTCAACCCTTCGTTCGGGTTCCACGTGGACAGCTCCGGGAATTTGACGACCATTGTGCTAGGGTGGACAAGGCTCGGCTTGTCTAGATGAAAGCGGAAAATGCAATCATTGTGCACCAAATTCCAGATGCAGAACCGCATCTGGTCTTTATGAGGTGACTGGTCATTGGGGGATGGGCAGTTGTCATTGACATCCGCGTCTAGCAGAAAAAAGCCTAGATTACAGGCTATGCGGTATGCAGAGCAATGGAATTTCCACGAAAGCTCCCTGTCGAAAAACCAATTTGTCGTAAAAATCTTCAACCAGGTTAGGGTCTGTTGGACAGATGTGGCATGATTGCGCGACATACCAAGAGAAGTGCAGCGTAAAGATCTGTGAGCGTAGGTTGTGCCTCGAAGTCCCAGTCTTTAGCATGTTCTAGCAATTTTCTGTATATATAGGAGGCATAGTCTTTTCTCCTGTGACCGAGACCTCGATCCATGAATAAACCTTGCAGAAGAACGCTATAATATACAAGAAGTGCGGATGTGTCGATCTTGACGTGTGGTAGGCCAAACAGGTCAGGAAGACGAAGGAGGAACTCTTTGCTCACAGAAAGTTCAGGGCCCCATGAGAAATCATAAAATACTACGAAGACATTAGCTCGCCAGCATTCTCGTACTGGTGTGGTTGGAAACCCATACCGTTGACCCATTTAGTGGCCATGTTTTTGGTGATGGATGCATCGTCCCAAAGTAAGGCACCACCAGTGTCTGGGCTGAGCACCGGGAAATTTGGCGTGGTTTGCTCGGTATGATAAATGGGAATGTGTTCTTGGACGAAATCTGGAACGAAATCGTAGTTGCCTGTGATACATTATACCCTCTGATTGAGTTCATTAGGATTCAAGAGTATTTACCATTATTCCGAGGGGTTTCTAGGATTTCATTGTGGGAGAGTGCGGATAAATTAGGGAGAGGAAGGCTTCTCCAGTCATCCGCTGCAGGAGACTGAGGAGGCGCTGCTGTCACAGATTGCTCCAATGAAGTCAGGCGTCTGAGGATGTCAGATAATGCTCCATTGAAAGCCCCGTCGTTCTGCCTTGCACGGTACGCGGTCCTGTCAAGGTTAGCACTCTTTATAGTGGTATACGAAGCATGTACTCATGGAGACCTTGATCTTCTGGTTCTTCGACGTCGTGTCGGGTAAACACAGTCGACATTGGATGCGATACATCGATTACATCGTGGCAGCACTTTGTTACAACCGATCTGCGCGGTAGTAGACGTTGCAAGGTAAGCTCTAAAAGTTCTGCGGTATACATCCGTGAAGAGTGGATACCTTTTTCTTTCTACACCTCTCACACTGCCTGTATGTTAGCTCCAAAAATAGGATCCCTGGGCTGGAAAGAGTACCTACTGAAAGGGATTGGTCGGGTAAAGACATCGGAGTCGACATTCGTCCTACTAGGTAGGCCGAGTCCCTAAGTGACGGGCTGGAAACCATTTCATTGACACTACTCCGTAGTACACGGACAAATCTTTATAGTCCGAAAGTCCGAAGACTCCACATAGTTTAAACGATTTTAAAAGGGTCAGCAGGTGTCTAACCCTGAGTGGCATAGGGTTTAATACGAGCCGCGTCTTGCTTGTGGAATCGGAGCCCGCGGACTCCGTGGACTCCCATTAGGGCTGTCCTTACACCCACGCCTCAATATCAAATCTACTTAACTTTGGGCCAAGAGCAATGTATCCGGCCATATGTACTGGAGTCTGGATCCCGGCCTCGATGGGCTTCGGCTCTACCGACACTACGCCGAGATTCATCCTCAGCCCGCCGTGGTGTTGGATATACCATCCAAAGAGGCAGACACCCGATGTACGGTAAAAATCCCTCTCTAAGCAACCCCGACATAGGGGATTCACGCGCTGACCCACTGGCGGAGCTTTCATCTTGGGCCAAGAGTCCGAGTCCGATATCTTGGCCTCCGCTCGCGAGGGTACTCACTTTTGAGTGGTCCAGCTGGTCCACGCATACTGCTAGACATTTTCCGATCGCCATGGATTTCCTGTGGCTTGGCCACTCCAAACCTACGTATAAAAGTAACCCTCTCAGCACATACTTACTCGCTTTTGTTGGTAGATCGACACGAACATCTCTTTATGAGATCAGAAGCTAAGCGGAACATTAATCACATCCGTTATTTAGAGGCAACAGTGACGTTGCCCTCGAGTTGGTCGGTTACTTTTCCCTGTTCGACGCCATTTCTGAGCTCTATAGACATCCAAACTATAGATGATCTCCCCTCGAGGGCATGAGCCACCGCCTCCGCCTCCCTCGGATATGGCCCTCTCTATGGACGGAGGTACTAGCTCAGGGACTCAAACCTACGCAAACAGTCAAAAGTCAGATTTTGAACAGAAAAATAAACTGGGGGAGCATCATGCGGAAATCGACGAACAGCTGACGAATCTAGCGCGCAAACTGACCACAAAATCCGAAAAACTTCATCATCGTTCCCCGTTTGAAGCGAGAGAGGGTGGATGCCTGGACCCCAACAGTCCTGAATTTCGTGCTAGGGATTGGGCGAAAGCTTTTTACAACGCCAGGTATAATGCTGATGAAAACTGCCCGCCACGAGTTGCTGGAGTTGCGTTCAAAGATCTGAACGTTTCCGGGTACGGTAGTCCTGTGGACTACCAAATGAGTGTTGGAAATGCCCTGCTGAAGTTGCCGACTCAGATATATCAGTTCCTTGGCGGAAAAAAACGGAAGATCAACATTCTCCAAGGCCTTGATGGACTAGTCCTTCCTGGCGAACAGCTTTGTGTCCTGGGCCCTCCAGGATCAGGTTGTTCCACTTTTCTCAAAACTATTGCTGGTGAAACCCATGGCTTTCAGGTAGATCCGGCAGCCTACATCAACTACCATGGCATAACTCCGAAGCAAATGTCAACCGATTTCCGGGGCGAGGCTATATACACCGCTGAAGTTGACGCACACTACCCACAACTCTCAGTCGGCGATACCCTGTACTTTGCGTCCCTCGCCCGTGCACCTCGTCACCTTCCGGGTGGCATCAGTTCCCAGGAGTACGCGACTCATCTCCGAGATGTGATTATGGCCATGTTTGGAATTGGTCATACTATCAATACACGAGTCGGTAATGACTTCGTTCGTGGTGTCAGCGGGGGTGAGAGAAAGCGGGTTACGATCGCGGAGGCTGCATTAAGCTATGCCCCATTACAGTGCTGGGATAACAGCACTAGAGGATTGGACAGTGCAAATGCTGTGGAGTTCTGCAGGACCTTACGGACACAAAGCGATGTTTTTGGAATGACCTCGTGTGTCGCAATTTACCAGGCTCCTCAAGCTGCATACAATGTAAGCCCAGGAAGCCATGACAAGGTATTGGACTCTGCTAACAAGCAAGGTAGCTTTTCGACAAGGTTATTGTTTTATATGAAGGACACCAAATATATTTCGGCGCCGCTCATGATGCTAAAGCCTACTTTGAACGACTCGGCTTTCTATGTCCGGAGTCTCAGACAACTGCTGACTTTCTCACATCGATGTCCAGTCCAACCGAACGCATCATCAGACCAGGCTTTGAGAGTCTGGCACCTAGAACATCCGAGGAGTTTGCTAAGCACTGGAAAGAGAGCAATGAACGCCAATCATTGCTACGCCAAATTGATCAGTACGCTAATGAGCATCCCTTTGATGGAGACGATCTTGACCGATTTGCCCAATCCCGGAAGACAGAAAAATCAAAGAACCAACGACAGAAATCACCATATACTCTGTCATACTGGGGTCAGATTCGGCTTTGTATGTGGAGGGAATTGCAGCGTCTCAAAAATGATCCAAGTGTTACCATCGTCATGCTTATTAACAATTTCTTTGAGGCGCTGATAATTTCGAGCATATTCTACAATCTCTCAGGGAATACTTCATCGTTCTTCTCCCGTGGGGCTATTCTATTTATGATGGTTCTCTTGAATGCCTTTTCCAGCATGCTCGAAATCTTGAGCTTGTATGCGAAACGAACAATCGTGGAAAAGCATAATCGATATGCCCTCTACCACCCTAGTGCGGAGGCCATATCGTCAATGATTATGGATATGCCATATAAAATCGTGAACTCCATATTGATGAACCTAACATTATATTTCATGGCAAATCTCCGGCGTGAACCCGGGCCATTCTTCTTCAATTATTTAATCTCTTTCATGATGGTGATGAGCATGTCGATGTTTTTCCGCCTCTTTGCATCACTTACCAAAACCATCCAGCAAGCCTTGGCTCCGTCATCGATCATTCTTATGGCGCTGGTTCTGTATACCGGGTTTGCCATTCCAGTTAGCTATATGCGTGGATGGGCTTCGTGGATTCGGTACTTAAATCCTGTCGCATATGGTTTCGAGGCTATAATGGTCAATGAATTTCACGGGAGGACTTTCCCCTGTGCGTCATTCGTCCCTTCTGGGGTAGGTTACGAAAATATCTCCAAGGACGAGCACATCTGCTCTGTCGTAGGATCTATTCCAGGCTCAGATCTCGTTGACGGCACAGCTTTCGTCAAATCCACGTACGGATATGAAAACAGTCACCGCTGGAGAAATTTTGGTATTATTCTGGCACTCACTGTCTTCCTCGCACTGTGCCAACTCATTGCAACAGAGCTAGTTGCCTCTGAGCGGTCAAAGGGAGAGGTTCTTGTGTTTCGCCGCGGCAGCTCACAAAAAGCCCGGACAAAACAATGCCAGCACGATGAAGAGCGGACACAAGCCCCTGTCATCCAAAACGAGAAGCATAGCGAGGGACCTGACTCGACTATAGGTGTGGAGAAACAGACGTCTATCTTTCACTGGGAAAATGTATGCTATGATGTTAAGATCAAGAGTGAAACTCGGCGAATTCTAGATCATGTTGATGGTTGGATCAAGCCTGGCACTTTGACTGCCTTGATGGTAAGCTACTTTTACTAGAATATTCCCGATCATGTCAGGCTCACAAGCAATTTACAGGGCAGTTCCGGTGCTGGAAAGACTACTCTACTCGACGTGCTGGCTAACCGCACCACAGTTGGGGTTGTTGGTGGCGATATGCTCGTCGATGGCCGACCAAGGGACAGTTCATTTCAACGCAAAACAGGTTATGTACAACAACAAGACCTTCATCTCCATACCTCCACTGTGCGTGAAGCGCTAGAATTTAGTGCTTTGCTCAGACAACCGCCTCAGTATACACGGGAAGAAAAATTGGACTATGTTGAGAAAGTTCTTGATCTTCTCAATATGAGAGACTACGCTGATGCTATAGTTGGTATACCTGGAGAGGGCCTTAACGTGGAGCAGAGAAAGCGCCTTACAATTGGCGTTGAGCTGGCTGCACGTCCGAAATTGCTCCTTTTCCTAGACGAGCCTACCTCTGGCCTAGATAGTCAGACATCATGGTCAATTTGCAATCTGATGGAGACTCTGACCAAGAATGGACAAGCTATTCTATGTACTATTCACCAACCTTCTGCCATGCTGTTCCAACGCTTCGATAGGCTACTTCTTCTGGCAAAGGGAGGAAAAACCGTCTACTTTGGTGATATTGGACGCGAGTCTAGGATATTGATGGACTATTTCACTCGTAACGGTGGCCCTGCTTTGCCACCCGGCAGCAACCCAGCAGAGCACATGCTTGAGGTGATTGGGGCCGCACCTGGGGCTAAAAGTGAGATTGACTGGCCTGCGGTTTGGCGAAATAGTCCTGAATATCAGAATGTGCGCCATGAGCTCTCAAACTTGAGAGCTTTGGCTAATCAACCATCGCCCATTTCTGATACTAACGAAAAATCCAGCTATGCGGAATTCGCAGCTCCGTTCGCGACACAGTTTATGCAAGTTGGGCTAAGAGTCTTCCAACAGTACTGGCGTACACCAGCATATATTTATTCCAAGGTTTTGCTTACAATTGGTTGTGTGAGTATTCTCTCGACGGCCTTATATCTCCACTGGGTTCTAATGAGCTGTTCTCCAGTCACTCTTCATAGGGTTCTCTTTCTTCAAAGCCGACAACACAGCTCAGGGCCTACAAAATCAAATGTTCGGCGTTTTCGTCTTCCTCTTCGTCGTCATTCAGTTGATTATCCAAATCATCCCGTCGTTCGTAACGCAACGGACGCTTTACGAAGCTCGGGAGCGACAATCCAAGACCTATTCGTGGCAAGCATTCGTTGTTACTAACATCCTAGTCGAACTTGCATGGAACTCGGTGAGTCTTACCCTCACATCCTCTGTACGATGCTTGTTGCTCGATCTGACCCTAAGATCTCCTAGATCATGGCTATATTCTGTTTCCTGGTTTGGTTTTACCCCGTGGGCCTTTTCCACAACGCTGAGTACACCGATACGCTGCACTCTCGGAGCACCCTTGCATTCCTCTTCATCTGGGTGACCTTTCTCTTCGCCAGCTCGTTGGCGCACATGTTAATCGCAGGCATCGAAAGTGAAGAGATCGCCTCGAGTCTCTCCAACATTTTAGCTATCATGATGTATGCGTTCTGCGGAATTCTTGCAGGCCCGGGTGCTCTTCCTGGTTTCTGGATATTCATGTATAGAGTCAACCCGTTTACGTACCTAGTATCGGGCTTGTTATCAACCAGTCTCGGTGAAGCACCAATGTACTGCGCCGAAAATGAGTTCTTGTCATTTTCTACTCCCGCAAACTTAACCTGCGGTGAGTATATGCAGGGTTATATTTCGACGAATGGGGGCTACTTGCTTAATTCCGAAGCCCAAGGGGGCGAAGGTTGCCACTTCTGCGCCACAGGAAACACCACCCAGTTTCTGCAAAATGTTCATATCGACTTCTCAACACGATGGAGGGATTTCGGGTTGATGTGGGTGTACGTGGCGTTTAATATAGTTGCAGCCATTTCGCTGTACTGGCTCAGTCGAGTACCCAAGGGTAAGAAGAGCAAATGAAGACATTCATCGTCTTTGGTTTTCTTTTGGCTCTTGCTACGACAAGTCCCTGCTTGGATGCTTACCAACTCGACTGGTCTGCCATTCAGCATTCAAAACCTTCACGGTATTTAATTATAATTTGACAGCTTGTGTTAAAGTTAGTCGATTCTGATTATAGACAGTTCTAGACAGAGAATAATAGATATTGTTCAGACCTTAGGGCAATCTTGTTATTTTTGAGATAGACCGAACAGCATCTTCCGAGCAATAGGCCACCGATCTTCAAGAAAATTGATATAGCGTCATCCCCATCAGAACAGTGTGAGACTTTTTCAGGCCTCAATCGATAAATTTAAAGGCTCGGTTTCCCACTTGGAATCAGGGACACAGCCTTAGTTGACTCCCTACTATTGATAGTCTGTCACTGGGAATCATGTCATGGAAATGTCTTTCTGTTTGTTCTCCCTTATTAGCTACTTTCCATGAAATGCCAACCGTGACAATCAATATAGGATAAACCCCCGCCCCCGTAATGGCCATTCGTAAGGCACTGTGCCTCTAATACAGAGTTCAAGTCTGCCCGAGGATAGCTCACCTCAATATCCAATGTCTATCATTAATACTGGTACCACGTATACAATAGCAAGTTAGTAAGTAGGGACAGTGCAAATAAGGTTGGTGGCGGTGGAGTTTCATCCTCTGGCGCTGGTATTGATTCTACCTCGTCTTGAAGATAGGTCCATCATTGCCAGGGTTGCTCACTGCGTATACAGGCTTTCCCAAACAATGTTCCCCGGTTGCGATGCTCATCAACCGGTTCATTCCTGTTATTTGGTGGAGATCGATACGTCCAAGCTGACAGCCCCAAATGTGACTCTCAAGTGGTGTTTGCTGGGGTCAGTCTCTGTTAAGCTATCAGCTCCACGAGGTCGCGTTTTATTCGGTTACGGTGGCCACATGTGTATGTATAATGACCATTGAAGACACAAGCTTGTGGCTTGGGTGACATCCACAGACAAAAAGGGACCTGACAGAGATGAGCACTGTTCATGCATCAAACCGCATGTACTGTTTCACGACTACTATATGGTTAGAGAGAAAAGTTTTCATGATTCTCCAGTTCAAGGCATGAACAGCGAAAAACACAGACTATCTTCTTTTTACTCTTTTCTTTTCCTTTCTTCTACAAGCCTCCCCCACACTCAGTTCTTCGCCATGAGAAGTTGGATACGAGGAACCGTCTTAGGTGATGCCATTCGTCATTTGCTTGGTTCTCGCTGGTTGAGCTATCCTGAAGACGATCCAACATTCGACTTCCGTCAAGTTAAAAGTGCTCCAGGCGTGGACGAGCATTCCCACAGGGACCTTGAGAGCGGTCAAGGAACCTTTCGATATGTGGAGAAGCTGTGCACTGCGACCAAAGCTGATAAGAGCTTCATAATCGACTGGTATACGCCTGATGATCCAGAAAGCCCCTCAAATTGGTCTCTGGGGCGTAAATCATGGGTGATAATTCTCATTTCGCAAGTGCAATACATTCCTTGGAATCGAACATCTACTGACCAATACTAGTGTTTACACATTCATCGTCTATTGTGGATCGTCCATTTTCATTCCTAGTTATGAGTTCATGATGCTTCGATATGGCGTTTCTATAGAGGTTGTTCAACTAACCTTGGCTCTCTATGTTGTCGGATGTGAGTTTCATCCCTAATTATTTCAATTTGGCCTTATGTCAAGGTGTCAAGGCATTAATTCACAGCAGACGGTGTCGGCCCTTTAATCTTCTCGCCCTTGAGCGAAATCGCTTGCATCGGTCGCAACCCTCCTTATGTATTATCCTTTATACTGTTTGTGATCGTGTCTATTATCCTCGCAGTCATAGATAGCTTTCCAGCCATCGTCGTACTGCGCTTTCTTCAGGGCTTCTTTGGCAGTCCAAGCTTGGCCAGCGGAGGTGCCTCGATCCAGGATATGTTTTCGCTGATTGACGCCCCCTATGGATTCATATTTTGGGTTATTGGGTTTTATTGTGGCCCGGCCTTGGGACCTTTATTGTCAGCCTATGCGGTGACCTCCGACTGGCGCTGGCCTCTGTGGGAGATTGTTCTAATGGGCGCACCATTGCTCCTCGTTATCATCTGTCTGCTGCCCGAGACGTCGCATGAAACCATTTTGCTTCGCCGAGCCCAACGCCTTCGCCGTTTCCATCCAGCAGTTTTGGCCCCAGCAGAAACCAAAAGGCTTGACTTCCAGGCCATATTAATCGACGCATTGATTAAGCCACCTGAAATCGCAGCCAAGGATCCAGCTATCGCATATATGTGCATTTACTCGTCGTTGGTGTATGCCATCTATTATTCATTCTTCGAGGCCTTCCCCATTGCCTACGGCAGTGTATATCAAATGACCCAAACCACGTTGAGCTTGATATACCTCTCCCTCATTGTTGGGTGTGCATTAGCCGCGGTGCTCTATGCAGCGTACCTGAAGTACATTTTTATTCCTCGGTGCCACAACGAAGACCCCAGTCAAGAAGACCGTCTGATTCCGGCACTCCCTGCTGCCTGTTTGCTCGCTGTTGGTCTTTTCATGTTTGCATGGGCAGCTCGACGCTCGGTTCACTGGATTGTGCCTACCATCGGCATCGCCATATATTCTGGGTCGTCATTTGTCGTCTTTCAGGCGATCATCGTCTACGTACCGCTGTCGTACCCACGTTATGTGGCCTCGCTCTATGCGGCGAGCGACGTTACTCGATCCATAACCGCCGCAGGCTTCGTCATGTTCGCGCGGTATATGTACCTTGAGCTGGGAATTGGGAAAGGGGTTACCGTGCTGGCGGGTCTATCGGTTGGTGGTATCTTTGGGATGATTTTTATCTATTTGTATGGCGCGAAGTTGAGAGCGCGTAGCAAGTTTGCCGTTGGGGATTGAATATGGAAGGCTTTGCTGAGGCCTCCGCCCACGTCATTGACTCCATATACTCTCGGCCTGCCTTTCTTCTATAATAAATACACGAACGCATCGAATTGATACCGAGCTGGATATCGTGTCTGTACACTGTCAGGCGTAGATAAACTTTATATTTCGCTGTTCGTGTCCAGCCCTAATAACAAACAGACCAAGGAAAGAATAATAACCATGAACAGTTAGAATGGTTATCTTGTAAAAAAAAAAAAAAAAAGACAACCAATAGAAGGTAGCAGAGTACAAACTGAACCTAACTCAGGATCGTCTATCAATTTCCTTTTCGGGGGTTGCCAGCTGTATCAGGACTGCAACGATATATCCATCCAACTTTGCTGTTGTTTATCATAGGGGAAACTTCAATAGATCTCCAACGCTATGATGTCGCTTGTCGCGGTGTTGTCTTGATTGGTAGCCCTCATGGCCTCACGTGCCGGGCTAGTGCTAACCCGAAATAGTAACACCTGCCCCACCGATCACCTGATCCATCCTTTCGTAGCGAAAGGATCTTCGTACCGTTTGGACTATTACGCCATAGACTGTTCCCGTAGCGCTGGAACTGGAACCACTTGTGTCGAGTGGATTTTGCCAGTGTTGCTGGACATTACAACGTACTCCGGAGCATCTTACTGAGCTGGGTAGTTTTTTCGCGGCTATGCATTACCGAAATTACAGGCTCGTTTCCATCTGTTTCTTTAATGAATTAGTTTTCCTTGTATGAGATTCACGATAAACAAGATACGGAGTATTATCTAAAATTCCTTGAAAAGCTTTTGTATTGATTTCAGATCGGAACAGAAAATTACTAGATCGGATGAAAGCCCAACGAAGCAAGAGAAAACCCTCATTGCAGCCCAGTCAGACATTCTCAAGTGGAGAGGGGAAAAAAAAACAAAAAAAACAAAAAAACAAAAGAGGGGTTGAACAGGACTCGATACTTTAAGAGAAAGAGAAAGTTTAAACGAGATAGATAATATTAACGGCAGATAACTCAACATTTTGGTTAACTCAGGCATTCTCCTGTATTGAAAGGTTCGGATCGTCATACTTTAAACTCAAGTCAATCGTAACCCCCGGAAACGCTGGACGCCACACGGTACCAAACCAGTCTGCGTGGATAGTAGATCTTGATCGGACGAAAACGTTCGACCTTTCGCTACCAATTTTTTTCATGCCTTTCAAACTTCTTCGTCTTCTTCTTCCTTTTTTTTTTTTTTTTTTTTTTTTTTTTTTTTTTTTTTTTTTTTTTTTTTTTTTTTTTTTTTTTATTCACCTATGGTTCGATCTGATATGGTCTTTAGATTGAGATCATGCAATCATGATAATGAAATAAGTTGACTATACGTCATATGCAAAGACTAGGACTGGTTAGTAGTTGCTTGCAGGAGAACTTGTTGCTGGACCAATACGCAGTTGATTATTCACCATTATCAATACCTTCATGCATCTCGTGCCCTAAGAAAAGAACAGCGAGTTTCGAACAAGCTTCTTTGGCTTGTTACACGAGGAGGCATTGCGGTACATTCTGTATGTTATGTATGTACTCCGTACATGGGACAGATAACTTTTCACCGGTCGGTATTCAGTTACCAAACTATATTACAAAGAGGTTAATCATCGACTTTGTTCGCTTCCCCCCTCAGACCACGATGGAGGGTCTCAGCTAAAATCATGGGGCATCGGTAGATGGTACAGACGTGGGTCCTCTTGATTGACCCTATTTTCCAGGCCCACGTATCATTACCATACGCGTTCTAGGTGGTCTTGGCGGTGTGTCGTGTGAGGGAAAAAACAGAATTTACAAGCGGAAACCACGGAAGAGGAAGTGGCAGGCGATTTGACGGTGGCCCGTCGCTTGTGGTGTACAAGGGAGGGGAGATTCAACATGAGATGAATTATGCTTGTAGGCGAGGGATAAGTCGTGCAACATTAAACGTGCATATTGGGACATACAAGTACTGTACCATCAATCAATCATTGAACTTCTTGGGTACTTCTGAGCGTCACCGGTAATATATCCCCGTACCGTACCGTGGTCGTACCAGGATTAGGTAAGGGGAGAAAGCCAGCCCTCCGCAAAGAATTCCTGCAGCGTTCGATAATACCCACTAACTAGTCCGCAGTCGGCCATTCTTTAACTACTTAGTAGCTGAAGTACCATTCATCCCAATTTGCCTCATTCCGCACTGGCCCTCTTCTGCGACTTCTCCTTTTTCTGTGACCCTTTTTACCTACTCCTGAGGGTTTACCCTCGAGGTGTCTTGTTCCTTGTGGACTCTCGTCTGTCACCCGTTCTCTCTGCCGCATTGTCACCAATCGTTTGCTCCGCACCCACCATGATCGCCAGACCTTGCCGTTATGTCATGATGTTATATGTCCACCGTCAGGCCTTGTAATGGTTCATTGGGGAACAGATGCGTCTTTGACTCGACACACCATATTTACGACTTTTACTGCCGATTGTTGAATAGTCTTCTTCTTGAATTGTGGTTGATTCTCAACACCGCGGACCGGAGTATGCGCTTGAACCCGTCCGCCCTGATTCACCTATACATCAACTAATCTGTTGGGCCACGAAGTCATACGATTCGCAATCGACTTATCAGGGTAAAATCTAATTCAAGATGGAGGGAGTTGAGACTGTTGATGTCAGCTGGCTGCATCATACGCAGAAAGGTGATGGCGAACCCGAGTCAGCGCTATACCCACCATGGGGGTTTTCTGTCGCATCCACCATCATTTGCATTGGTCTCTAACGTCCCAGCAGATAATCTTTCTAGGTGCAAATCCGCGTCGTCTATGCACAGCGACAAGTCGAATATTGATACGGAACCCACCGTCGCACCACGAACTAAAGAAACTCCTGTCGAGAGAACCTCGCCACCACCTCCATACGAGCCCCCCAACCCTGCTGCAATACCTACACAGGAGGCGCAAAAGAATGCTCATCGAACTGAGAAGGAAGTGAGATCTGATGATAAGACAACGGATGGGAAGTCGACTGGATCGTCCCCGAATCCTCAGAAAAGTGCCCCGAAGCCAATCGGGAGGAGGAACTCATGGATCTCAACTCTCAGCTCCAAGTTCTCTTCGGGCTCAACGCCCCCGTCACAGTCCAGCTTAAAGAGCCAGCCGACCGTTAAGGCAACCTCGCCTGTTTCAAAACTCGATATGCACAACCCATTTGGAGCAGCCTATTCCCCCAAGGACAAGGACGATGAAAGAAGAGACGAACCAAATCCGTTTGCTTCTACCTCCCCCAAGGGCCCCTCGTTTCTTCAGAATGCCTTTCGGAAACTGTCATCCTCTGCATCGGGCGGATCGAGCAAGTTGGCTACAAATGGCGTCGTCTGCGAGCGTCGCGTTATGAACATTGACCGGGGCCGGGACAGGTGCAAGATTCCAGACTTGGACCAGGCCAAGTTACGACGCGTTGCATTTTGTGTAGATGTTGAGATTGCGGGTATCTCTCGCCGAGAATCCGACGACGAAAGTAGCCCTGCCAATGCCAAATATCGGATCGTCCCAGATATGAATGGAAAATCGAAAAAGTCCGGCACCAAATCGAAAGACAAAGACGAAGGCTCTGCTTTAAAGCATCCACAGACAGTGTTGGCGGATAAAGAAAAGCGGGCTGAGGAAAATATCGCCCCCGGAAAACAGGCTGGTCAATCGGAAGCCAACCCCAGTGATGCCAAAGTGAACGGTGAAGCCAAGGAGCCGTCCAGAAAACAAGAGAAGAAGAAAAGATCGGAGGAGGAAAGGAAGGAGCGCAAGGAGAGGAGACGGAGACAAGCAGAGGCGAATGGTTCCATTCCTCTACAATTAACTGCCGATGATCATGAAGACCATCCCCCCGCGCCTCTGCCCGGTCACCCGCGCTCTAGAACGCAGAGCCACCCGACGACAGACCCCGTACGGATATACAGACGTTGCTGCCAGTTACGGGAGACGCCTGTGCTGAAAAGAATAGTTGATGAAATCTCCGCGCCTTCCTCCATCCTCGCGGAATCTCCAGGAACGGTTGGTGTCCTCGATCTTACCAACTTTCCCATGACCGCTCAGGATATTGCCACTTTCAGTGACTGGCTAGCTGTAGTCCCTGTCCGAAAGATTATTCTGGAAAAGTGTGCTTTGACAGATGACTCGGTGCGGTCAATTCTTGCTGCCCTGCTTTCCACAAAAACAGTGGAGCAGATGAGGCAGAGACGCAGGCGAACAGGAAAGTCAGGTTCTCAGGCTTCGGCAAAAGAAGAGAGAAATAGCGTAGTAGAGAAACTATCCCTCAAAGATAACCCAAAGATCGGCAAGGAAGGGTGGCGTCACATTTGCTTGTTCGTTCACCTCTCGAAATCACTAAAGGCCATTGACCTGTCAGGTATACCACTTCCGAAGACACCTATCACAACACATGATCTGAATGGTCAGCTTTCAAAAACCTCATGTGCTACTGGTTCCGCGGTGGATGTTGCGACTTTATTCGCTAATTCCCTTTCTCGGCGCTTCGGTGATGATCATCTTGAAGAACTCTTGCTGAGCGAGTGCAAACCCACAACAGAGGAGGTGAAGAAGATCTGCGATGCAGCCACGACTCTCGGCTTGAGGAGGCTTGGCTTCGCGAATAACGAGCTGAATCGAGAAGGCTTGGAACATGTTATTCGATATCTTAAATCAAGCAAATGCGAAGGACTTGATCTTGGTGGTAATCCCATCCGAGATCATTTGGACTTAATTACATCGGCGGTTGAAAAAGAAACCAACCTTTACGCGCTGAGCCTTGCCGACTGCGCTCTTACCCCAACTGCCATTAGTCCTTTGCTACAAGCACTGAGTCGCCTTCCTAATCTCCTATTCATTGACTTCTCCCATAATCCAGAGCTCTTCTCCGGCCAGCCTGATGCTCTAGCGACTTTCCGGCGTTTCCTCCCAAAAATGCCCTCATTGAAGCGCATCCATTTGGCTGATGTGAATTTGTCAGCCGACCATGCCATCGCTCTTGCTGAAGTCCTTCCGGAATGCCCTAGATTGTGCCATCTGAGCATCTTAGAAAATCCCGCCATCAGTGCGCTAGCTGCTGCAACAGACTCAAGTAACCAGGAAGAAGCCTGCGCTGTTTACGCCTCCCTAATGGCAGCAGTACGTGTGTCGCGGACGATCATAGCAGTGGAAATCGAAGTCCCGAGTGCAGAAAACAATGAAGTTGTGAAGGCTCTCGCCTCTCAGATCGTGGCCTATTCTCTTCAAAACCTCGAACGAGGTGCTATTGAAGGAGATCTGTCTGTGCCTGGTGACCCGTCCTGTGCACGTGAGACCGTTCCTGTGCCCGAGATCCTGCAACATATTGTTGGCCATGGTGGCGGGGATGAAGTTGGCGAGGAAGATGATGAGCCCGCTCCTGATGAGGACTATGTCATCGGAGGAACCGGTGTGGTTAAAGCTTTGGGGGTCTGTCTTGGTAACCTGGATCATCATATGCCCGGAGATCAGTCTGGCCCACCCAGTGGCACGACAACGCCTAGACACAGGAAGTCCCGGTCTTATGTGGCGAAAAGGCCCCGTGATATGTCGAAGAACTTACTTGAATCCGCCCGGAATATTCGGACCAGGATTCAATCGGCTCTTGTCCGTGAGGATAGAGCCGGCAACGACATTAATTACAGTACGTGCGCACGTTACATCTGTGAGCTGATAATAATGCTAACATTTCTGTTTCTACGTTAGGACGTCTTCAATTCCTTGATTTCACCCTGCATAGGATGATTCAGCGATTCGAGGACGAGTACCCAGAGACGCGGATCATACCACAACCGGTCTTTACAGCTCCGGATTCCAGCTCGCAGAATTCAGGTGACGACGTAAACGGTGGGACCACATTCGGCACTCAACCGATCACCGATCAGGGTGACGAGTGTGCTATTGATGATGAAGATGCCGATCAGTACGCCTTGGGCATATCGCGAGCAAGCTCGATGACTTCTCTTCATTCGCGTGCAATGACCTCCGAAGAAGGTCATGTCCATCGTCTTGGCCAGAACCTTCGCCGCGACTTTCTTAATCCCTCATTCGACCAAGGTGAAGGTGATTCATCTCTCGCCCTAGATGATGCACACATTGCTGCCCTTCGCGAGAAACTCGAACGTTTGCAGGAGGAGCAGGAAGACTCCCATTTTGACGGCGTGGGTGCAGATAAAACGTTCGAGCAGTTAGGCACAACTGTAGAAGAGCTATGGGCAGCTCATAAGCAAGATGCAGAGACCTTTGAGAAATTCAAACAGAGTCAGATTGCGGCTCAAATTAATAGCGGAAAGAGAACCGCATCATCAGGGAACGGCGCTGGCAGCCAAAACAGATAGGACTGAGGCCAAATGACGGTCCTCATTCTGAATGTGGGTATATCCTGCTGCGGCGACTATTTTCTCGCTGCTTTCCGATTATCATTTATCATATATGAACTTTATTGCCGTTGACTGAGCGCGAGTTTCGTTTCGAATGTACTTTAATTTTTCAGTCCTATTTCTGATTTTCCTCCTGGCAATCTCGTGCATAGTAGATGTCAGTTTGTACAGTACATATTCTTCGTCCATGAAACGGCTGACGGCTTGCCGGGCTTTAACTTATACTTTACATAATCCATCGCTGAAGGGCTTTGATCGCAGTATGATATATGGAGTAGAATTCTCTAGATCCGATAAGCACCTTTATCCTGGACTCGCCGCGGATACAATCTCTTAGTGCACTGTTCACTAAACTCGTGAGCATCAACTCATAGCACAAAGGGCTCAGGGATTACGCTGTAGATATTATAGTACTCAAGTTCCCATCATTGATAGTTACAGTACACGTAGCTAGGTATTCCCGATATCACGCAGTTATAAACCTTTAGAGCGGTCAAACTAAATCCGACACATTTAATAAATAGCGCTAAATCTCCCTCAACCATCGGACTCGCTCTCCGCGTGAAGCATCGGAATCAAGCACCGACACATCCAACATGGACCATGATAGTAATACATAACAAACCCCTCAACTCTAGTCCAGTCACAAAAGACAACACAAATTCACTTATCTACCTAGATTCCTAGAACCACAATCATATACACCGTACCAAATGTCCACCCCTCTAGCCCCCAGACTCGCCAGCAGAGCACACTCCCACCTCATCCGACTAACAACACTCTCCATTACCACAAGATCCCTCTCAACGAAAGCAATGATCCAGAAAAAAGAATTCCTCTGTATCATGCCCGATAAGCCTAATGTTCAGGGGCTTAGGAAGCAAGTAAAAGGGTGAGGTTCTCATATCTATTATGACCTGTCCTTACATACCCTATCTATAAGTTACAATCCACCCAGTGAACCTGTACTCACGGACTTTTGATACCTAGTGCACATTACGAGGGGATAAAACCGCTAATAGCGGCCGGGAAGCTTGTTGATGGAGGTAAGTCCTGTCCTATCTACCTCGTATTCTTATGGCGATATCACCATTAGCTGGATACATCGCTACACTACACTAGCATTGCGAAGAGACCTCACTGGTATTTTTAACACAAAACAAAACAGGTGCAATCCTCGAAACCCATCCCACAGAGACCAGTGGTACCCAAATTAAAGGTAGTATGGTTGTATACACTGCTGAGAACGAAAATGAGGTTCGTGGGATTATTGAGAAGGATATCTATGCTACGAGTGGGGTTTGGGATTTGGAGAAGGTGCAGATTTTGCCTGTGAGTGTGCCCTACTCTCTCCCCCCTCCCCTTCTCCCCCTGTAACTCTTTGGGGAATCAGGCTGTTAGGAGGTCTAGTATTGATATCGGTGTTGTTTAGTATGTTCCTGCTGTGAGGGTGCCGGTTTCGTGATTTGTGATTATTGGGGTGGATGGGCGAGGGTTCTGAGAAGTTAGGTTGGGGTTTTGGTTGAGTGTTTAGTAGGAGGTGTTTGCAGTATGAAGAGTTAAAGTTCTCTTATTGTTCTGTTGGGTCTAGGGATCTAACTAGGTAGACTACAAGCAGGTTCTAGTCATGGTCAAGTTATGCTGTACTTGATATACAATCGGGTGTGCCTAACATTGCGAATATCTCTGTACAAGTCTAGTTACCATAATTTGTTGAATTATGTTCGAATGAGACACAAGGCCAGGTTAATATAACAATTGTATCGGAACACGTTCTATATAGCATAGCAACATCCAAACCTCTATCTAGGAAAGATCCACACAGGGGAGTCAGGGAGAAAAAGAAGGAGAACGTCCAACGTGGAAAACACGATACCGACACAATGCAACTATATACAAATCATCTATCCACAAACAAGAGTCTAATTGTTCTCCCCCTTTTCTTCCTCCAACCTAGCCAACAACTCACTCTTCACCACCTCATTACTCCACTTCGTCCTCGGCCGTTCAAAAGTCGACACAACCCGTCCATAAGAAACACCCCCCAACTGTCCCACAGGCCTCAACTTATCCAGATCAATATGACTAAAATCCGCATCCGCAGCCCCCTCTTTAATCCAGAACCGCGTAGCCTTAATCAACACCGTAGCAGCAATACTCATGCCCGGCTGCTGATGATCCGCAAACTCCTTAATATCGATCACCTTGCCCTCAATACTGAACACTGACTCCTTCACGCGCGACGGCTTAACAGTCGTCGAGGGCGCCTCGTGCAGACCCGAAACATCCCACTCCGAAACACCATACGGCGCATCGATGGAAGTCGCATTAACAGCTTCGATCATGTTCTCGGACACCGTGTTGATCACACATTCGCCCGTTTCCTTTAGATTGCGGTATGTGTCTTTCACTCGTCCCGGACGGGAGGAGAAGCCGACGATAAACATCGGGGGGTCATGGTCAATGACTTGGAAGTAACTAAAGGGGGAGAGATTCTTTTGGCCCTGTGAATTTACAGTGCTGAGGAATCCGACGGGTCGGGGCGCGATGGCGGAGACGAGGAGCCGGTAATTGTTCACCGAGGGCCGGTCTGGTGCGTAGGGGTCTACTTCGTGATGCTCTTGCAATAGACTGGCGCCGTTGTCGGGTACCCCTTGTCCGTAGTCCCAGGTTGGGTAGGGTGATTTGGTGGTTTCAATGTGCTTGGCGTGGTCGAAGTCTGGACGTTGGGCTTCCGTCTCGGCGAAGTTGCCGACGTCTTGTACTATTTTGTAGTTTTTTTGTACGGCATCGCTCTCAATTTCTGGAGTTGTTGCTGTTGCTGTCGCTGCCATTGAAGAACTTTGGCGGAGGTTCCTGAGTGGTTGGTACTTGAGAGCTGTGCGAGTGGGTGTGGCGCTGGCTTTGTGTTAATTATGACTTGAGTTTTTTGGAGGTAGAGATCTAATGACTGGAGGCTTACTATGTGGACAGGAAGCGCCCGAGAGCTCTTGATCGTATCATTTTGACTGTGAGTTGTTGTTTAAAAATATAATATATATTGCACGGGGTTGTGAGTGGAAACAGTGACGGTTTAAGGTGTGGTTAAAAATGAGAAGATATCGGATCTGTCCTCCGACTAACCGGTACACAACCCCGATTGCTCATCTACATCAGTGGTATAGAAACACCAGTCCTCCAAAACCCGTGGACTTAGATCGATTATGCTATCGCTTTTTCTTTCCGCGATTTGTAATCCCTAAGTCAAAACATGTTCTCTCCGCGTGCTATCCGCAGTATGCCTTCCCTCAGCCATCTTTTCTACACTGTTCCGGGTCCAACCCTTGGGAATCGAATCATGTCCACCACCGCACGCATATGCACCCCAGTAACAAGTGTGAAGACCGATCGAGCATATGCCCGTGAGAATAGCTCCTAGCCCCACTCAAGACATGCAAGCTTACTACTGTCTAGCTTTCGCACACTACGTATGTTGCCCCAGAGTAAGCCTCTAAGCACCTCGCCGACAAATATTATGAAATGCAGTCCCAAGCAATCAAAGCCGGCGGCCAAGTCTGGCTCTCCGGTCAGATCCCTGCGGATGCCCAAGGTAATCTAATCAAGGGCTCAACTGTCGAGAAGACCAAAGCCATCATCCAGAATACGGAAGCCATTCTTAAAGAGGCCGGCTCCGGACTGGACCGGGTTGTCAAAGTGGTTGTAAGCACCCCTTTAAACACGCAAGTCCTTGGGCATTATTCTATCATCTCCGCCGTAATCATTTTAACTTCTTGCGTCACCATAGGTCTATGTTAGAGACGCCAGTATAATGTCTGACTTTGCTTCTGTGTATGATCCCGTATTTCCGCATCGTCCGGCCCGGTCTATGGTGGAAGTATCCAAATTGCCTGCCGGGGTAGAGATTCAGGTGGATTTCATTGCTGTTGTTTAAATACCCTAACCTGTCAAGTGTCCTTTATCTTTCTTTCCGCGCTGAACTGAGCGTTTCCACTATACAGCAACAGTGGTTCCCTATCGAATTGCAAGCCAGGCAGATTGGAGGAAATGATCAGATTTTTATTTCTTGCCAAATTCATTAAAAAAACATGGTGATATATTATTCATTTGGGTGGTAAATCTCGTTGCTTAAGTGTCCATAGACTGCATGATACTGTCCACGTCCAGTTGGTCTGCTAAATCAAGCAGCTCTCTTGGTGGAAGACTCACAGAATGGTTGAGCGCTAACAAATCCCACGCAACTTCATCTCCTATGTCCACCTGGTCCAGTGTATATGTATCATCATTGTTATCTTGGATCTCATCTGAAGTTACTGGAAGCATTGTATGGCTTGCAGATCTCGGTGTTAACGGTGTCAGCATAAGGTCCAGATGCTTCAGTTCCAACTTCCGGAATGGTGCCGCTAGGTTGCCCTTTGTGATGAGTTTTTCGATAACACAGTCAAGGTTATCACACCAGGACTCATTCGCAATGAGTGAGGGTGCGATTGAGCGGATCAAGTACAAAACAAAGGCAGATGAAGAAGCGTGCTCGACTTGGAACGGTAAAAATGCGTCTGTCACATTCAATTTTAGGGCTGGCGTTATGTAAGAAAGGGGAAACAGTTCTACGTACCCATCAAGTCATCGTCAGCTAATGATCGAAGGGTTTGAAGGATGGTCTGTGCAGAATCGGCGCAGCATTGCAAGAGAGATGCCACGGGCGGCGACAGGCAAATGCTTTGCGACGGCTGTCTCTCTGCACTATCTATGTGCATATTGAGAGCACACATAACCAACGGCCGTGTTGTCAGAACCACACACTTGGAATTGTTTAGTATCGACAATAAACGCACGATTTATACAAGGTATACTTACATGATGTTGGGCTAGCATCAGTCTAACTGCCATCTTCGAGCCTCGGCCAACCATGCCATGAAAACTGTTATCCAGAAATTCCGTGATAGCGTGAGAGAGATCAGCTAGTGCATGAAGAATAGATTGAGTATCTCTGATCAACGCTCCATTAGATGCACTGTCCACCCCATAGACCGCTGACTCATTTGCGTTAGTCAATTCTTATGGAGCCTCGCATTAGCTGATTGCCAACTGGACTCACTTGTCAATATTTGCGCCATGAGGCGCGCAAGCCGAACATGCAACGTCAAGTTGGTATTTTCTACGGTTGAAGCCACATCTGCAGGTAATCTCACCGTGATATCCTCGTCGCGAATAGAGTTTGGTCCCCCCATCAATGCAGAGAACTCTCTATCCAGCATGTATACTACCCAAAAGACAGTCCGACAGCGATGGGAAAATTCTGGTCCACCTAGCTCTTCCGGTACATGTCTGTGTATGCCTTCGATGATACAGCAACGCAGAGCCTGTCCGATCTAATAGATAGTAAAGAGGTATAAGCAGGGACATCTTTTGTACCAAGCAATTCGGAAGCTTACGTGCTGAAATGCTGCTTTTCTCATGTCAATTGATTGGAAGTACAATGCTGCTAGGCTCAAAGCTTGAATCGAGGTCAAAGGGTCCTCGTGTATGCCCGACAAATCTGGCAATAAAGCCATCGCGCTTGATGCATACTGGTGGCCAGCAGGAGACCCAGATGGATTTCTTTGAGTTATGCAGGCTTTTCCAAAGGCAAGCACAAGTAGATACTGGGCGAACCAAGACCTACGTGAGGCAGCCTTCGCTGCTGGATCCCGGTAAAATTCGTGCAACTCTTGAAGGAATAGTGTCTCATCAATCAGGAAGGATAAAGAAGCGAGATAATACTTGGCGGCATTGTAAAGAAAAAGCGCGTAATCTAGGGGCGGTAGATTGGTGACATCAGGCAATTCTTCGGGGGCTACTTGCTTCCATTGCAACTTGAATGCCATGCCATCCAGATGCCATGGAGCTGGTGGAGAGTTCGATTCAGGAACTCGCTTCCCTAACAGGGCCAGGACGCGACGACAGAAGGACCATGAGGATGACGGGCCCATATACCCTGTTTTTTGTTTACATCAGCGGTGTTTCAAGTGAGACTGAAGTTAAAAAAAAATCTCACAATATCGGCCGTCTGGAGTTGCAGCAAAGGTCCATTCCTCTTTGTCCACCAATGGATTTTTTGAAAATTCCGAGTCATGGCATTCTTGCCTCTCCCCAGTGTCAACCCTTCTGCCATCATTACGTGTAGGAGAGTCTATCAGATGCGTTAGCTCTCAAGGGCCAAGTAGAGTACTATAAGCAGAATGATTTCGCGGCATTTTGGGTGTCACGGAAGAAAATCTGCTTACCGTGGGCTGTTGTCTGCCATCCAACTGTTCGCTGGTCATCCGGCGGCAGGTATGGCGTTGCACTGGGAGTCGGGGAAAATGCCACAGCTTCACTTCTTATCAATGGAGGCTGGACCTGATGCCCCGCGCCTGCAGAGGTCACATACCGCCCGGGACTTGCACTCCTCGTAACCTGCTCCTCTAACTCCCTCAGATAGCTGAGGTTAAAGGATGACTTGTGTTAGTGCAACGAGTCTGCCGGCGTTGTTCATGCCCTCACCGTTCACTAACGGAGACTCTAACCTCCTCCACTGGGAAGTGACAGGATCGATTCCTTCGAGTACATCGTGAACAAGGATGTGATCCCGAACACTTCACTTTCATCGACCGACACCGTTCACATCTAGCATGTATCTAGTTATTCATCTACCATCTCTACATAATGAATGGGGAATTTCTGCTCACGCTCGAAGACTTTTCTTCTTCGATCGTTCGGTTGGAGGCATTTCGGACACAAGCGCCGATATATTGTGAGGGCAAAGTGGCGATGACCATCAAAAAGTGAAGGTCGGGATCAATGTCCGAATCTTGTACCCGCACTATCGGAACTCAAATTGCGGGGTTGCCTTATGTTGCCTTATCAGATTCCCTCTCATTGGCCATTGGCCGTTCTCCTATCATATGACGTCATTATATGTGATTATCCTCTTCAAGTAACAGGGTGCGTGACCTAGCCTAAAGGCTACAACGAACGAGGCTCAAGATTCAGTGAAACTATGGTCAATGTTTATTCACAACTACTAGATATTCAGTTCTAGTTGGAGAGTACCCTTCATGTTGTATCAACTCATAATCGACTCACCCAAAGAGTCTCCGCCACAGCTCTGCCCGTATAGCAGCCACCATATGCTGTGTTCGCTCTACGGCGCCTCGGTTTTCAACTGCCCGCCGGTGTAGATATCCCATGCACTCAGCCACAGATCCCCATGTTAAACACTTCAAAGTCTTTGGAAGAGACACCTCTGCAGTAGACGACTGAAGTAGGGCATGCTCGTACTTCTGCAACAGCTCACAACTCAGCTCATCCGCCATGCCTTGAACCTGCCCGCACTCGAGTTTAACTGTAGGCTGTCCTGCGAGTAAACGTTCCTGGTGCGTAGTGATAGCCTTTGCCGTGCTAGCCGCATTGTGGGTGGCAAGAAAGAGGGCTGCAGATGGAAACTGCAGATGCTCAACTTCAGCTGGTAGTCGTCGGCAAAGCAACGTGTCTGCAATCATGTCATACGAACAGTCTGTTTCTTTCTTGGTGTCGTGGATCAAGGCACGATTCTCATGCTCAATATATGCCCCGCGCACCAGCTTGACCCCTAGCGACCATCCCTCTTGCGCTGCCAACTTGATATGATAGTCGACGTTCGCCTTCGACCCCTTCAGATAACCTTGGATTGTATTGTAGACTACCGGCGTCTCCGATCGATTATGCGTGCGCATCATCTCGATGGCCCATTTATCCAATCCAGGTTGGAGCACCTGTTGCTCTGCGTCGAGCCAGAGACGTGAGCCTTGCCGTGCGGTTGCGACGCAGATCGTGTCCACGGCTTTTGCCACAACCTCAGGCATTGGTTGGCGCGCTGCCATGGCATCTACCGAAATCGGGCCGGCTCCTGTCAATCTGCAGAATGGGCTGTTAAGTTCTCCAGGTGATTCAAAACAGCAGTGATATTAGACTTATTAGACTTACTTTACAGCGAGGAAATCCCCTGGCTCGAGCATGCCTAGGGTCTTCAAAGTTCCTTCCTTCCACTCCTCGACCATTTCATAACACCGGTCACTATACTTAGCAGAAATAGAATCTGTTGATGATTGATCATTGGGGTTCAATACGATCTCCTTGGAATATCCCAGGATAACACCCTGGTACCCAATCCGCTTGGTGTCTGCTATTGTCTTCGAGACCTCTGCATGATTGGTGCCTGCGCAAAAGTGATCGTAAACCGTAAGTCGAAGAGCCCTATTCAAGATGCTATTTCGATCTGCGTTCAGGAATGGCAATCTTGAAGTAGCAAGAAGGTTCAGTATGGTAAGCGCTGGTCGCATAAGGATTTTAGAGGACATCAGAAAAGTTATGACTAAAGACCGCAGCAAGACTCGAGTCGGTAACCTTGCCATTGGTGAAACTGCCTGATATGGCTTGATTTCTGGCTTGGGAACTGGCTCATAGTGATAGCTTTTATACTTCGGGTATACCAGTAGTGACTTTCTTTTGACAGATGCAACTTGGAGGCGCATCAAAAACCTAGACTTGGGGAGCATAGTGGGATCAGAGTAAAGAAAGACACGATGGACAAAGTATAATTTGGTTCAAATTGGATCTAAGAGGTGCGATTACCGGCGTGCATTTGCTTTTGGGCATGTTCTTACATATAATATGGCGTCCAAGTCCAGTCGGAACACTGCCCCGATAGCGTGCGCCAACGCATCAATAGAGGACTGAAGGAATTCCTGTGTCGATCGGAAACATAGAATCTGCTAGACTACTGTAATGCATAATACAACTAGCCTGACATTGAGTAGAGAATTGTATCGCTAAAGTTGAATCTTTCACTACAAATCTGGGTATATTTCCAACTGATCATTTGCTATTACACTTGGTTTCAACGATGTTATTGCTAACATAGAGAAGAAAGTCAGGAAGACTATACGTATACTTGCTAGTGCTTGGACTTGCGGGTTCCCTTCCTGTATTACTTATTGTATTTGAATCTCTTAATTTCCTTGACCAAACGCTGACATCTAGACCTCATTGGAAGGATACCCGACCTTCTCTAATGGGACAAATTCCTCCTTGATCGTCCGAGTGCTAACGAATCTTTGCAGATGAGCCATAGTGCCTGTTTTATCATTGGTACCAGAATCTCGGCTACCGCCAAATGGCTGCTGAGCAACCGTAGAGCCGGTGCATTTAGTATTCAGGTAGAGCATACCAGCAGCATGCTTCAGGGCAGTCTGCGCCTGGCGGCTGGCGTATGGATCCTTCGCATAAATGCTTCCAGTAAGGCCATATCTAGAGGTTGTATCAATCAACTTCAGAGTTTCCTCCCACTCAGCATCGGGGTAAACATAGACACCCAGAATCGGTCCAAACAGCTCCCGAGTCATGATATCGTGACGTGGATTGGAGGTTTTATAGATGGTGGGGTGTACATAGTACCCTTTTTCCTTGGAGGTCTTACCACCAGTAATAAGTTCAAGCTCCGGATCGGTTTTCGCGTCCTCGATGAATTTATTCAATTTGTCGAACGAGCGCTCGTGGATAACAGGGTTGACAAAGTTGCCATAATCTTCGACGTCTCCAACCTTCAACGCCTCCGTTTCCTCTTTTAGGTGTCGTTGGAATTCAGCCCAAACTGACTCGGCAACATAGACACGGGAGTTGGCAGAGCATTTTTGGCCTTGGTACTCGAAGGCAGCGCGAATGGTGTTCAGAGCAGCACTCCTCACGTCCGCAGATGAATGGACCACTCCCCAGTTCTTCCCACCGGTCTCACCCACAACACGAGGGTAGGAGTTGTAGATGCCTTGTCCAATCCCATCTCCAATCTTCTTTTGGATCCCCTTGAAAGTAGAGGTAGATCCAATAAAGGTCAGAGCACTGAATTCGGGTCTTTTAAGGATGGTGTCGGTTACTTCCTCGGCATCACCAGGTAGGAATTGAATAACATCCTTAGGGAGGCCAGCTTCTAGCAGAATCTTGTGGAGAAGCCAGCTTGCGTGAAGGGCCGAATCTGACGGCTTCCAGATGACCACGTTTCCAAGCAACGCGGCCGGGCCAACAAGTGTAGCTCCAAGTGCTGTGAAATTGAAAGGGGCAATAGCATAGGTAAAACCTTCAAGTGGACGGTATTCAAGTTTATTCCAGTTTCCATCGGGATGAACTTTAGGTTGCTGAGAGTAAAGAGACCATGCCTCTTGAATGTAGTAGCGGAAGAAGTCAACGGTCTCCGCTGGGGCATCAATCTCTGCCTGCCATATATTTTTGCCTTGGCCCAGCATCGTCGCAGCAACCATCTCAGAGCGATACTTGCCGGAAATGAGCTCACAGGCACGCAGAAAAACAGCTGCGCGGTCTTCAAATGGAGTGGCCTCCCAAGCAGGTTTGGCCTTGAGAGCCGCATCGACAGCAGCATTGACTTGATCGGGTGTAGCCAGTGCATAGTTGGCCACGATATCTTTGTGCCGAGAAGGGTTTACTTGGGAGCGGGATTGCTTCGTTTCAACCTATACACATACACAGATAAGTCTATAGGAACGGCCATTTTTGGTTGGTTACATACTTCTAATCCATTTATTTTGATTGGGATTGTGGCAGGGAATTCAGCCTTCATCTTCTGAATTGTCTCGGATAACTCAACTCTCTCAGGGGATTCTTTGGCATAGCTGCGCTGAGGGAATAGTCAGTATAGGACGTCCGTGATTCTACCTGCTTTTGGCCTACCAGTTTTTCATTCTCAAATTTCGGGGGATGTAAGATAGTCATGTATCTGCGCGCAAATGAACTGACGAAGTGCCTTTTGAGGCTGTTGAGGCCAACCGCACGAGTTAGGGTAAGGGGCCGCATCGCGAAAGGCTCATAAGTGCCTCAATGCAAACATACTATTGTGCGAGATGAAATTACAGATGTCGGGTGCCCGAGTCAACGAGCCTTATGTATAGCCATAGCAAGTCGTAGGCTCATCCCGACATTCGGAAGACGATTCCGAATGTTCTACAATCAACCACCTATAATTCCCACCATCAGAGAGGGTTGAAGATCACTCTATAAAAGCTCAGATTATCGGTGCATCTTTCCGACAGCCATCGACTGAAAGATAGTTCAACCAGAGGTCCCTGACACGCTAAGACCGGCGCCCGTCCGAAAATGCGGGGTCGTAGGCGGAATCAACAAAGTAGATTTTATTGTCAATTTGACTGCTCTTGCTGAAATGAAGTCATCTCAAATCAACGCTGATGGCCCAACAACGCTTACTGAGGCCAAGACCTACACAAGAGAGTGCGGTGACAGTTCGGGGACAGGACCTGCCTCAGTCCCTATGGTCACAAAAAGACGTTCAGGAAGCATGTTTGATGCGCTATTTCGTAGACGAACTTGCACAATGGGTGGGCGCTTACAGATCTGAGGAACTAGTCACCATTCCCCTAAAAGGAAACTGATGACCTCTCCTAGTTTGATACATGTGATCCCTCCAGGCAATTTGCCAAGGTAGTTCCTCCACGGGCAACGAATTGCCCTGCGCTCCTATATGCGATCTTTTCCGCTTCTGCAAGACACCTCAGCCGAAGTCAGCATACACGGACCGGTGAGGTATTGTGCTTGGGGAAGAAGTTACCTTTTCTTAGGGATGATGCTGCGCTAGAATACCAAAGTCTGTGTATATCACACCTCATGAGTTTGTCTGGGAATCCTGCCGAAGTGGCAGATGAGAATCTGCTGGCGGCGGCGGTAATTCTGCGCTTCTATGAAGAGATAGATTGTATGTTCCATTCCCGTTGGCACGCTTTGTGATGGCAGTGGCAGCTGACTTGGTGGCTTCAGCGCCCCTTGTAGGAGTTGACGATGAAACTTACTTGCGAGGAGTGCAAGTATTCCTGAACGCCCAGGGCGCAGCTGCAGTGAGAAACGGTGGCCTCCGACTGGCTGCATTCTGGGTAGGCATACGTCAGGAATTTCACACATCGTTCATCAAACAGCGTATCTTCCAATTTGACCTCAGTTGCTGTGATCACTCGACTTATAGGTTACTCGACCAAGCAGATGACCCCACCTGGGCCAATCGAGTCATTTTGCATTGTGCCCACACGCTAATATATTGTTACGATGAGAGGGGCCATACAATAAACGAGTATGAACAGCTCTGGGATTATAGTCAAGGGTGGAACCGAATGGCACCACCGACATTCAACCCGATTTATTTTCGACCGCCAGATAGGTCGAAGGGTGAAATGTTTCCAGAGCTGTGGTTCTTGGATGATTGCATCGGTATAAATCAAAGGCCTTTGTGCTTGCGAACGGTCAGGGGCTCACATACCTTACACTCATAGTAACTGCCATTCAACACTGGCACCTTGCGAGGATCCTACTTACTGCATTCGATCCCAGAGTCCCCCGTCTAGGACCTGGTAGGCGAGCAGCAGTCGGACGAAGAGAGGTATGGAATGTGTTCAATTCTAGAAGAATTTGCCGTGGTCACTCACACTCTCAGGCTGAAATCAAAGAAAGCATGTTTATACTATGTGGCATTGCTCGGTCAAACAAGACAGCTCCTGCCCTTATCACAGCATGCATGGGAGTTTCGATGTGTAAGCTATTTGATGAGAGAACTGTATGCATAGTTCCATACTAATATTTGTTGAACAGGTGGAGATCGAGTAACGGATCGTTTGGAGCAAGAAGCACTACTCAGCATCTTAACCATAACGGAAGAGACCCACGCCTTATCAACTATCAAGGCACAGGTACAGCTTCGAGGGGCTTGGGGCTGGACTAATTCCGACGGATAATTAGCATAGTAGGTTGGTGTAGATGTATAAGACACCTACCCAGATCATCACGAGAATACAGATGTATGGCAGATTAAAAGCCATTGACATTGTAGTTGATAATACAACAAACGGAGTTAGAGAGAAACCAAGACTCTAGTACAAAATATAAAAGTTGAGAAAACTCAGGCTATTTATTGCTTGCCCGAGAACAACTACGTAGTGTCTCTGCGTGTCACGAGACGCGTGGTTCAAGTCCCCCTCATGTCATATATATATGTCTTTTTCCATATCTTACCTACTATGTCACAGGTCTCATATATTAAACTGTAGTTTGGAATCAAGAATTACCATCTTTACCAAAATTGACACCGTATGTGCATACATTTATTAAATACCGTACCGTACGGAACCAAGATCCTCGGCTTCCCCAGAAAGTCGGGGAGTGATCCGTTCACATGCCATTCCCCCAGGTTCTACTGCGACAAACAACCATCCCTCTTTCTATCTCTCTCTCTCTCTCTCTCTCTCTCTCTCCACCTTCTTCTTCTCCAACCTCCCCCGAAACAAGGTGACACTATAACTCCCCTTCGGTAACTGAGTTATCCACTTCATGGCCATGTTATCCCAAGTTGACTCTGGCTGAAATAAATTCTGCCCATTTTGCGCGCGGCGGCTTCTTTCCGTCGCGATGGCCGCTCAATCGAAACTACTTCCTCCCGAACGATCGCTTCGGCAGATCCTCTCAAGCCTAACTACCTTGTACCTGCGCCACCGCACTGGGATTTCTCGCACAGTCTATCTAGCCCTCTTCGCAGCTTTAGCAAAGCGCATTCATAATGCCATCTCCGAGCAGAAAGCAGCTTCTCAGCAACAAGTGGAGTTGCGGCGACGTCCGGGCACCAGCAGTATCGGGGATGGCGGCGACCGGCCGCGGAAGAAAGTTGGGGTCAACCGCGAATTCTTTCGAAATCTACTTCGGTTGCTGAAAATAGTAGTTCCCAGCTGGCAGAGCAAAGAGCTACGGTTACTGGCCGGTCACAGTGTCTTCCTGGTGCTCCGAACGTTACTCAGTCTATATGTCGCTGAACTAGACGGGAGACTGGTGAGTAACTTGGTGAGAGGGAAGGGGAAGGACTTCCTACTGGGCCTTGTGTGGTGGATGATTGTTGCCGTACCAGCAACTTTCACGAATTCCATGGTATGTCGTGCGCCGGTTCTGGTCCACTCTCACGCAAGTGAACTACACCGGCTAACATCATTGAACCCTTCTAGCTTTCTTATCACCAATGTAAACTTGCCCTCAGTTACAGGAAGCGCTTGACAGATTACATTCATGACAAGTACTTGAGCAACATGACATTCTACGCGATCTCTGCGCTGGATGACCGAGTCAAAAATCCCGATCAACTCATCACGGTAGACGTGTCTCGATTTTCCGACAGCCTCGCAGAGCTGTATTCCAACCTAGCCAAGCCAGTTCTAGACATGGCAATCTATAATTATTCCCTCTCAAAGAGTGTGGGCGGGGAAGGCCTCTTTATTATGAGCCTATTGGTTCAGTTGTCAGCAAACGTCATGCGTGCGCTAACGCCACCATTTGGAAAATACGTTGCTGATGAAGCCCGCTTGGAAGGAGAATTCCGGTTCCTCCACTCGAGGTTGATTGACTATAGTGAAGAGATTGCCCTATATCATGGCCACGAGGCGGAGAAGGATACTCTAGACAAAGGATATTTCACGCTAATTAAGCACGTGAATCGCATTTTACAGAGACGGTTATACCATGGCTTCATGGAGGACTTTGTAATCAAATATTTCTGGGGAGCCTTGGGATTGATCCTATGCAGCATTCCAGTTTTTTTCAGAATTCCAGGTCAAATCACTCAGACCATGGGAGACCGTACGGAGAGTAAGTAGGGGCTAAGGCTGGTATTTGAGACTGAGCTAACACCAATTTAACTAGGTTTTGTTACGAATAGGAGGATGTTGCTTTCCTCTTCTGACGCCTTCGGCCGCTTGATGTTCTCATACAAAGAGATATCTGAACTAGCCGGCTACACAGCCCGTGTCTCGTCATTGCTGGAGGTTATGGACGACCTATTAGCTGGACGCTTTGAGAAGAAGCTGGTGTCTTCTGCATCGACCGAGGAGAATGCAGCTGTTTTGTCCGGTCGGGGAGAGGTCGAGGAGAGCGACTCGATCGAATTCACCGATGTCCCGATCGTCTCGCCTAATGGGGATGTTCTGGTGCGGAAGCTGTCATTTACTGTGCACCCCGGTGATCATCTTCTAATTGTTGGTCCAAATGGGTGTGGCAAGTCATCTTTGTTTCGGATCCTGGGCGGCCTGTGGCCTGTCTACGGAGGCAAGGTAAAGAAACCTCGATTTGATGAGATCTTTTATATTCCGCAACGACCATACTTGTCTCGTGGAACCCTTCGCCAGCAGGTCATCTACCCAGATGGACTTCGCGAAATGCGTGCTAAGGGCGTTACCGACGACGATCTTTATGATATACTCTCCATTGTTGAGATCGCATCCGTTGTTGACCGCCCTGACGGCTGGGACGCAGAAGAGGAATGGCGTGATGTACTCTCAGGTGGACTCCAACAGCGCATTGCCATGGCAAGACTCTTCTACCATCGACCCAAGTTTGCCATTCTCGATGAGTGTACTTCATCGGTCACTATGGAGATCGAAAGGGTCATGTACGAAACTGCCAAGAGATTAGGCACAACCCTGATGACCGTATCCCACCGTCGCAGTCTCTGGAAATATCACAAGAAAATTCTGCAGTTCGACGGCCAGGGAGGCTACATTTTCACAGGTCTAGACTGGGAACGGAGACTGAAACTAGAAGAGTAAGCTGCGCCTATCCTTGACTACCCTCATTCTCACAATAACTATATGACACCGAGACTAACACTATACTTATAGTGAGAAAGAAGAGCTCGATATTCACCTCCGGGCTGTTCCGGAACTTCAAAGGCGCATGGCTGAACTGAGTGCTTCCTAAGCAAACCTTCCATCTCATTCATATACTGTTCCATCTTGTTCTGGGATCTTTTCGAATCACGCAGTCTATACCCTCCCCCTTCCCCATTTTCCCTCTTTACTCCTGAGACAAGATATATGAAGCACACTTTTCCTATGTTGAGCATTTTAGCGAACGTACAGATGTACGTTTAGTGAAAACTGCCTTCGTTGGCTATGCTGTGATTTGTTTCATAGATACTTGCAGTTCGCACTAGTTCATTCACTACCTAGTGGACCAAATGAGAATAAGAGATTAGTGGAGAGTTATAGGCGCAGTCATCCGACTATTATAGTAAGATCATGGTCATAGTGGGCCTTTCTTTCCTCGTTGTCTCTACACTACTTGCGTATTGCTCCTACGGAGTAATGATAGGCGCCGGTGAGGAAGAAATCCTTAGTGATAAAGAGTGAAAGAATCAAATAGAAATCATACTGTGCTAGGGCATATATGGAGCTAACAGTCAATTAATAGTAGCAATTTGTATGCAGAAATTGTGTTGTCGTCATTCTCATCTTGAACCCTTAGGATTGTTCAATAATTATGATTAAAACTGATGCAAATCACAGGCAGGGATTTAGGTGCATTAGGAACATGAACCTCAAAACCGAAATATACTGGAAGAAAGCAGGAAAGCAAAGGGAAAAAAACTGCAGTTATATCTGGATACACGTCCACATTCGATCAGTCTTTCACAGCGAGAGGCTCTATATTCCAGATTCCATCTGCATATTCGTTGATGACACGGTCCGTGGAGAAAAAGCCCATGCGTGCAACACTGGTAATGGACTTCGCTATCCACTCGTCTTGGTTCCGAAATGCCTCATCGACCATTTCCTGAGTTTTTACATACGAGTTGAAATCGTCGGATACAAGATAGTAGTCACCGTGCTCTGCAATGGATGCAATGAGCGCAGAGAAGTCGTCAGCATTTCCGAACGTGCCGCTTCGGATGGCATCGAACACCTTGGCAAGCTGAGGGTCGAGTTGAAAGTCACCATAGTAGTGGCGGTGACGTAGTTCCTCGACATCTTCAGCTAGATTTCCAAAGAGGAAAATGTTTTGTTCGCCGATCTCGCGAGTGATTTCGATCTAGATAAGAGTTATGACAAGTCAATCACAAGGGCCAGTTGTATAGAGATGGACGCATGGGGATAAACATACGTTGGCTCCATCACACGTTCCAATGATAAGGCCACCATTGAGTACAAACTTCATGTTACTGGTACCACTACCTTCAGTACCAGCGGTTGAGATATGCTCGCTGATATCCGAGGCGGGACAAATTATCTCTGCCTTGCTGACATTGTAGTCCTGAATAAATATTACCTTCAAAAGATCGCCGATTTCCGGGTCATTGTTTACGACTGATGCGACATTGTTGACAAGATGGATGACAGTTTTAGCCATCCAATACCCCGGGGCTGCCTTGCCACCAATAATGGATACTCGTGGCAAAACTTTCTTTCTTTCTCCCGGGGACATAGACTTGATAGTCAGATAGCGATGAATCACGCCGAAGATATTGAGTTGCTGACGCTTATACTCATGGATACGCTTTACCTGGATGTCAAACAAAGCGGTGGGATTGACACTATAGCCGGTAGCGTCTTTGATATGCTTAGCAAGACGGATTTTGTTCGCGGTTTTGATTTCTGCCCACTCCCTTCGAAAGTTTTTGTCATCGACAAAAGCTTCGAGCCTATCTAAAAGCGCTAAGTCTGTCAGGAAATGGTATCCACCAAGCTTAGTGGCGATCAGGTCCGACAACCGCGGGTTGGCCTGGTGCAACCAGCGGCGCGGAGTGATCCCGTTCGTGACGTTGGTGAACTTATCAGGTCCATAAACCTGGACAAAGTCTTTGAAGAGCGTTGTCTGTAACAAGTCGGAATGGAGCTCGGCGACACCATTAACTTTGTGGGATCCGACAATTGCAATATGAGCCATCCGGACCATCTTGGGATGCGATTCTTCAATGATTGACACCCGCGACAGTAAGTCTCTGTCATTGGGGAATTTCTTCTCTACCGTCTGTAGGAAGAACAAGTTGATATCAAAGATAATCTGCATGTGTCGTGGGAGTAGCTTTTGCACCAGAGGGACAGACCATTTCTCCAGCGCTTCTGGCAGGACTGTATGGTTGGTATACCCAAAAGTATTGGTCACTATTTTCCAGGCCTCATCCCATGTGAGGCCTTCTAGATCAACCAAGATGCGTTGCAGCTCGACAATAGCCAGTGTCGGGTGTGTATCATTGAGTTGGATTGCTACCTGATCCGGAAATTCTCCCCAGGCTCGCTTCGTCTTCTTGAATCTTCGAATGATGTCATGCAGCGATGCAGCACACCAGAAGTACTGCTGCTTCAGTCTGAGCTCTTTGCCCCTTTCAAGGTTATCGTTTGGATAGAGCACCGCAGAGATCGTTTCTGCGCGCTGCTGTTCCGCCACGGCATTCTCATAATCTCCAGCATTGAACTTCTGGAAATCAAATTCCCCACTACTCGCTTTGCTTGACCATAATCGAAGATTATTCGTAGTAGAAGTTCCATAGCCAGGAATAGGTACATCGTACGCTACTGCCTGGACAGTTTCGCCGTCTTGCCATGAATGAACAGTCTTACCGTTGTCATCTTGATATTTTCTCACCCAGCCGTAAAACTGAATATCGACGGCAATCTCATGTCGGGGAAATTCCCAGGGATTGAAGTCGAGCCAGTAATCGGGAACTTCAACTTGGTATCCATCCACGATCTCTTGTTTGAAGATCCCGTATCTGTAACGGAGCCCATATCCCCAGGCCGGGTAGTTCAGTGTCGCCAGGCTATCAAGCAGGCATGCTGCTAGACGCCCTAGGCCTCCGTTTCCGAGGGCGGCATCATGTTCTTGGTCAATGACATCCTCGACCCGGAAGCCGAGATTCTTCAAGCCATCTTAACTATGCAGTTAGCATTTGTCTCTTATCTCGAGCTTGCGTATTCAGGTCATCTTATACCCCTAGCCGCGTCCTTCATGCCGACATTGAGCATAGCATTGTCCAACGCTCGGCCCATAAGAAACTCGAGAGAGAGATCTGGCAGTAGATTAGCACTGCATCCGTGGATGTAGCAGACCTAGAAACATTTCATGGCACACTTACAGTATACCCTCTTCTGGTCTGCAGAACTTTGCCGCTGCTGGGTCTTATTCCAATCGATGATCAGGCGGTCACGAAACGCAAGTGCAGTTCCCGAGTACGCAGCGCTGTTGTTGTTATTTGGGGATCTGAAAGAATGCATGGGGCTACATGAACATACAGCTCATCACAGTTGTAGAGCGAACGAGCCAAGGTAGTCTCGACGTGACGGACTAGCTCTTGCTATATCGCTGTTAGAAATTGTTTCATGTACCTTAGCAGGCCGTCGCATACTTCAAACTCATCTTTGTTCGTAAAGCCACTGACAGACTGCAGCCAACATGATTTAGTACGGAAGAGGACCACAACCTCGGATGACAGTCAGTATATCCGCCTTACATGCTTTCTCCAGCTAAACACGAAGTCTAATCAGTCAAGACCAGTCAACCATGGTACACATGCCACTTACGCTTCTCTCAGCGGCTCAGGGATGCTGGCCTCAACACTCTTGATTTCTGCTGGCGCTAAGCCAGTATAAGTCCGTTTGTGCTTTGGACGGCTAAAGCCAGGGCCAATAGGACCCTGAAGCTCTGACACAGGAGCACCGACAGATGGTTTCCTCTCCCGGCGTGCTTCAGACATGGTTGCCCAGTTACCAAGGTGACACAGGAACGACGTGGGGCTTGGAAGGTATGGCAGGGTCAGGATGAATGAGCAACGGGTAATTTGAGAGATGCCAATTGAGGGATTAAAGGAGGGGGAAGGAAAAGCTAGCCAGGCAACTTAAGAAGAGGAGAAATGATGGATGGAGGGGAAAGTGGCAGCAGACAATGAGACAAGGGAAGAGGGGAAGGAAGAGGTCAGAGCTTCAGTTCGTTCTCGAACTGCAAGCACACCCCGTGACGAGACCTCGAAATGGACACCATCAAGACGTTTGAAACTTATCAATGGACGATCGTAGCGGAGATTGGGAATGATTATCGCATTGGATCCCAGTTGTTGTTGAAAGCTAGGAACCGGTTTCAATCCCTTCCAGCTGGCAATCTACGCCACCCATTGGGAGAGGGTTGTCTAGACCAGTCTGTTTAATCGTGCCATTGAGGTCCACGGATTATCCGGAATGACCCTTCATTTTTCTGCCGTGTCACCGTGTCGAAAATAGATACCGATGTACCATAAATACTACTATATCTAGGACGGACGTGTGTTGATGGGTAAGGTATACTTGTTGTGGTGGAACACTTGATATTTCCGTCAAGTAGAAGTGATATTTTGAATTGATGGACGTTCGGAAAAGTAATGACGCAAACACCATCTGATTGACACTGCGGGGGGGAGAAAGCAACCCTAATTATGCCTATTAATCAACCAACCACCGAAGGTAGTAGCTTCACAGCTCCTATCATCACAGTCCGTGCGGTACTCATCAGACCTCCTGCATGTATGTGCGCTGTGCACTGCCATTACCCTACTACTCTAGTACTCCCCACTGAACCAAGGTCCAGACCCCTACTGCCAGTACAACCTCTCGCTGACCCACCCTGATTTATTTACCTAATAATAGCCCTGACTTCTAACTAGCTATCTATTGTTATTAAAGACGACCCCATAAGAAACGGTTGTGATTATATAAACTTAACATGATATATTAACACAATCCCACCCAATCCTCTGGCGTTTGATGCCGGTGATTCTATCGTGTCTGGGCAATCTACCATAGTCGGCCCAATAAGGGCGAAAGAAGAACCATGGGTCGGACGTTCCGCACATACCCGCGGTCCAGACCCATCCTAGCTCTTCTTGGACATTATTCGCAAAGCCATATGATCTTTCGTAGAGGCAAACGTCTGGGAACACACCAAAACTTACTCAACAAAAGAGATACCGCAAAGTGAAAGAACCAAGTACTAAAACATATTATAGCGCTGGAAACTGAATGGTATAAGTTGAAAAGATTGCAAGCCAGCCACCCCGGGAGTCAAGGGACCGCTATTAGATGCATAAGCTGAGGTGGATCAAAAGGGGAAAGGGGGAAACAGAAGAGGAAACAAAATAAGGAAAATCTCAAGATGAGAGAGGATATCAAGAACCTTGGCACAAATTATATGCAAGTAGTGCTGAGACCAACAACTTTTCACTTTGAAACAAGATGCTCATAGAAATCCAGGCCAAATGAAAAGGCCAAGCCAAGCCAATCAATACTTAAATGATGCGGATAAACAACCCCTTCGAAAAAAGCACACCCCTCGGGAATAAGGAAAAAAGAAAAAGAAAAAGAAATAGATGGATAGAATATGAGAACCAAGATAGAAATGACTCCATGCCGCAAAGTCCCAATGACTATGATCCAACCAAGCGCCTAGCATATTAAACTGAAACGAAGACTAGCACCGTTAACGCCGATGCCTATCCACAAAGCACGAAGGAGTATCGGGGATGAAAAAAAATAAAAAATAAAAAATAAAAAAATAAAAAAGGAAAATAGGATAGAAAGAGCGTCATGGCTTGTCGGATATAAACGTAGCTCGGTCACCCGGAGACTCTCAACAGGCCCAGAGATCGCGATCTGTCCGACTCGAGATGTCTGCGCGTAGAACATTCAAATCTACAAGATACCTGAATCCTTCAAAGCATTTTGTAGAATCGTCTCCTTTACCGCAGCGAATACTAAGCGGATGTTGGTTGTATCGGTGGCTTGTGTCAAACTGGAATGAAACGTGAAGTTAGTTGCATGTCACAGTACAGGGCATCTTCATCGAAGTTTGCGGGACGCTTACTGGGGATAGAGGTTCAGATGTGCTCGATTAACTTGGTTGAACCTCCATAGCAGGTATTTGGCGGCGCGATTCACGTCATTGCCGCCAGAGTAATCAGGAAAGTAATTGCTCAAGGGGGACCGAGGGAGCTTTTGGCGGAACAGATCGACCTTATTCAGGAACAAGATTATACTCGTTCGCATGAACCATCGCGAATTGACTACGGAATCGAACAGCACCAGACTCTCCATCATTCGATTCTTTGCAGTAAGGTTAGTAGCAAGGACGACCATTAATATCCAACAACGCTTACCTGATTACTCTCTTCCAGAAGCACTTGATCGTACTCGCTCAATGCCACACAGAATATAATGGAGGTGACATTCTCGAAACAATGGATCCACTTCTTGCGCTCACTGCGCTGGCCACCCACATCAAACATGCTGCACAACGTGTAAGCGACGTCCCCAAAATAGACTGTGTGAGTGCACATACTGTATGCTCAGCTGGCCCATCGTAAACCTAGTTTCATAGATACCGGTAGTCTTCGTTCGGGCGCGAAGCACATCATTTACGTTGGGTATGAAATCTGGGGATGAGATTCGCTTTGCTTCCTCAAAAAAACTAGCAGGATGCTGTCAGTGCATCTTCTTTCCGTACAACCTCGGAAGCAATGGAGCTTACTATGGAGCAGAATCCATCAAGTAGAACTCGTTCTGATGTTCCAATACTGTGGATGTGCACGGGTCATTCCAGATATACGTTATCGCCTCCCCTACCTTCGCATCCAACGTTGTGTGCGGGTCGGGGTCGATATTGTAGTCTGAAATGTATTGTACATAGTCACGGACTTTTTGACTCGAGGGCTCGAGGGAGAATTGGTGATAAGCTCCTACAAGGGACTTGGCGCAGTCTAGGAGATTCTTGCAGACCGTTAGGCGATACAAGGCTAGCTCCTCCACTGTGTAGCCGTTCTGATGGATGATCTTCATTTGTTTGACAATTGTCGATTTCCCACTTTCTCCGGACCCTGATACAGGAAAAACATCGCAGTCAGACACCAAAAAACGCCATGCTAAAAAAAAGAATTCCCCGAACGTACCAAGCAGTAAAATCTTGCACTCCCTCCGTAATCGCCTGGAATCCTCCTCCAGCCTGCGATCGATCGCCTGGCTCCTCTTCTTTGGCTCATTGTTTTCAGCCGGCTCTGAGCTTACACACGAACCCATCTCGAATTATATTCTAGACAGCGAACGACTAAACCATGAGCTGTCTGCGGAAGTGAACGGCATCAACCTAACACGGCCCCGACACCTTCGGGTTAGTCGTCACCAATCGGCTCCCTGTAGCTTGGAAGGAATACCGAGGCAATGGAGTGGCTAATAATCAATCAATGATTTGAAATAGACGGGAAAGGAAACGATAATAATATTCGCGATCGACGATAGGAGGCTTGACTTGGAATCGAAGGCGGCGCACAGTAGCAGCGGTACAGCTGGTCTCGGATGAAGGCCTGAGCGACTGCGAGATCCGGGGGGCGGAGATCAGATGCTCGTGGCGCAGGAGGTGAAACTAGGGCGTTGGAGGGCACCGGTGGAAAGGAAGCAGAAGTCCAAGCGCCTTTATCGTACTCAATATCTCTGGGTTAATACGTTGAGTTAGGATGAGGGGCGACTGGATTAACTGCGGAGCAAGAAGACGTGTGAGACTGACGAGCCGACGCTAAAAAAGGGTAGCAAAGGTCGATCGGGGGATGGATGATGTGGGAAAAGTGGACGGATCTCGAGTGAGATAATGTAAGCAATACTAAAGTAGTCACCCTCCCCGTCGGTTAGGGAGGCAAGAAAAAATAGAATAAAGGGAACCGGGGTAAGAAAAACGAGGAAACAATAGAGAAGCGAAAGTATAGGAGATTGTCAATCAGTCATGAAAAGAGAGTAGAGAGGAAGGGGAGGGAAAAAGGAAGGATCGTAGGAATGAGATACTGCTGCTGTTTTTATGACGATGAACAGTTGCTTGGGATCATTATTGGATGGTTGAGACAGATGGTAATTCTCAATGGGCGGATGTTCCCTAATCGTCATAATAGACAGATGGGGAGTGGGGATGGCAGAAAAGAGAGGAGTCCCAGTATTACCGACTTTACCTTACAGAGTATTAGATCGTACCTATCCACGGGAATAAGTGGATAAGTGGTAAAACGTGGACCGGCGAAGCTTACCGACAAAGATTTGAGGCCGGTGGGATGGCATGGGATGGATAGACTAAGATGAAGGGCTGTGACGGTAATTAGGTATGTATGGGGGGGAAAAGGAGCCCGGTATTCGACGCTAAGATACCTCCATTTTCATTCACTGAGCTTGGAGCTTAGGTAATGATGGCCCATTCTCAGGGTGTTACTCGTTCGTAGGAACCTCTTAGTTCACGGTATTATAAGGGTCCGTGGGTAGATATTATTGTGTTTCAATCTCATCTTGCGACACATACATATATAAGTATCAAGCATCGTCCCTTGTGTCGCACCTCAGTATGATCTCTAAGACTAGGTACCATTCTGGTGGTAATTCATATCAGGATATATGTACTCCAAAAATGCACAGACATACCGTGTACGGAGTATACTTATGTACATGCTTACCTACATAGTTGACCCCCCTGTTGGATTGTGATAAGCAACTGACATACGTTTTCTCTTATTTTGTTTTATTTTATGGTATTTTCTTAGTAACATATGATTTGAGCGGCGTACTGCCTCCATTGACGGGGAAAGTCAGGCAGGTATTTTTCTGCCCAGGGATTGGCGGACGCCACCATCCATAATTCTCTCTTCTTATCCTCCGGCCTGTCCGCTCCCTTTCTCGCCCCTGACTAATTTGCAGGCCAAAGAAGAGAAAAATACATAATATCTTTCCACCAGTGTCTTCTTCGACTCAAATCCAAAATAACACAATGGCATGCTGCACTACTGTGCGCTTTTAAGTGTCTGCTCCACCCAGTGAACGGACCATCTGTCCATACATACATAGCCACGAAAGGAGCAGGGCACACTTCCTCTAGGGGAATGTTAAGGCTGGGGCAATGTCCCACTATGTGCTGATTGGAGAATTGACCTGGAGCCCTGACGGTGCTAGTACAGGTACCGTACAAAATTTATTCGGGGTTCGTGAAATAATTCCTCTACACACCCAAGTTACAGTAGGTTATCCTACTAAAAGGACAGAGTACACAAGGTCGGACTATGAAGCGCGTTCAGCCTACCAAGCCACAAACATGACGATTAGGAGTAACACGAAGGGATGGCGCCTTTTCGGGACAAAGAGGAATTTGGAATAGATTTACTTTTGGATACGGATAACCTTGTGCTATGCAATGTTCTTTGCCCACAGTAGCGTTAACTTATATTGTCTTCCTAGTGACACCTTGCATATACATGTAGATACAAATAGTGCTTATGAGCTCACACATGTCGAGCATCGACGAGAAAAGGGGCATTTTTAGAATCTTGGCCGTTACTCCAAAGCTAGGGAGGAACGGCAGTGAAAACGGGACTAGACTTACTCGACATCCTCTATTTTGATCTTGAAAAGTTCGAGATCTATTGCCTACTCAATGTGTGGATATAATATATAACTACCCATCTGCTGTTTTTATTTCACCACCCAGCATAGTAGATACTAGTACTATCGGAGCTTGGATCTTTGATTGGAGGTGAGCCTCAATAAATCCCCGATGATGCTTCTAGGATAATCCAATATGCTGGGAATAGATCTAGTAAAGTGGAAAGGGGTCGGATGATACTTCTAAGAATATATATAACTCCGATTAAGTTGAACGATACTATGACAAATTTGACCAGATCGCGATCTACTCCAGTAATTTTATGGAGAAAGTCACCTTTTTTTTTTGTTTTTTATATAGTTACTGGACAGTCAAATTTGTGTTATCCCTTTTAATAACCATCTTTCTTCTTTTCCATTTTTATTTTGGATGGGCAGCAAGCAGTTTATGTGGAATTACACGGCTGGCAGTGGTTGGAAAAGGTTAGCAGCATATCCGCACCCCACAGGCTATGATGACATCGAGAGAGCAAATGCTTGCTGTACGTCGCGGGAAGCGAGGCCTGACGTATTAGGTACCTACCTACATCACCACCGGTATAGGCAACAGGGCCTTTTATCCTGGGAAATTGCATGATAATCGATCATTGCTGTTAGATATTCTGTTGCAATTGGTGCTTTGCAAAACAAGGGGTCGTTTTATCTTTTGCTTTTCTTCTTCGTTCTCTTAATTTCTGCCTCATGGCGCTGTACTCTTTTACCCGCTATGACATAATTGACGAATCCCCGAACGCTTGACGAATCAACATCTAAATATGTTCGATGCAGAATTTTAGATAAAACAATTCCAATCCAGACCCCTGATTCCTTTTTGACTTCTGCTTTCTGCCTTCTAGGGCAGATTGCGACGTTCATGGAGGGATGAGCTCAACATCATGGACACGTGCTATCGCAGCCCTTCTTTGGGAGGTGAACATGATGAGGGAAAAAGCCATTGCTCGTAAAATCGTCGCTTTTTAATATGATAATCTATGTCTTCAAACCGATGGGACAAGCGATACGCAGTACTCCGTAGCAAACCAAATCCTATACAGAAAAAGAACCCCACGAGGATCCAAACAGAAAAGAGAAATGCCAAAACTAGGTCCTAATGCCCCTCTTGCCCGTGTGCCTCATCCGGTTATGTAAGCGTGATGGGCGATATTCCCTGAATTTGGAACCATCTTCCGGCCAATGTTAGTTGGCATATGGTCTAGACAGGCCGCGTGGAGGGCCAAAGTCTTCGTGGTTGCTGTAAACCTCCAGCGTTCCCACTTCCGACCCTTCTTTTTTTGCAATACCCTACGTTCTTGTCGCGAACGTCATCGGTCTTGCCTGGTTGTTACCGGACTTTCGAAAAGTCAACGGGCTAAGAGAGACTTCCTTTTTTCCCCACATACCTCCTTGGGCGCCACCTACGGTTTCTCTGCTTCCTTCTTCACTACCAAAAAAGTGTTATTATTCGCCTTGTTACTCCAACTTCATTTGCTATCTCCATTTTTTTTTTTATTTCACTCTCGTTTCTTCTACACACTCTCCCTATCCCTTCCATCTTTTTAATTATCTTGTCTCATATCCTGAGCAAGTCTAGAGGATTAGTATTCCTGTCGCTTTTCTCCGAATCTTGGAGTTACATCCGTCTGTAATCCAAAATGGCGGAATTCGTGCGTGCCCAGATCTTCGGCACAACCTTCGAGATCACAAGCAGGTACGGGTGTCTCTTGAGATGATTGAATACAGGCAATGGGATTAGTTCCTTTGTAACAGTTTCGCAGGTACACAGAACTGCAGCCCGTGGGAATGGGTGCGTTCGGCCTCGTGTGGTATGTTCCTACAGCCCCTCCTTTTAGATTCGCCGTTACCGCCAACCCCTCATACGGACCATGCGCTGACACGCTTTTCCCCGGGAAATTAGCTCGGCGAGGGACCAATTGACCGGACAGCCCGTCGCCGTTAAGAAGATTATGAAACCTTTCAGTACCCCAGTTTTGTCCAAGAGAACATACCGCGAACTGAAACTATTGAAGCACTTGCGCCACGAAAATGTCGGTCAATTCACCCGAATAGGGCCGCATCGCTCTGTACGCTGACTATGACCAGATCATCAGCCTAAGTGATATTTTTATTTCTCCTCTCGAAGACATGTATGTACGATCTCCACCACCTTTAAGAGGGACACCTGTTGTCTAACCGATCGTCACAGCTATTTCGTAACCGAGCTCCTGGGTACCGACCTCCACAGACTTCTCACATCAAGGCCGTTGGAGAAGCAGTTTATCCAGTATTTCTTATACCAGATCTTGGTGCGTGGCTGCGACTGGCTCCTCCAGACGATGTGGGCTCGATACTGATGCGTCACAGCGAGGACTTAAATATGTGCACTCAGCAGGTGTTGTGCATCGTGATCTTAAGCCGAGTAATATCCTTATCAACGAGAACTGTGACCTGAAGATTTGCGATTTTGGTCTCGCCCGTATTCAAGACCCCCAGATGACAGGCTACGTGTCGACGCGATACTACCGTGCGCCTGAGATTATGCTCACATGGCAAAAGTATGATGTGGAGGTGGACATCTGGAGTGCCGCTTGTATTTTCGCCGAGATGCTGGAAGGAAAGCCTCTGTTCCCCGGCAAGGATCATGTGAACCAATTCTCCATTATCACAGAGCTCCTTGGTACCCCACCGGACGATGTGATTGAGACAATCTGTAGTGAGAATGTGAGTAACCATGGGATTGGTGCTAAGTTCCAAGTGGGGTCACTGCTAACACTGACCACAGACTTTGCGATTCGTCAAGTCTCTCCCCAAGCGCGAACGTCAACCCCTCGCCACCAAATTCAAGAACGCTGACCCGGATGGTATGTATTCCGTTAAATGGGGATTAAGCGCTATCAGGTGCTAACAACGCACAGCGGTTGACCTTCTCGAGCGGATGCTGGTATTTGACCCGAAGAAGAGAATTCGCGCGGGCGAGGCGCTGGCGCACGAGTACCTTGCTCCGTACCACGACCCCACCGATGAGCCTGTGGCAGAGGAGAAGTTCGATTGGTCATTCAATGATGCTGACCTACCGGTAGACACCTGGAAGATCATGATGTAAGCACCTCTTTGACGCAATAACGTGCTTGCCAAGCTAATCTGGAGACCCCCAGGTACTCGGAAATTCTCGACTTCCATAATATCGATCAGGGTACCGAGGCGAGCCAAGTCGTCGTTGAGGGAGCTGGCGAAGCCCAGCAAAATTTTGTATAATCGGGTTCCTAATTCGCGGACGAGGCGCAGGCAATAGTGCAGCGTGTTTCTGAGGTTATCTTCTTTTCCCTTTTGTTCTCGTTGGGTATGTAGACTGGGCATGAAGGCTGTGATATCTTTACATCTACGGATACTTTCTCATTCACTGCCACGTGGTTGTTTTGCAAATTCTGAGGCGCTTTTGCCTTCAGGACCTGTGGTTTTCTTACGACGTTGTTAGAATCGGGGAGTTGAAAATCAGTTGTGACATTGATTTTCCCTTTCTCTTTTGGTTTCTTGTTCCCTATATATAAGTTACACGTGAACCATGAATGATGAACTAGTTGGTGCTTAAGGAATACATGAATAGAAACTGGGCCATTAGAACAATCTTCTTGATCATTCGTCGCGCTTAATTATTTGGTTGCTGGATGTTCTAAGCGGTGCTCCGCTGGCAGAAATCCCGAATATCAGCCTTATGATTTGATTATCTTTCCCGCAAATTGAAGTATGGGGACTAGTCGTACTTAAAAACACGGGGTGGGGAGGGGGGTGTGGAATTCCAATGTCCATAGGTTACTACAACTCCGTACTCCGTACTCCAGTTGGCAAATTTAATCAACCGCCGACTGTCACCGCCCGCCGCGGGACCCAATGAACCAATTCATTAGCCCCCCTGGTTCCAATTTCCACCAGTCTCCAGCTTGAGGTCCTGTCCTTTGATTATTCTTGATTGTATCCGCCTTGAGGCTACCTGTGTCTCCCTAGAACTATTTCCCGGGAGGGTAGCCCTTTCTCTCAGAGAGAAATTGGCTTCGAATCTTTCCTTGTTTCGGTCATTTGTATGTTGCACCGCTGCCGTTTTACGCCATGGCTAGTGTTCCAAGTCGCCAGGCGCCTATTGTTATGGTCATAGACTTCCATCATGCAAGGTGAGTAACTGGATGAGAATAAGAAGTCAGCAGTATGGATACGGGAACAAGAAAGCGAACGAGATAGGCAGAGACTGCAGAATTCGCAGTACTAGAACATGTTCATTCCACTCTTTGGTTGCAGTTGTATGAGTTGTGCTCGGGACTTGCTGCATAGCACAGCCCGGGATTATCTTTTATGCTTGCGCCACATTTTCTGGGCCTGCTGGCTAATATATATCATTTTCTGTCTTCTACAGGGGCCCCGAAATCGAACTGTGCTTTGGAGAAGATGGAACCGATCCCGCGGCGGAGAATGACTGGAGTTTGTTGCCATTCATGGCGTTATCAGACGGGGCGCATATGTACGGCGATAATCATTACCCCTCATACGCTCCATACAAGTTACAACGTCTGCTAAAGGACGCATTCATTTATTGACGCGAACTCTGGCCCTCCAGGTCGACCGAGGAGTTTTCTTATTTTACACTCCGCCGAAAGGAGACCGCCACGGAACCTGCAACTTCCCTTTTTGGCATATCTTGTGCGAGACAAATCGATTCGAACTTGCTCCTATACCGACCGTCTGATGTGACGAGATCCACAGTACAGAAGGCAGTTGTTGTCATCACAGATAGCCCTCGGAGCCTGGGGCAGCTGAGAGAAAAACTGTCCATTGTAACATCTGCTTGGTTTGCGCAGCGGTATGTTGGGACCACTATATATGCTAGCTGGTGGCTTGTTAGCCTACCATAACTTGACAAGATGTTCGCTACGCTGGTGTGGGGGAATCTATAACTAATGTGTATGTGGACGAGAACAGGGACTTCTCCGATATCGATATTCTGAAGGTGTGCCCTTTTTCCTTTTCCTTTTCTTTTTTGGCCTCTTTTTGTGCCTTGGCATTGTTCATTGGTCTCCAGTAGTGCTGATATGTTTCAGAAATTTCGAGAGAGCCTAGTCATCAATTTGAATAAGGATGAGACTTCCAAGGACCAAAACCTTGGTGAGTCCGGGTACCTAGCACAGTCGATCTTTGTTGCTGACCAGCCTGCAGGACTGTCTCTGCGGGAAATGATCCATGAGTTTAAGTATCAAACTCTGGTCTTGTTCAAAGCTTTACTCCTGCAGCCCAAGGTTGGTAGCCCTATTAACTCATCGTACAAGATACTGATTGAGCCCAGATGCTTTTCTTTGGCTCAAGATGCGAGCGTCTATGCATGATACAATTCTCCCTCGTTTCGTTGATACCTGGCCTCATAAACTACCTCCAAGACTGTGCAGACCCAAAATTCGAGAGCTATACGAAGACTGTTGAGAAGCCTACTACACTGAAGACAAGCGACAGAAGTTCTTGTATGATTGTAATATCCTTACCTTCGATTACATCTCATACTGACTCTTAAGTGCTGGCGTATATGGGATTACCGCTACAAATCTTTGGCAAGGTTCGTGCGTCACGGATCAAAGACCGAGCTACGTTCTAACTTCCGCAGGGGAGCATGTTCGGACCTTACACACCTCTGCAGCAGCTGGATCTGCTAGCGGATGACGGCACGAAGTCATATGTAGTGGGCTCTACAAATTCGATACTTTTACAACAGAAAGATCGTTATAGTGACATCTTAATCAACGTGAGGGAACTTTTGATCTAATTGGACGACTCGGTTACTTATACAATGAGATTTGCAGCTTGACGAGGACACCATCAATATCACGTCCCCCTCTCTACGAAATGCACTGGCACTATCTGTTGCAGACAGACGCTGGATCGATCTTCTTACCCAGATTATCAACGATACGTGGGACGAGGCGCATCCGGAACAACCTAAGACCCATGGGTATATTGGCTCCGAGGAATTCATCAGGTTACAGTTTGAAGAGTACCTGCTCGCATTGCTTTCGTGCATGAAATATCATATGGAGCTTAATTCCTTCAATGCGGGTGACCCAGGCCGGAGGAGCAGGGAGCAATTGGAAGCGTTCAACATAGAAGGCGACCCTGCGCTGGAATTCAACGCCGAATTTCTGGCACAGTGGCAAAACACTTCTAATTATGCGCTTTTCAAACGCTTGACCTCTGATGCACTGTTGTACTCCATCGTTGAGCCTCGTCACCCTTGTGCCGGAGGCCTCACCATGGACGATGTTCAGCGTCGGTTATCGCAACAAGTCGCGGATCTTCATCTGGATGAACGGGTACGGGAAAGCCGCGAGGCACTCAATAGGCATATCAGCACTGGCCAAAGGAAAGTAACCACCGCATTCAACAACTTCTGGGCTGATATCGAAACGATGCGGGAAGCACAGCGGAAAAGAAACGAAGAGAAAGCTCCTCAGTCACAAAGGTCCTCAATTGACAAGGGCACTTCCCCCCCATTTTCACCGTCTGATACAGCATCTGTACATTCAACTAGTGGTTCCTCTTGGTTCGGTGGCCGTAAAGCTCCTTCCGTGGACATTGCTCAAGCACAGGCATCCGTGAGTGCCGCTGGCCAAAGGGCAGGGGCGTATTTGAACTCATGGAGTACCTGGGCTAGCGAAAAGCGAAGGGAATGGCAGGACAAAAATAAAACCCCATCCTCTCCATCTTCAGTTACCTCACCATCGACCCCGACATTGGCGGGTACCGCAGAGCAGAGCGACCCGCCAGAAAGGGGTAGACGGTCAATGCAGGCAAGCCGCAGCGAAGACTCCATTACTTTGTCGCGCAGTGGAAGCAGAAGGAAGAGATGGAGCAATATTTTCCTGAGGCGGGATAGCGGCGAGTATGGCTCACCTAACCGGAAGGATGATGGTGACGGTAGTGAATTTGATACTGCCAATCCACGCTCACAGCTATCAAACGAGGTCCCTGTTCATGACGACTTGTCGCAACCAGCCGAGGAGCCATCTAAAGAGGTGGAGGCCTTGGCAGAAGCTCAGGTCAGCGGCGGCACAACCGAAAACCACACGAATACTACCACCACTACCGAGGCACTGGCTGAGCAGCCCAAGCCTTCCGTTAAGCCTCAGATCACCATCGATGAAAAGGATACCATAGCAGAAGAGCCAGCATCTACTGAGTGCAGGAATCAAACCGAAGCACACAGCACAGCAGAACAGGCTCCACACAGTTAATAATCCATCAACAAACGACAGGAACATGATCGCATGAATCTTATTTTTTTCTTTCATTTTGATCCTTTATATAAACTCGACCTAATTATATTTCCCCCATGCATAATACATACAAAAACAAACTTCTTGCATGTCATTTACTCAGCATCATCACTTATGGTTCGAAGCTTTGATACCCGGGAAAGGACAGAGCTTGTATTATTGCTACCTTTTGTTACTCTTCAACATATATCATATTTTCCTTTTTAATTTCCGAAAATGGATATACGATGTTCCTTGATACGATTTCCTTTCCAAATGTCAACTAAACTATCCTGCATCTTCTGAATGCATAAGCGGTTGGATATGATGAGTCAAGATATCTTATGCATACTAACACCATTATAGAGCACGAACATTTATTCTTGTTACCGAAAGATATATTTTTATTTATTCAATTTTGAATTACTGAACATAAGGAGCATTACAGGGAAAAAGCGCCAAAATGGAATAATCCAATCTTATTGATATATTGGGTTATGATTTGTCGTATCGGTGCTACGAAAGCAGGAGTCCTATCCCTGACCTATGAATGAAAGCCGTATGCCGCAGTGATAAAAAAAAAGACCATTAAACAAAGAAAGAAAAGAGGAAAAACCAGTGAGGAATACGGGCGCTAACATAGAGACGATTGGAAAAGGGGCAAAGAAGAAAAATTTCTAGGGATCATGCAATATAAGCGATCTCATCACCGTCCAAGCGCTCTATATAATCCTTCTCCATGAGGGCTTCGATATTCTTCTTGATATCGGGTACCTTAGGTGGGAAACGGGATTTAACTTGTTGAATCACTTCCTGGACGAGTTGGACGTGCTTCATCTTCTTGCGCGATTTCATGATCCGGACGATAGCAGACTATGGATATGTTATACAGTGATTCAACGAGTTGGGCAGTTCTCGAACATACCTGAAGCAGCAGCTTACGGTCTTCCTCTATAGTCTTGTGTGTATCATCTGACTCTACCTTTTGTTCCGACTTGATCTGGATGTTGAGGTTGACCTTGACCTTTTTGTGTCTAAAGTTGTAGTTCAACGTGAACGAGGTGCCAGGTTCCGGCTTGGACCCCTCGGGGCTGATGAGCAATACCTTCGCCTTGAGGAAGATACCCAAGTTCGGCTCAAGAATTTCGGGAGCAAGAGTGGTAGCTTTTTGAATGTCCTCGTATGTTAAGGTATCGGTCTCATTGAAAAGGAGAAGAATGCCCATCTGGAAGGTTGATACCTGGAAAGTATAGGGCACCTTTGTGTTTTTGATGTAGTTAGTTTTGATTTCACCTTTGCATAGCTGCCAAAGCCATGTCAGCTTCCGACCATTGTGCTTGTCAAAGTAGAAGTTTTGGAATCGCTCAGCCGTCTTGACGATCTCTGGCGGCGCAAGGAAGTCTGTCGACGGAGCTTGAAGAGGCCAAAATCCAGTTCCCAGAATCTGAAAGTGTGCATCTACCAGTTTCCTCCGATCGTCGTCATCAAGAACCTTGTCTTGCCAGTCTTTGTAGCTGGCATTGAGATCTTTCGAGATTTGGATATCTTGGAACATGCGCTGTAACTTGTTGGTGTACTCGAAACCACAGGCCTCCTTGAGCTTGCTGATCATACTAGTCTCCGCATCATCGGACACCGAACTGACATGCACCAATCGCTTAGCAAGCATCTTCGAGTAGAATTTCTGGAAGACATCCTTATCTTCAATGTATTTGAAGACCGTCATAATCTGGACTAGCATCTCCTCCAGCTCGGACTCCTCAGCAGCCTTGGATCCCTTCTTCAGGAGGGAGTCGGTATACTTAGCCAACAGCTCCGGTGATTTTGTCGAACTAGATGCGCAGATCTTGTTGCGGTTGACAAACTCGCGGCAAGCATTGTCCAAGGAGCGCACAAACTCCGATTCGCCATTGAAGGCCTCGTTAACCAGGCTCTGGTATCTTGTATGTACCTGCAATAAAGCATCCACATACATTTTGGGTTCAAACGCTTCGCCTTCCGCTGCAACCTTCTCAACCGCTGCCAAGCCTGCTTTCCTAACATGGGTCTCGAACTTCGTTCGCAGGGGATCCAGGCCTTCTTTGATGCGAGACAAAAGCCGGTACATCCGAGCTAGGTCCTCTTGACGTTCATTGTCCAGCAGAACCTGAAATTCATCACGCAGAAGCTCTGAGTGGGCAGTGACGAGGACATCCAAACACGTGTCGGTAAGATGTTTCGAGATATCCGGGTGTAAATACAAGCCCACACGAGCCTTTTCTTCTTCTAAACGAGCCTCAGCCTTCTTCATGTATTCCACCACGCTGTTTTCTGCCACGAATTGGCGCGACTCATTTTCGTAATAGACCTTGGTAGCCGCAATGAAGGGCTTCTCAAAGAACATCCGATATACTTCAAGCGTCGACTTGGAGCTGTCGCTCTCGTCCAGTCCGAGAGAAACGAAAGAATCGACAATACTTTTGATCTGCGACTGTTCGATCGTTTCGCCATTGCGCTGCTTCTCGACTAGGTTCAAAACTGCGTCCATAACCTTCCCATGTACCTTCATGAAGAAGTCATCCTTCCACTTAACGAGGTGCAGAGTATACACGTCGTAAACATTCTTTTTGCCCTCATCAATCTCCCGCTTGACCCAATGTCGGTTGAGGTAGCCGAAAAGATGGTTGATGTACTTGGCGGCTGTCGTGTAACGGGTCCATTCGCGGATGTAGAACCCTAGTAGGGCCTCCTCGGCGTGACCCTTAGATTCGTGATGCACAGCATCGAGGTGACGTGAAAGGTACTCTCCAAGCAGCTTGTATAGCTCCTCTCCTAGCAGATGTGCTGAAATAGTGTTAGATCCAGGGGCCCGGTATATATTTGAGGATTTGTGCGTTAATGAAGACGAACCACCGCGATGTGCTTGTAATCCATGGCCATTGCCGACAGCTTTTTGTGATGTGCAAAAATTGTGAACCGCGCTTCGCTCAGAATGTCAGCCGTATCCAAGATGATAGGAAAAGGTGGCATACGTGTACAAAGCCATGTACTAGGAGTCCAAGTGAATTGTCAGTATGTAGCTGGAAACCTTTCCCATTCACCGGAAGGGATCAAACTAAGCGATCCAAAAGGACTTACAGTCTTCATATCCACTCCCTCCTCCAGCTTTAACATCACACTATCGACTCCCTTCTCCAGGAACGACCATCTGCTTGAGTTAGCCTACCATCCGTTATATGGCGCCCCCGAAGTTATCCAATGCGTCATTCGAGTATGAGCGACTCACGTTTCATCCAAGTCATCCTTGTGGGGTGTCTGGGGAATCAGGGAGGGAGGCATAGTGCTTTTCGGCGATGACTTCGGCGATGACTTCGGCGAACAGGGAGTATGACTGCGAAACGAGGGCGTCAGTTCTCGCAGAAGCTATGGCGAACACTCAGACAGATGACACACGCGTGACGAGCTGAGGATGGAAAGATGAGATGGAGTTTCGAAGGTGCTAAGGGCTTGTCGTGGCACTCCAAGCGTTTAGGACCTTCCTACTTTTTGGATTTCGGTAAATGAGCTCGCCTCCAGAAGCGGGCAATGACAGCACTGGCGGCGTTCAGCCCAAACACTACCGTCAAGGCAGGAGGATAGCCGCGCGCTATGAGATAGCAAAAAAAAAAAACGGAAGGAACCGACTGGGGGGTCACAAAAATAGGGGCTCAGAACAGAAGTCCAAGCTGGAGCGTAGTAAGAACAAACCACAAATACGCCTCAAAGTACGAAAAATACAGAGAGACACAAGAGTCGGCGTGGCGTTGGGCGGTAGTGAGAGTCGAGATCAGACATCCGTGGGGGGGGGGGATATGGATCGCTTTATGGACCTTTACGGTAGGCGGTCAACACAAGCTGACCTGCACAACGATCTGATTCAATCTAGATTTTATGGGGTTATAAGGATGGTTAGGCAACCAGCACCTTCAATTCTTTCAGGACTGCTACCTAATGGCGCTGGGTATGTTCCCAATAGTATATGGAGTAGATATTATTTTGTTTTGCATTTGCTGAGTTCCCTTTGGAGCTCTTCTTTGTTACCCGATCAATGTAGGTCTCAAGATGCCCTTAAAAAGCATGATGCAGTCAACTACAGTGCTCATGAATGTCTCTTTCCTTTGATTTTTCTTTCTCTTCCCCTTGATACAGCGCAATAACTCCCCCTTGAATGTGCGGTCGCGACAGGCACACATTGGTAAACCCTAGCAATGCCCTATCTGGGGTAGTAGAAGAGAAGGGGGGATTCAAGGAGTATGAACAACACAAACGATTCGGATCTACTGAAACTTTCGGATCAAAAACCGCAAGCATTACCCCAGATGACGTCATGGCAACTTTCCATATTTGGACACCCTTAAAACCCTTACTTGGACTGAATAGTACAAAGAACTTCCAGAACCTCACCACCCGCTTGAATGCAGTATGAATGCAGCAAACAAACATATTTGACCGCAAAGGAAACCATGTCGTTCAGATCCCCGTCCGACATCGAGGTTACCACTCGTCAAATCCCGCGATGGGAAGACATTCCCAACACATCCATCCAATCTAAGCCGCTTATGATATATCACCACGCTTTTGATGCGTCCCCAAATCAGCTTCAGGCGCGCTTGGAGGAAATTGGCGAGGTCGAACCACAGTGGATTTATACTATGTATCAGCAAACGCACTTCCACAGCACAACGCATGAGGTTTTGGGAGTGGTCTCCGGGCGTGCTCGTCTCTGCTTTGGCGGTGAAGCAAACCCCAGTCGTTTTGAGCCAACGGTTGAGAAAGGCGATCTCATCATTGTTCCCGCTGGGGTAGGCCACCGCCTGTTAGATGATCTCGGCACGGAGAGTTTCAGCATGGTGGGTGCCTATCCTCGAAATAAACACTGGGACATGTGCTATGGACAGCCGGGTGAGGAGAGAAAGATGAAGGCTATCGAAAAGCTCGACTGGTTCCATCGCGATCCCTTGTACGGAGCCGATGGTCCCGTTCTTCATATCTAACATCATATTTTCGGCAATATTCTCTTCTTCGAGTGTCATTTGAGCTTATATTCCATCATTCTACTAATATATACATACATAATCATCACATGTGCATGGCCATTTGCTATCCAGGGCCCAACACTTCCCCAAACCTGGTAACCAAAAAGAAGCCAAGAAAGAAAAGAAAAATTGGAAGAAAGAAAGGGATAAGGTGAGATGTTAGAAGCAAAAAAGGAGCATCACTGTGCAGCGCGATCTACGAGTCTGTTTTGAAGCAATTAGTCCTGCACATTGTGGAGAAAGACAGGGAAAGATGGCTATACCTTAAAACACTAATGGCGAATGTTGTAAGCCAAGCCAAAAGAGCAATTAATAGAACACTGGCTAGTGCGATTTGTCGGTCGCAGATTGCATCGTTCTTAGGAGCGACCTGTTGGTTAACCTCACCGACGGTGCATGCGCCACTAACTGTGGACAGTGACTCAAAGGCCAAACTTAGGTTGGCAGAGTCAAATACAATGAAGAAAATGTCGAGAAGGACAAGCCGTGCTTTGGCCGATGGGGAGCGAAGACCCAGCGGTTTGGAAGTATATTCATCCCAAGTAATATACACCAGGTAAACCAGGGCCACGGCATCGACAATAATCGCCATTAGCGCAGAGGGGCCCTGCGGATGCACATACTCATGCGACATGTGCTGAATAGAGGCTCCAAGCGCAAGGGCAGTGAGCGAAAAGACCCACACCGTTAGGCGAAAAACCAAGGGTACTATAGGACTCTTCAATAAGGTATGATGGAAGCGTTTGAACCAAATCTCTCTCCGCCGTTTCATTCTCAGCGGATCTTCTGTATCCTCCCCACTCCATTCTTTAAGTCTTCCGCGCCATGGTTGCGAGTAGTCACCATGATTTTCATTCAGCCATTCTTGGGTCACAAGCTTTTCCTCAACACCTGGGTCCCTCGGGTAGGCGATTGATTTAGAGAAATTCTTCCAACGCGATTCGCGAGGCGATGTCGCGCGCCCTTCCTCCAAGCTCGTTCCTCGACTTGCAAAATCTACTCTTGCAGTCGTATAGGGCGAATGGTTATGTTGAGCGACAACGGCATCATCCGGATGCGAAGGTAGAAGTCGTGAGGCGGCAGAAGATTCGCCCTCAGGTTCCTTGTAATCGACAGATCGGATCCAAGCTATTACATAAATTGTTATCAGTAAAGCTTTCGCTAGAGGTGGCTGAAGTTTCTCGAGTATGTTACGCACCCGGAAGAGTTCGCAATCTCTTTTCTAACATGACATTATCCTGACCATCCTCCGTTGACGCTTCCTCTAGAGTCTGTAAGGCATTAGGCGACAATTCCAGCGCGCCATGGCGAGGAAGTTCGGGGAAATGGTCATGATTACTTTGCCCGTTATGAGCGTGGTTGATGCCTCCAGACATCCATTCTGTATTGGCGGTTTTCTCGCTTAGTTGAGAATCTAATACCGAGCCTGGACCTGGAGGAAGTGCGCGCAAAATGCGCGCATCCTGTGCCATCGCCTTCCTAGTGCAATGGGTCGTTCCAGGTGAGGTTGCTTCGGCTGTCGGAAGTTATGGGAAGACAATGGGTCTCGTCTGCATCGCCTCACAGCCCCCTCAGGCCCGAGAACACGGCGTTTCTCTGGAAACCGGGCAACCTTATGACCCTTTGAGAGAGCAGGTCATTAGATTAGAATAGGAGCGCAAGAAAGTGTACAACCACGGCAATTACAGCCTTGGGGGGCTGGGGAAGAATGGGGAAGAGAAACAATTCTGGTGGTAATAGTTCCTTAGTACTGCTAAACCCAGAGAAGTAATTTATCCCTCTTGGGAAATCCTCCGTTGATAATTACGGCGCTAATCCTTTCGCTGGGTGCGGAATGACGTCTCTCAATACCGCCCGCGACCAAACAACCATCAGCCACACCTTCTGCCAGTTCATACCTATCAAGTGGCAAAAGAGAACAAAAACCCTAAAATAAGAAGAGAAGACTAATCTTTAGCTCACCTGAGAAGAAGGAATGTTATTTTTACAAGCTCCCTTGAATCGGTTGTTTTCTTCAGTTGATCACTAGTCGCGTACTCCCTCGCCGTTTTCAACAATTCCCTGTGTTCCACCTCAGTTGAATTACCCGAAACGACACAAAGGAAAAACGAAAGGGAGAAAAGCCAAAGACGAAACGCTGCCATGCGACTCTTCGTGATTCCGATCTCAACGAGACGGGCTCTGATATATGCTCGACCGCTCCGTCGGGATCATGCAAAGGAGCTTTCCATACTCGATCGAATCACAAACAAAGCTGCCGAAACATGGGCTAAATGGGAGGAAGCTGAGAAAGGTTGGCAAAAACACTTGGTTTTGTGGGGAAATAAGGTCCAACAGCGCATTCCTTATGAAGAATGGGGGCTCAAGAGTCTTCCTTCACTTAATGCTCAGCGACGACTTGATGAATCGTATGGGTCGAAGAAGATAGATGTGCTTTTCCCGGGAAATGCGGTCAAAACCGAAAAGCTCAAGTCTATCTTGCACAAGATTGCTACTGATAGGCAGGACTTACATCGTAAGAGGATGTGGTGGAGCTTCATCGCGAGTCCTTTCACAGCTCCCATTGGACTCATTCCATTGTATGAAAGCTAAGCTCTTCCCAAGACAACTTTCATAAAGGGAGTTTGATGCATGACAAGTTGAGCTAATGATGGAATGACAGGATACCTAACATCCCTTTCTTCTATCTTGTGTATCGAGGATGGTCCCATTGGCGAGGTGCGCTTCTCTCACCCTCCTACTTGCAGCGGTGTTGCTGACTGGCAGCAGCATTAAATGGATCCAAACATCTGGAATTCTTGGTCGAGAAGGACCTTCTGAATCCTATATCGCACCCAGCACTGGAGCGACTATACGCGAAGCGGGTTTCACGGGCGCTAGAAATGTCTAACACTGAACAGTCAATCTCACGTATGGTAGAGGACGTGGAGAAAAGTGACGACAAATTGCTGCTTCGGATGGACGATGCTAAGAAATTAGCTTCAATCCTTGAAGCACCGGAGCTTGCTTTGGAAGCTGAACGAGCTATTGTCCAGGTCGAGGAGAAGTTGAGAGTGGATAACTCATCTTCGGGCGAGGATGAAAAGAAAAACCAGCCAAAAGATAAAGAGTCCTGAACAACTCAGACATAGAGTAACTAATTGTGCATCTGTCCGTGTGTTAAAATTGGACAGTCAAGTTATGGCTGCTATTATCGGTGATGGTGGCTATGGGTATGGTACATAGACTTGGGAGAGCATTTCACGTTAATTGTAAGATATATACCAAGACTTTACTAATGGTATACGGAGTAAGTATAACTTTCCATGAACATAGTGGATCCCATGGAATTACAGTTGTAGGTACCTAGTATGAAGTATGGAGCAATTGAACGGTTCCTGGTACCCTGCATATCACCTACCGGATTTAACATGATCCGAGACTCGAGCGCCCCATGGGAGCCCGCCGCGGGATGCCCGAAACGGCTAACTACTCCATAACCCGTGAGCATCTCCAGCCAAACATCCTTTATAGTCGCTTCTCATTACTCGGTTTTAATAACAACATTGTCCCTACGGGTCTACCGAGTCGCTCACATCATGTCAAATAAAAAAATCGAGCAATGGGAAATAGAAAGATACTGGGAGATCTTCTCTTCATTAGCAAATGGTCAGCCCCGTCTGAACAACTCTCAGGCCGCCTCAGTGCTCAGGAACAGTCGGCTTCGCGATGAACAACTGGAAAAGGTCTGGGATTTAGCCGACGTGGATGGCGATGGGGAACTGGATTTTGAGGAGTTTTGTGTCGCAATGCGATTAGTGTTCGACCTGGTCAACGGTGTATGTTACCTCCCCTATCACTCCATGCTTTCCCGTGCGCCTCTACCTGCCAGATACCTTCCTCCTTGGGATTGCTCGGCACTTTTGTCACAATCCATGGTGTTTAAAGTGCCACTGCTAAAGTTCAGTTTAAACTAGGAATTACAAACTGTCCCAGCAGTTTTACCCGATTGGCTCGTCCCTGAATCCAAGTCTCATTTAGTCCATGCAACCCGGGCATTGAGCACTCAACCGGAACAGTTCGAACGGATAGAAGATGAAGATGATACTCCTGGACTGAAAGATGGATTTGAATGGTACATGAAGCCTGCCGATAAGTCCAAATACGAAGAGATATACAATGCCAACAGAAACCAACGTGGTGAAATCGCATGTACGTCAGCGCTCCCCGTTGAAGCGGGGCCGTATCCCTTAACCACTCGCGCTCCGAACTGATCGTAGATGTTCCCGTACAGTTGAATCATTACAACCACTCTACGATTCGCTTGATGTCCCCGACACTGATGCCCGCTCTGCGTGGAATTTGGTCAACCCCTCCGCATCCCACACAATTAATAAGGACGCCACTCTTGCATTCCTGCATATCCTGAACTACCGACACGAGGGCTTCCGCATTCCCCGCACCGTCCCTGCTTCCCTCCGCGCCTCGTTTGAGAACAATAAGATCGATTATCAGGTCGATAATGCTCGTCCGGCACAGAAATGGGGCGCAGACGGAGACACGGAGACACCAACTGGTCGGAAGTCTAAGTTTGGAGATACGTACTTGAGTCGGTTGGGTGCCGGAGGAAAATCGTCCTATACGCCCAAGGGAACAAACTTCAGCGACACAATTCAGGATGAGGAATGGGAGAAGGTTCGTCTAAGGCGCGAGCTGGCGGAGTTGGAGACCAAATTGAACTCCGCACAACAAGCCTCCGAAGGGCGTGGAGATCAACCCAAGAATGATGGCAGGACCAGCTGGGGTTTGATCAAAAAAGAAGCGCTTCAGCTTCTAGAGTACAAGGAACGTGAGCTTCGTGAACTGAGGGAAGGTACTGGAAGGTCCAAGGAAGGCCAAAACCTAGAGCGGCTCAGGGAGGATGTGAAAGCCGTCGGAGAGCAGGTAGATGGTCTCAGAAGCCACCTTGCGAACCGGAATGAGGTACTGGCCGGTCTACGAAGACAGATCGAAGAAGAGAAGGTGTCACGCTAGAAATCTTGTTCGATCCTGCTCTGCTTCCCCTCCTGAAATATATTTTTGAGTTCTTCCAATTCCCTGGTATTGCTTGATTTACTCGTGAGAGGTCTTTCGTGATCCTTTTCTTTGATGTACAGCCATTTTGCTGAGGAGCTCGGGCGCTTAATGATGTGTTCTTTGCTTTTTGATGATTTGATTAATTCGAGGGTCGACCAGTCCCTGTCACATTACATACCAGCAAGCCCATTAACTGTACATTATATAACCCGTCCTGATGCTAATAAACAGCATACTTTTTTCCACCAACGACAGCCAGCATAATAGACGAAGGAGCAAAGGTCATACACGATCATCAACAGTCCTCGCCGGTCCAATCCTCATAACCCCAAGATCAGCACTTTCCTCACTATGTACAATTACCTCCGTAGTCTGTATTATCCTCGATAGAGACCCACGACGAGGTCGCTGAGTCAAATTCTCTTCACTCCCCCTATCAGATTCATCAAGGGTCCCGATCTGAACACTATACTTCTGGTCTTCATTCACGGTCCGGTTCTGCTGGAGCGAATGCATAATATAACTCGACCTCCCATGATATCCTTGTCCGTTGCGTTTCCCGCTGCGTACACCACTGGTGAAACTCAGCGTTGTCCCGATGACAGATTTCACGAGGGGCTTGATAGTCGGGAACGACGCGGCAATGATACCGACATTTAGCTCGATGCTATGAGTAGTCAGCTTTTGGTGGATAATGAAGGACCCGTTGGGTGAAAAATGCGGGTTGGATAGGGGAAAACGTACCAATTCCAAATGAGGTATTGGCATTCACTGAATTTTGGAAAGTCGGAATCAGAAAATTAGCTGTCTTCCAACTACTCCCGCTTCCAGGGAGATATGGTAAAAGCGTACCGATATGGATCTGGCTCATCGAAGATTTGGCTCTGGAGAACGGTCTTCACAATTCCGGCTGCGCAGGCGCTGTGAGTCTCTTTGGTTAGCTGGAAGGTATAGATAGATAGGTTAAGGTTCATGAAGAAGAGAACCACACACAAATAACCAAGACTGAGGATACCCATCAACGAGACCCTGGTCCGTTTGTTTACTTGAACCTTGTAGAACATGAATGCGGGTAGTGTCGCGAATACAAAGTCCGTCGCGATGTTGATTGCTAAAGTCAAGTATTATGAGCTCCTCCCCATTCACAGTGTATGTGTGATAGGGTAGGACATACCACTATTGAATTCTCCAATTGACAGATAAGTCTTCATCGAGTAACACCTGGCATTTTGTCTTAGCGAGAAATCCCATGCCGCTCGAACCGGAAGACACTGGAAGATCAACGTCAAGATACACGCAATGGTAAAGATAATAAGAAACACTTGTTCATTGTCAGTAATGTATCGAGTATGCCTACAGATACCCAACTCACCAAGTGCTCCGATAATGAACCGTTTCAGGCTCTTGTTGGGCGAAGCGAACCGGAGCAAGAAGAGCGCCAACGAAACCTTGACCAGACTTATACCAAGCACGATGACAATGGCGTGGTAGAACATGTACTCGCTGAGGATCTGGAAATCTCCCGACTTGATGTCATCGGAATAGAGGCCGACTCCATGGTGTGACTCGCCAACGAAGCAAGCTAGGACCCCGAAGGCGCATAACTGGATCCCTTTTTAGTCAGAGAAGGTTGTTGTATAGAAGTTAGTTGAGAGTATCTCGTGGGTTGTATTTCTTACCAAGGATACAACGATTACTCCATCATCTGGGAGAAACTTGCGGAGGACAAAGAGGCGTACATAGCAGCGTAATGCGACCAGTAAGCCCGATAGACCTGTCAGGGATCCGATAATGGCGAGGATGTGTGGAGCTCGACTGTCGCTGGGGTGATCTACCGATGCTGCTTGTCTCGGTAGTAGATCCCTGCTAGAATGCATGATATCGATCATGATCTCGATGGAGACAGAGAGGAATCTCCATGACCGCCGTAAACTGAGTTACTCGTAAAGAGCTGAGTCTCTGTATTCCAAGTTAAGCCTGTATAGGGCTACTTCTCGAAGGAAGCACTAGCGTCTTCCAACAAATGCAGGACACATTCGGAGATACAAGGGGTGTAAGTTTATTTTGATCATATGGATGAACCCGGTTGAATTATTCCTAAGGATCGGTATTTCATCGGCTTGTAAGAACTTAATGAAAGCTATTATGCCTTGTCGTCCATTGCCGCAAACGGGCATGTCCAACCACTGGAGGAATCTAGCCGGTGCCTAACAGATGCAAGTTATCTGCGCCGCTATCTATTAAATATGAAACTGAAGCTAGCAAGGATAAGGAGCAGGGATTCTATATAGTCCACGAGTAGAAAGCGAATCGAACAATGGAATTGCGTGTACCATCCCGGCGGAGCGGTTTATGAAAGCAAGCCCTAACCCTTCCACTATAGGCTCTGAGACTCTCGCCATTCTATTACAACACGGTGTTAACAGAGATTAAAACTCTTGTGACTCAATTCTTGGATTCATTCCTGTCTCATCCTTTTCTGCTTTAATTACTCTCCTCCTCTTTCCATAACATAAATGGTCAGTGTTCTACTTCCTCGTGGTGGGGGTAAAGTTTCGGGTAGAAACGCGCACGGTGTCGGGATTGAGCAGTTAATACTCCGTAGTGGTAGTGAGCAATCGGTTCATTGACTAGCGCCTGAAGGGAAGTGCTCCGAAGGTGAGCCGATAGGGTAGTATTGAGCGGGTAATAAGGCAAGTCTTAATATATCTTACTATAAAGTACGAAGTATAGGAACGGAGCAATTAGTCCGTTGAACCGTTGGGGCCTTAAGTTTTTAACCAAGTTCTAGTGGCTTAATCCACATTCAGCCCCCGCTAATGCGGGCTATACGAAGTCCTGTAAGCCCCAATATAAACTGCTTTACCGTGGCTTGCTTAGAGTATTCGGGAAATATAGCACAAAAGCGTGTGCCTTGAAAATTTAATAGTATAGCATAGCACCGAAGCTCAAGCACAGTTTCAGAACATCGTTTCCACTTACAGCCAAAAGCCTCAAGTACGATCCAAACACGAACACGCACTGTCGTGCCAAGCGGCACAGGAACTTCGCTTTTACCTTTGACTGCCTTGACTAAACCGATTGAACTAACTAACTTACTAGCGAGTCTTTGAAACGAGGAAAGTGCCTTGGCATCGGAGGATCCTTTGAGACATCCAACCCACACTAGCCGCAGACACGGACGGCTAAATACATTCGAAATGAAGCTCTAGAGATCCCTGTTCGCACTAGCCAGCTGTCAACTGGGTCTCTGCCGCTATTGGAACTTCAATGTTTTCGAATCTGTCCCCGAAGGCTTCTTTGTTTTCCCCTCTTTTCTTCTTTTTGAGATCTACCATGTAGAGACAATAAGATGTCACATATACTGTGGAGTCTCTTCTAGATACCGTAGTAGTTCTCTACCGTTGCCAGGACACGGTCAAAGATATGACCTGCTTCTCGGTATAAGATATTGTGTACTTAAATAGTATCTCCATGAGCAGTCTGGCCCCGGTTCTTTTTATTAATTAGTCCTATTTCTACTAATTTCCGCATTCCGACAATCGCGTCCCACTAAAGCCATGTCTCTGTCAGTGCTTTCACTGTCCACGCTCGGCCTCCAAGCGACAAATAGTAAATGTCTAAATGCTATACCCTCCTAGCCCTAGTCGTATGATTTTCTGGGGCCTTAATTGGCGGTCGCATATCCGGCTGTCCTCACCGGCAATCTAGAGTCAAGCTATCTACTCCGTCCAGAGTTCACACAGAGCTAGTCAGGATGTAATAAAAAAAAGCTCTTGACCGGTTCCTTCCAGTCTCAGATCCCTCCTTCATTTACTTTCTTTTGATTGCGGTGCCCATCCTCAGAAGAGGCGAACATAAACATGCGCAGTTGGATTCCAATCGTCGCAGCTCTTGCTGCCCTATCGCCAGCAACAGCATCTCCCACCTCCATGGATCAATGGGATGTTCTCGCTGGAAAAGCCCTGGGGAACCAAATCCGGTATCACTATACAAATCCAGAAGCCAGCAGCACATGTACTCCTTACACCGCGTCAGCCCGCAGAGAATGGTATGCACCTTGGACGTCTTCAATGCGCAAATGACAATATATAACTGAACCGTACCGTCACAGGGGAGCTCTATCCAAGAAGGAACGCCGGGAGTACATTGACGCTGTTCTCTGTCTATCCTCGAAGCCTTCAAAGTCCGACCCCTCCTTCGCTCCTGGGGCTCGCACCCGCTACGATGATTTCGTAGCTGTGCATATCAACCAGACGATGTTCATCCATTCAACGGTAGGACTCCAGCTCGCGCACTGCAGACCCCTGATCGAATATCCCCACTGAGCCCCCCATTAGGGTAACTTCTTAACCTGGCACCGCTATTTCACCTGGGCCTACGAGCAAGCCCTCCGAGACGAGTGCGGCTACACCGGCGCTCAGCCCTACTGGGCCTGGAACAAGTATGCCGACGACCCAGTCAACTCGCCCATTTTCGACGGCTCCGAATACAGCATGTCAGGAGACGGCGCATTCGTCCCTCACAATGCCACCGAAGCTGCGCCCGGAATCTTCCTTCAGCCTTCAAACGGAGGCGGCTGCGTCAAATCCGGTCCATTCAAGAAGTAAGCTATTTGCTTCCACCAACCCCAAACAAATTTAAAAAAAGAAAAACTTTCCTACAACTCCACAGCTAACGCACTTATTTCTTCCTTCTCCCGAAAAAGCTTCACCGTGAACCTCGGGCCCCTCCTCCCAAGTCTCAAGATCCCAGGCCTCGTCGCCCAAAACGGTACCGGCCTGAACTACAACCCCCGGTGTCTCCGTAGAGACATATCCAAGCAGGCCGCTCAATGGACCACAACCAAGCAAGTCGTGGACTTGATCGTCAACGAAACAGATATCTGGGACTACGAGACCACAATGCAGGGCGACTTTCCGCGGGGGTTCCTCGGTTTGCATAGCGGTGGACACTATACCATCGGTGGTGATCCTGGTGGTGTACGTTGAATGATACTCTCTCTCTCTCTCTCTCAGGTTTAGACCGGGTTGAGTCTTTTATGCTGACATGTCTGTAACGCTGTAGGACTTTTTTGCTTCCCCGGGTGACCCGGCTTTCTTTCTTCACCATGCGGCGATTGACCGGGCATTCTGGACCTGGCAGAATTTGGACCCTGTGAAGCGCACTTATGTTGTGAATGGTCCGACTGTGCTTCCTGGTATTGTTGAGTCGCCGCCGAATGCTACTTTGGATGATGTTGTAGATATGAGTGCTGCTTTAGCTCCTCCGAAGACTATTAGGGAGCTGTTGGATACTACTGGTGGTACTGGGGGGCCTTTCTGTTATATTTATCTGTGATGACACGGCGGTATTTATTCTTCGTTGGAGGTTAATAAGAGGTGTTGTATATAATAATATTGGAATCGTTCGGACTGCCCGGTTACTATCAAGTTGGTAGTATTTACTTAGAATGAACCTTTTATATATATATAGATAAGTGCAATTTGCTATATTATTTGTATCAATCCATCAAATATCAATCTCCATCGCAAGCATGAAAAGCGAAAGAGAGATGTCTATTATTACAATTACTAGTATTATTATAGATTAACCCTTGCCAGTAATCTGCGCCATAAGCCCATCCTTCTTCGTCTCGACAGCTAAGAAAGCCCGCCCACTGTGGTCCAGGCCCTTCTCAGCACGAGTATAAGCCTCCTCGCTGCGATCCGTCAAGATATCAAGATCCTTATCCGACAGCAGACGAGTAGGATCCGTACCGGCCTCGAAACGCTCGAACTCATCTTCTCCAAGAGCCTTTCTCAGATCCTCGACGTCATCCTGGGACGTGGGATCTAGAAGACTCTTGAACTTGCCTTTTTGGATGACGAGTCTTTCTAGACGACGTTTCGAATCGGCTTTCTCGAGCAACGTTTGCTCAACGGTGCCCTTTGTTGCTAGACGGTAAACGATTACTGGTCGTGTCTGACCGATGCGGTGGGCACGATCCTGGGCCTGGAGGTCCTGCTGTGGATTCCAGTCGGAATCGAAGAGGATGACAGTGTCAGCTGCCATGAGGTTGATACCCTGTCCGCCTGCCCGTGTACTCAAGAGGAAGATCTTGTAGTCGGGGTCTGTATTGAAGGCTTTGATTTGGTCTCGCCGGTCTGTCTGGCTGATTGCGCCGTCGATGCGACAGCAATTCCAGGAGCGGAGTTGAGTAGCCCAGTCCTGGAGGATGTCCAGCTGTGATTTGAATTGAGAAAAGATGAGGATCTTGTGCCCATTGGCTAGAAGACGTGTGACGAGCCGGTCCAACAGCAGCATCTTCCCCGACGCTGTTATTAGGGATTCGTCGACCGGCTCCCCATTCCACGGCCAGTAGAAGTTATGCGGAGAATTACAGGCTAGTCGCGCTTGCATGACGGGGTTCTGCATTTTCTTTTGGGCTACTTCTTGCTCTGTTGATAACGTTAGCGTCAAGATCACAATGTGTACGTATCATGGCAGGGTGGGACATACTGGCAAGTTTGAAAGTCTTGGCTCTTTCGATCTCCTCCTGTTCAGTCTCGCTTGGGCCTTCGATGTCCAGGTCGTCTTCTATCCCTTGCTCGAGCTTGCGCAGCTTGGAGTTAAATTCGCGGTCGCTTATCTCCTTGTAGCTTTGAGGCCCCTTTCGCCTACGTGTGGAACTGGTCATGCTGGCTGGAGTAGAAGAACGACTGGACTTTAGGCTCTTGTTCGGTGTTGTGTCACCGCTGCTCTCAGCCCTACGTTTCACACTCCCGGAACGTGTTAGACGCTCGTTCTTGGCCATCAATCTTTCTCTTGCCCTGATTTCGAGGTATTGACGGCCTGTGCCGTTCAGAATCTCACGGTAGAGATCTTTTTGCTCGGC